TCCAGAAATACCATTCAATGTCTATAGAAAGAAAGTAACCAATGTTTTGGAAGATATGTTTCAAACTTTTTGCATAAATAATTCATTTAATATTTGCCATTGATTTTTTTTTGAATTCTGATAAAGTGATATGCACTCTCTTTGATGCCAATATTCTTCATCAATTGTGATACAAATTGATATTTTTGTAATCTCAGAAGAAGAAGAAGATATCGAAGTTTAATAATATGTGTGATTGAGTTGGTTTTTTAGACATTACAATTTTCAATATTCTCTAAGTCGATACCCAGACTCATTCCCAGACTCATCCTTTCAGGGACTAAGAAGTAATATATTATCACTTTATTCCATAATACTACTGTTTTCCCAGGGAAATATGAAGGAATAAAAATTGTATTGAATCGTATTACATGAAAAAATCGTATTGTCCCCGGGAAAAAAATCGTATTAGAGCGTATTACATGAAAAAATCGTATTGTCCCCGGGAAAAAAATCGTATCGGAGCATATTAACCTATTTTCGGTTTCCCGGTTATTTTTTCCCGTTTTTTGCATTATCCAAATGTAGCATTTTAGAGGGGTGTATTATGGAATAAATAGGTTATTTCTGGTCGGGATTGAATATGGGTTTTATTCCTCGGAAAATATGATATTGACCTTGGGTTATATGATATTGACACTCGGTCGCTGCGCTCCCTCGGTCAATATCATATTACCCTTCGGTCAATATCATATTGTCCCTCGGAATAAAACCCATATTCAATCCCTCCCAGTAAATAACCTATATGTATCATATCATAGCGTACCTTCAGGTTCATGTTGTTAGTCTGCTAAAATGTAACATTTCTATCCCAATTCTCTGCCCTCGAAAATGGATCATTGAACCTATGCTGGAAGACATGGAATAAAAGTTGAAATGTGACAACTTTTTATTAAATGACTTCCATTTTCGAAGACACTTCTAAATCAGACGTCCTTTTGTCATTACGCGTATTCCTATAAGATACAGCTGTAGTCAGTTGTTTTCCGAAAAGGCGGACAAACAAACAAACCAACGGAACGGGTGGGTTTTTATCTCTGGGAATCAAGTGGAAACGATGACAGGTTGTTTTAGTCTCAAAATTGATGTTCTCCCGTTTGTAAGGATTAAAAATGAATATCATGTATAAAAACTTGAAAACTGTCTAATCGTATTTTACTCCAAATAAACTTTAAATGTGTGTTCGCTGCTTTGTCTTTCAATAACTTTGTGCTTGCTCTTAAACATGGGCTCTATCAATGCCCATGCTCTTAAAGCACACCGGATATGTCCGCCGTTTGTGACAACGGTATCTGACTTTACCGTTGTCAGGCTATACCTGGGTGTAAAGGTTACAAGCAGACATATACGTTACAACTCACGCAAGAAAACTTTTCGGTACAACGCGCATCGGTATTATGGCATTCGGTATAACGCCTTTCGGTACCATGCGCGTCGGTATAATGGGTTTCGGTATAATGCGTGGACCCCGTCTATGAGATCCATAGTTATCAGCTTCAAATGATCACTGAATATGTTTGAGATCCATAGTTGTCAGCTCAAAATTATCACTGTATAGCCTATTGTCTATGGTATCCATCATTCATATTTCTCAGCTTCAAATGATCAGTGAATTTTAATGAGATCCATGTATACTCCCCTCCATAAGTTTGGCAACCTTAGCTCCCCCATTAAACTACGTGTTAAAGTTCCTTTACCTTTGAATTTTTTACTTAACCTGCGATGAAAATACTTATGCTATGGATGGAAACGTAACTTGACTATATTTCCAGTAAATCCATATTTTCCTAATTGTTTTCCTCAATTGCAATAGGTCTAAAATTGATGAAGCCAATGGGAAATGGTGGGTTCGAGGTAAATCAGAAATCAGAATATCTATTCAGCAAAAGATTCGGCAGAATATATTTTTATATAAAAAATTGAGTTGTCTAACTTTTTTTTGTACACTAAGTGTTTAATTTACTTGATAAATACTAAAGTCGTTTTTGAAAATCATTTTTTCCCTCTTGCTTTATTTCAATGGGAGAGTTTTTTTGAAAAACAATTTTGACTTTAAAGACCTATAACTTTGTTGAACCTGGTAAAACGTATTAATTTTTTGTTAAATAAAGTAAGCAAATTCAATTGCCTACCTAGCTTGTATTCTTTGCAAGGACTCGGATGGATGGATATTCTGCCATATGACTTGCGGCAAACCCATCATTTCCCATTGGTTAACATGGGAATGTTTTAGAGGTAAATCATTCCTTACAATAAATTGTAATTTTGTCATAAAAGCTGAAATAAAATGCTGCATTTTTGGTGAAAATTGCGTCAGAATTAGGGAAAGTGTGTGAAGATGGGTGGATTAGGGACAGCTTAAGAGATAATCCAATCAACTTGATTATTATCCTAATGTTATTTATTGAATATAAGACATGGATCTAACATAACCATTTATTTTTATGGTAAAAGTATTCTTGGAACTAAAGATATAGGCCTTCGAAAATGCTTGCCATATCTTACGTAGCTCTTTATCATCAATTTTCGACGTATTGCAATTAAATTGGGGGAAAATATTGAAAAAAAATTGGAGGTATTGGAAATATTTTCATCGCGGGATAAGTAAATAAAAAATCAAAGGTAATGGGGCTTCAACACGTAGTTCAATGGAGGAGCTAAGGTTGCCAAACCTATGGAGGGGAGTGTAAGCTCTTGTATGTGCCTATGAGATCCATAGTTGTCATGCTCCATTGATCAAAATATATCTATGAGATCCTTATCAGGCAGGATCAGCTGTTTGAGATCCATAGTTGTCAGCTCCAAATTATCACTGTATATGTCGATCCATCATCCATCCTTTACAGCGTCCAGTGAATTTTATTGAGATTCATGTATAAGCTTCTGTTTATGTCTATGTGATCCATGATTGTCAGCTTCCAATGATCACTGAATATATCTATTAGATCCTTATCACAATCAGCTTCTGTATGTCTCTACGAGATACATAGTTGTCAGCTTTCAATGGTCACGCACTAAATATACAACCTTTTTTCCCCATTGAACTACGTTTTAGAGCCTCTTTACGTTTGGATTTTTATTTACTTAACCGGCGATGAAATAACTAATTATAATATTGATGGAAACGTAACTTGACTTTATTTCCAATACCTCCAAATTTTCTCAATTTTTTTCCTCAATTACAATAGGTGGAAAATTGATGATAAATTTGATGAATTTTTGAAAATCGTCATTCCCATTTAATCCAATGGGAAATGGAGGGTTCCGTGCAAATCAGAAATCAGGATATCTTTTCAGTAAAAGATTCAGCAAAAAATATTTTTATATAGAAAATTAAATTGTCCAACTTTTTCGAATGATGAATATTAAAGATACAGCGCTTCAAAGTCATTTTTGAAAATAATTTTTCGCCTCTTGTGTTATTTCAATGGGAGAGGTTTTTTGGAAAACAATTTTGACTTTAAAGCCCTATAACTTTGTTGAACCTGAAGAAACATATCAATTTTTTGTTAAATAAAGTTAGCAAATTCAATTGCCTGCCTAACTCGTATTTTTGCAAGGACTCGGATGGATCGATATTCTGTCATATGAATTGCGGCAAACCTACTATTTCCCATTGGTTAACATGGGAATGTCGATTTTCCAAAATTCATCAAATTCATCATCAATTTTCGACCTATTGTAATTGAGGAAATTTTGTTTAGAAAATTTGGAGGTATTGGAATTAAAGTCAAATTACGTTTCAATCAATAGTATTTCTCTTGAAACATGGTGGATCTTAAAAAAAATATATATAAAAGTGGAAGTCCCCTTTTTGAAGCTTTGGACTGAATTTAAACTTCTTAATGCTGAAATTGATAATTTATCCATACATTTTAAGAAAATAGGTATGTCAAAGAAGATGTTAAACCAAATGTTGCCTTGATAGCTCAGAAAAAATGAAAAACCTTTCCTATTTTCTCTACAGTCCTTATTGCCCCTTTAAATAATCTTTGAACAGATTGAATTCCCATTCCAACATGCTTTATTTCATAAAAATCAAGACACTATTGACTATCTTATGAAGTATACTACAATTTCGCCAAATATTCGTTAATCGCGTTCTCTTATACGAATTCGAGAGAAAAAAATTTTTTTCTTCTACCTGATGACATGGATGAATCTCGCAATTTTTTGTGCATGTTCCGTGATGCTTGGACAACATTTATCTATTTTCTTACCGAATCACTTATTGTTATTGATATTTCTTCTTGAAATATGAATGTTAAAGACAAAAACAACTTGAAATTGTTGATTATTTAATGTCGCGTTCCATTGATTTGATTTCATTGAGTTTTGGCGATACATCCTATCCTTGAAAGTACATGAAGTACAACTTCGGTTCTGCAAAGCTATTATCTGGATTTTATTTCATTTGAAAGATAAAGATTATTATTTAAGGAAATATAACTATACAGTCAGGGGGTTGCGATTGTGGCATAACAAGAAAGAGGACATCTTGATACGCTGAGAAGGGTAATATGAAAAGTGAACCAGTAAAGCTGATGAATATTCAAGTTTAATGGAATTTTGTAATACCCTGCCATGTTACCTCCCCCTAATCAGCCACCTGGTGGCGAAACTACCTACTCGCATCTGAGTAATTAGCTATAGCCTACTAAAACTTTTACACATGTCACATGGTAAGATCCCGGGGATAAGAGCCGATTCATTTTTTGGCGGCCATCCTGCTTCCAGGTGGCCATTTTCATAACTTTTTGGGGGCCATCTTGCTTTCTGGGACAACAAGCACACGCTGCTATATTTTATGTACGATATTATTCACCTTGTGCCTTGTTTAATTATATATCATATTTATGGTTTGCCGCCAAATATATAAGTTGTTATGAGTCAACTAGTTATACTATAACCTAATCCGAGCCTCGAGTGTCCATGGCATCTGAACGCCAGCAACATAAAAAGTATAAGCCGTGCTTATTTTAGATTATACTTACAAGATACTTTAGTATATATACGAGTACTCGTTTTACCACGTGTATGACAACAAAGCTCATCTTATGGAGTTTGACAAACTACTCCAAGAATATATAGGAGAAATAGGGCCCTATCAAGTGTGGCTTTTATTTTGGCTATCTTGGTTCTGGATATGGGGCACCTTCAACACTATGGGGATTGTATTTCTGGCGGCTGTTCCAGACCACTACTGCCTAACCTCTGCGCTACAGAATCTCTCATTATCACAGGATATTTACCTGAACATCTCTATACCACACGATGGGAAAAAATATTCGAATTGCGAAATGTATGATCGCAATTATACTGATGTTACTGATGATGATGTTCAAAACTGGTTACAAAACAACAATAGCAATGTTGATGCCATCGCATGTAAACAGTGGATGTATGACACATCTGTCTACAAAACTAGCTTGGTCTCTGAGGTAAGGTTCCCTACGGGTAGAAGAATGTGTGAAAATAAGATTACATAATGAAAGGAATTTTTCCAGGGAGACTCTGAGATGCATGTAGAGGCCACAGGGGGTAGCTATACTGAAAATAATTGAGCCAAAACTTTAAAATTTTAAAGGAGCATGTAGGTTATCGCAAACAATTTCAGAAGGTTATATCTTGGATTACGACTATTTTCTGACAATGAAGACAGGTTTATTTTTTAGATCAATTTATCATCTCAAAGAAAATTATATACCGTAATAATAAAGTCAAACGGACATGGAGATATTTAACTAGCAATCAACCCATCATCACATTTTTTCAAAGATGTTGACCCCATTTTCACCAAAAATGCAATCATTTTTTACAATGTTTAATGCATATTACTATTCTTTATTTTGATGGATCAAATAGTTATTGAAAGAAAAACTTAATTGCTTTAAGATAAGTGTTCCCCATGTTATGTCTCCATTGAAAAATCTCATTCTATCCATTGGTTTCAGTTTATTTTGGTCATCCAAATTCAGTATCTTAAAAGTCCCTGGAGCAATCAACTTTTCCTTTTAGGAAATCGAACATGTCTCAAAGCACATTCTAATTATGCATTCAACAATATATATAAAAGGTTGCATTTTTGGTGAAAATGATGTCAACAGTTTTGAAAAAGTATGTTGATTGGTCCATTGCCCCTTTAATATCACTTAGGTCTGATTAATTAAATAATCATTATATATACTTTTCTTGATAATGAATGGATCTAAAAGATACACCCATGTTCCATGTGCGTGATCAGGAAATATTCATAATTCAAGTTAGAATCGTTTGAAATTGTTTGCGATAACCTACGTGCTCCTTTCAATCAAATAGAATTGCGGAAATCATTTCCAAAACAGTTTATTAAAGCAAAATGTGATGCAAAGATCTTTGGTATTGTTACTAAGATTAGTAATGTCGCTTTATTTTTCTTAAAATCTACCAACCCCATAAAGCACATCCAAACATGATATGCCTTTGCTTTCATGGGTTCAACCAAGGATCAGGAGGTCGCGAAAGTAGCTTTGATATCTATCCGTGGTTAACGAAATTATGATAAATGTGATAAAGGTTCAAAGGTTGCTATCACTTTTTAAGTTTATTTGACTCTTTCAAGGGATTTTAAAAGATTGTATGCCTAAACATAATTGAAATATTAATTGACGAATGGTTTTTCGTTTAATAGTTTACATTTATGGAAACTCGTAAAAAGAAGAATACTTATATGTTGAACTTACAATTGAATGGTAGACTAAACTACATTGTTAGTTTATAACTAAATTCTGCGCGCAGACTGCATAGCATTTATGAAATCACCTAAACACCACATCTCCATCTGAGTAAGTAGTGTGGATGTTCAGTAATTTGATACAAGGATGCCATTAATTTTATTAATCAAATTATGGGTTGCTTTCCACGAGTGATCATGATCATGTAGTGGTTTGTTAAACTCCCTTCATATTTTGCAGAAAAAATTTACACGTATTGCAACAAACAGTAACTACAGAGCACATTCCCTTCCCCTATTTAATTATCATAAAATTTTTGCAAACCTCTTCAGTACCATCCAAGAGAGAGAGAGATGTTTACAACACCCGAAATAGGGTAAACTATGACAAACCCAAAATTCGAACAAATTATGGTAAAGCTTTGATATCTTTTACTGCACCATCAATTTGGAATTCATTACCTATTGAAATAACATCATCTGAAAGTATTTTTATTATGAAAAAATCCATATTGTGACTTTGGAGTTCGAGAGACAGCAGAACATAAACTCTTGTCCTGCCCTCTGAGAGAAACGAATGCGCTAGCGGTGGTTAAACGTGAACCAAACTTAGATGTAACTAAATACAAAACATTAGAAAAAAGACAAATTTTTGGCGACAAGGATCGCCAGGAAAATGAAAACAATTCCAAAATGTTTAAGGCAGTTTTAAATTTCATTAAACACAATTAAACATGCGATAACAATAATTCAAATTTAGGACACCAATGGGGGTACAGACAGGTAAAAACCAGATTGTATTTAAACTAGATTTTTCTTATACTAACAATGACTAAATGTAATTATATTGTGATTTAAATTCACTTAAAGCGGCAGTAGAAATGCCCTTTTTGGGCGATTACGCCGTGATTAAGATGTAAATTCATTTATGATTTTTATGAAGTAAAGTGTACTTATCATAGCCGTAGGGACCGGGGGTTCCGTGGGTTTGGACGAACCCCCGGTCAGGGTTTCCCCCAAAAATATTTGTGGAAAACCAGAAACATTAAATTTAATTTATATGACCAGTAAATAAAAACATAATAAAGTTGTACAATTCTCTCCAAAAGTTTGGCAACCTTAGGCAAGGGTTGGGATTGTCTAATTTTGAGAAGACCCCGGATCATCATGACATTATGCAAAGAAATAACAATAATTTCGCACAACTTAAAAGCTGCTTCATATCCGGTGAAATAAACCAAATGTCTCAATACTAACAAATTGATTTAGTTTTGCAATATTTCGATTTACTCTTTAAATCTTTTTCAAGCAACCATCACTTCGATTTCTTTTGTGATGTGACTGCTATATATACTTAGGCCATAGCCAAGATTTCTCAAAAGAGTTCTACTTTTGCTGAATTTCAATGGACATTTGTAACGCTCGTGCTCCCCAATTCACGTGTGCACCTCCATATACAGGTTGACCCAGAAAAATTACCCTCTCATTTTAATATAAACTCAAACATGATTTTTTAATTAATCTGCGTATGTAGACTGTTTAAATTCCAAGTTTTAAAATGATCACATTTTCCATCCAGGTATGGTCTAGTGATATTGTCCAAAAATATTGAAAATGCAATTTTCTGAAGTTGAGATTTCTGTCTTAGCCATTATTTGAGCCATTTCTGGATTGCTTTCATACATATTATCAATAGAATGTACAATCTACCCTTTAAACAATTCAACACTCGTCAAATATGATGCACTGACTGCTTATAAGGTAAATTCCAATGATTTATGCATTTAACTCTCTATCTACACAAAAAATCATGAAAAGTCCTTTAAAACGGAGATATAGTTATTCCCAAATTAAGGGGTGACGTTTTTGGGGTCACCTGTACTTGGACTTGAATTTGAATTTTGAATTTTATATTTTCAATTCAAAGAAAGAACAAATGGGTATTTTCAGCACTATAGTGCTTTTGTTGTAAGGCATTGCAATTTCAAAGAGGTTTAATTTTAGAGCCTACGGAGACCATAGATATCGTGTTATTTCAATTTGGTCAGTTTGGAATTTCAGCCTATGTTTCATTTTTTACAAAACTAATTATCAACTGCCGCTTCTATCGTCAAAGAGTATTCAAGTAGCTCTAAAGACTTTTTTGTACTATTAATAATTCTTCAATTCAGTAACTAAATTTAAGGTCATTATGAATGAACACTCCTCTATTATAAAATTATATACCAAATAAAATATTTTGATTTGGAGTTTTTTAGAAAAATCATAATCTCAGTATTAAATTGTGGGAATCGCATGTTTCAGAATTTGACATCTTTGTGTGAACTTTGGATCGTCGGTTCCCACGCTCAATCACTACGTTCTATCCCGAGGTGAGGATGGGTTCGAAGCTTGATGAAGCAAGATGTAAAGTATCTCCCTAAAGTAGCTCGTTTTAAAAAGATGCATATGTTCCTTAAAGATGTGTTAAGATTTGCCCTTAAACTTAGCTAAATATATGTTAACTCATCGTGAGATATCACAGCCTTCTCTCCGTTTCCTTCTATTCTTGTGCATAGCAGAGATGGTCTGAGTATCAGAATGATGTAAACTCTTGATTTGAATTTTATTAAACAAATGTAATATTAAAATCATGACCTTGCCTTCAGATTTCAGGATATCTATTGAGTAAAAAATTCACCATTATTTTAACATAGATCAAATTGTCTAACTTTTTCAAATTCAATTGTATCTTGCCAAAACAAAATGGAGGTATCGGACATGATGTCAATTTATTTTTTCCAGCACTAAAACAGTTTTTTCCTTTACATTGTACATATTATACGAATAATAATTCAAACATAAGGAGGCTTAAACACTCCATGGGGGAGTTTACGGTTGACACACTTTTGGAAGGGGTGTAAATTGTATGTAAGAAAATTACAAAAATACCCCAATGAAGGTGGAGATTTGTGGATAATATAAAAAAAATGAACCCCTGGTCACCAAATCCTGGCTACGCCACTGCTTATGATTAAAAAAATCAACCGATGTCATTTATTTATTTTTGACTGTTGGTACATTGATTATGCTATTTTGATTTCACTTCAACCAATAATTTAAAGGAGACAGAAATTAAACGGAGAGTTAAGACTAAATATACATGTAGCATTTATATAGCAATAACAAGTGCACTGGCGTTTAAAGTAACCCGGACAAACTACTCCGTAACATCAAGATCATGATACATGTATATCTATGGGGGCTTGGTAAATTCTTTAGATCATTAATTTGATATATTTGTCAACCACAAATGGTGTGAGTGGGATTTTATTCATAATTGGAGATTGGTAAAATGTGAAAGTTTTGTTAGAAGATTTCAGTCGATTTGTCAAACTGTTTTACTTCTACGTAACAAAAGCATCATGATAACGTAACACCTACCTCAGAGAAGATACCCGATACAAAATAATCTTTTAACAAACCTTTATAATATTATATTTTCCCTATCTTCAATATGAATAATAAAAGCCCACTCACACCATTTTTGGTTGACAAATATATCAAATTAATGATCTTAAAAATATACCAACCCCCATAGATAAACATGTACCATGATCTTTAAGTCACGAAGTAGTATGTCCGGGTTACGTTGAACGCCAGTGATGTGCATGTATACTTTTAAACCCTAAACTCAGTGCAATGTGGACTGAATCATTCCTCAAAAACCTTTGCACGAGGTAAGCAGCATCGAGTGTGAAGTTTAGGAAACAACGCCTGCGTTGAATGAATAAACAACAATGTATGGAGTCTTGCGCTTAAATTCTTTTCAATGCAAAATCATTTCTACGAAATCACCTAAAAGATACGAAATCACTAAAAGTACATATTTTCAATGAAACATTTTGCAAGGGTCAAGTTGGCAAAGCATCAGTTTCAATCTATAGAGTCAAGTTGTCACTTTGACAACAAGTCAACGAATGACCTCGGGTGGGTTCTTGATTACATAATGCAGTACAGTTATATGAAATACTGTATTCGGATTGGCTGGAACCGGACATACCTTGCCTAGCTATATGTGAATGTAAGTTATGTAAAACTGTTTTTTCTTCAAAAATGTTATATGAGCCATTTTTCTCTCTCTTCAATGGCACAGTATTCTCTTTTCATTGAGATTTGACCGTATGACCTGTTCGTTCTCTTTTCAGTGGGACTTGGTATGTGACAATGAGTGGAAGATAGCAACGGTGCAATCAGCATATGCTTTGGGAAACCTCATTGGAATTGTATTTTTTGGCCAAGTTGCAGACTTGTGAGTATATAGTTTTCAGAAAGGAACGCGAGTTATGTGTAGAATAAATTGGTTTTTTTTCATTTAAACTCTATGAAACGTTTCATTGACTATAAGATTGCATCATATAATTCAAAAATATATGTCTTGTTTCCAAGGATTATCCACTGATTAACTCCAACCTAATACTCGCGTTCATTTAAATAAAGTTGACAAAAGTATTGTGTAATTTTTACTTTTCTAGAACTGCAGCTTGTTTTTGCAATGGTATGGCACGTGTTGACTGCTTGCCAATACAGTGCATATCAAAAAAAACGCAACAGATTGTTATCTTGAAAAAGCACAAAACCAGTGATAACATCATTGATTTCATTCAATGCACCATAAAGCCATGTGTCTCCTCTTTACAATGATATATCATTCATTGATATTTGGTCATGGTTGGGTGAGTAATCATTCCATTTGCAAAGTGGGCCAAAATTAGCTTCGGGCCAAGTTATAAACATTGCAAAAGTCAGTGTACGGAGCCCGATGCAATATTGGACAAAAACTTAAAAGCAATGCTGACTGCATCCTTTTAATTCAATGTACCAAAAAGCCAAATTACTCCTCTTTGCAATGCAATAACATTCATTCACAGGGAGTCATCTCTGGCCGAATAATCATTAATTTTGCAAAGTGGGGCAAAATTCAGCTCGGACCCAAGTTTAAAACATTGCAAAAGTCAGTACAAGGGGCATAGGAGCTATTGGAAGGTGTAACAGGTGTGGTATAGACAGTAAAGTGTTCATACTCATACTCTTGCAAGAATACATCCTACACCCCTTTAAATTGCCACCACTTCCTTTCACTTAAATCCCACTTGGGTAGCAACACAATAGAATTTGCTGTGGTTTATTTTTAAGAATGTATGGTTTTATCAAAAGGAAAGTGCATTATTTTTCTATTGTTTTTAAAGAATGTACACTTGGCAAGCTATCAAAAACAAGTGAGACATAAATGACCATTGACAGTTTTTGATAGTTTTCATTCCCTAAAAACAATATACAAAAATACATGTACCCTTCTCTTGTTACTGTGCATTCTTTAGAATAAAACAATTTATAAATTTTTGTTGCTATCTACATCATTGATCTTATCTTACTTACAAATATTCTGCTGTATTCAAATTCAATGGTCTGGACTGGACAGTCACCTGTAGTGCACTGACAGCTAGACTAATTATAGCCCACTCAGTCACTTACATCAACTCACACTCATGAGAGGTCAATGCAACCAACTCTTTTTGTTGTTACAATTAATTGGCTATATAACAACAAATTTTAACCAATAAGAGCCAGGGTCATTGTGAGCCTGGTTGGAGTTTGCAAAATTCACAGTTTGAATAGTCAACACAAAAGAAATAAAATTTTCCAGATTAGATCATTGACCATTTACCTGCAATATACCATTTACCTGTAATAAGAATGTGTGTGATTTAAGTAAGATAAAGCATTCGAATTCGATTTGATAAGAAATAATAACCTCAGGCCTTCGGCCTTCGGTGTATTATTTCTTATAAAATCTCATTCTTATGCTTTATCCAGTACATAAAGATGCGCTCATCTGTCCACGTCATGCATGGTTCAGCCCTGAATCATGTGTGGGTTAAATCAAAGAAAAGCAGCCCATGGGCAAATCGAGGTTTTGCAATATTTGGTGGAGGAATTGTGAGCATAGATGCTCCTGAGATAGCTCCAAAAGAAAAAGTCACAACAATTCAAGTCAGGGGAACTTCCATTGGCACTTAGCCCTTGCACTGATTTTTTCAATATCTAAAACTTGGCGCAGAGCCGATTTTAGTATGGTGTTTTTCAATATAGTTTTTATGACATCTAATCTAGGTTGAAACTGACATGCAATAATGCTAGTGAATTGTGCAATCAAATCTGTAAACTAACACTTAAGTCAATATTCATTGGGTGTATGCAAATCCTATAAAATTCGTCTCAATTGCTGTAAGTAATACATTGACCCTAACACGTATCAATAAAATCCAAAATGATTACAATATACTTTTAAAAATGTTCAAACTTAACACTCTTTTGTCAATGTACAGAGATCAAATGGATAAATTCTTAATAAAACATTTTTCGATTATTCGATTATTCCTTTTGGCGTTATCATATTATTTATATTATTTCTTGTAATAATTGTAATAAACTGATAAATACAGTGTTTTTAAAACTTTTTTCAAGTGAATCCGTCCCCACGATGATAAAAATATAATTCGAACAATTCGGAAAACTATTCAAACGTCATATTCCAGAATTCCAAAATGGTAAAATGTCACACATATAAGGTTGTTGGTTGATGCTGTTAAACACGATACACGCGATACAAATACTGTATATACGGTAAACACGATACAAATATGTCATTTTTCGCGACGAATATGGCATATTCACTTGTGGTGTATGATAGATTAACCTGCGGTATATGGCATACTCACTAACCAATGAGAACTCGATACGGAAGTACGCAATAGACTAGATGCGAATAGAAATAATCTCGATTTACGTCATTAAATATTCAATATTCAGTCAAAGTGATGTCATATTTGAAATCTACATGTAAAAGTACATCTAGAAAAATGGTTCCGAAAATTGTATATCAACTTTGAAAATTCAATTTTTTTTGAAAATGTGACTTCTAGCTCGGGTTGATTCCTCATAGACCCAATGTTACAAAATCACAAAAAGTGAAATATCTTTTCTTGTATTGGACAGATAACATTTTCTTTTACTGGACATATTTTAATTTGCATACCTATTAGATACATAAGGGTTATATAAAAATTGAACCACTTAAACAGATGTAATTTAAGTTAAAGGGAACTTTCTACTATACCCGCCATGTTATCTGACCCGAACGAGCCACCTGGTGGCGAAACTGGTAACTACTTACTCGCATCTGCGTTATTGTCAATTACATCTATTGAACGAACGGGCAAAAGTACATTAGATTATCATACTGATTCCTGAATCAACAGGTCAGTGCATTGAATATATCAACTAACACACTTGAATAACATACACCACAACGGTACCTGTATTGTTTGATGTTGTTTGTGTAACCTGCAAATACACACTTCAAGAGAAACATTATTACGCGTAAATAAACGAACCTACGTTCGTGAAGCGAACAAAATCAACAGTTGACAAAGACCAGACAAAACGACTCAAAAATCACGAGTATTTATAGTATTGTTGTATTGGCAATCATGATTTCCACATTTCCGACACTTTCAGAAGTATCATTCAGCAATTACACGCAATAAACATACTTAATCAATCCAACATTCATATAATAGTACTCGAAGTGCTAACAATATTGGTAATCTAGCGTAGTTTTACATTATTAGAATCAATTCTTTTGACCAATCAAATCGAGGCTTTCTGTTTTGCCTTTTCACCTGGTATATACCGCAGGTGAATATACCATATTCCGCAGGAGAGTATGACATATTCCGCAATGATTATCGGGTATTCACTGATATCAATGTAACGAATATTCACTACGGAATATGCCATACTCACCTGCGGAATATGCAATATACCACAGGTGAGTATGGCATATTCACCCATATCACAAATACCGCACAACCATCAATGTATGCCATATTCCGGGAAACAAATGCCATGATATTCTGAATACATAGAAAAACCAAGGATTTAATACAGTCTCTCTGTATTTGCAGAATTGGTCGAAGACCAGTGATCCTTTTCACAAGTATAGGTGTTGTTGCATCACATGTTGGAGAAGTTTTGTCGGTGAACTATCCAATGTTCCTTGCAATGAGGGTAATACTAGCCATAAACAGTGGAGGATGCTTTACAGCTGCATTTGTGCATGGTATGTAACGCAATGTTCCTTGTATTGAGGGTGACACTAGCCATAAACAGTGGAGGATGCTTTATAGCTGGATTTGTGCATGGTTTGTAACACAATCTTCCTTGCAATGAGGGTGATACTAGCCATAAACAGTGGAGGATGCTTTACAGCTGCATTTGTGCATGGTATGTAACACAATGTTCCTTGCAATGAGGGTGATACTAGCCATAAACAGTGGAGGATGCTTTACAGCTGGATTTGTGCATGGTATGTAATACAATCTTCCTTGCAATGAGGGTAATACTAGCCATAAACAGTGGAGGATGCTTTACAGCTGCATTTGTGCATGGTATGTAATACAATCTTCCTTGCAATGAGGGTAATACTAGCCATAAACAGTGGAGGATGCTTTATAGCTGGATTTGTGCATGGTATGTAATACAATCTTCCTTGCAATGACGGTGACACTAGCCATAAACAGTGGAGGATGCTTTACAGCTGCATTTGTGCATGGTATGTAACACAATTTCCCTTGCAATGAGGGTAATACTAGCCATAAACAGTAGAGGATGCTTTACAGATGGATTTGTGCATGGTATGTTACACAATGTTCCTTGCATAGGGGAATTCTAGCCATAAACAGTGCAGGATGCTTTGCAGTTGGATTTGTGCATGGTATGTAACACAATGTTCCTTGCAATGAGGGTAATACTAGCCATAAACAGTGAAGAATGCTTGACAGCTGCATTTGTGCATGGTATGTAACGCAATCTTCCTTGCAATGAGGGTGATACTAGCCAAAAACAATGGAGTATGCTTCACAGCTGGATTTGTGCATGGTATGTAACACAATCTTCCTTGCAATGAGGGTAATACTAGCCATAAACAGTGGAGGATGCTTGACAGCTGCATTTGTGCATGGTATGTAACGCAATCTTCCTTGCAATGAGGGTGATACTAGCCAAAAACAGTGGAGTATGCTTCACAGCTGGATTTGTGCATGGTATGTAACACAATCTTCCTTGCAATGAGGGTAATACTAGTGATAAACAGTGGAGGATGCTTGACAGCTGCATTCGTACTGTATTAGTAACACAATGTTCCTTGCAATGAGGGTGACACTAGCCATAAACAGTGGAGGATGCTTTATAGCTGGATTTGTGTATCGTATGTAACACAATCTTCCTTGCAATGAGGGTAATACTAGTCATAAACAGTGGAGGATGCTTTAAAGCTGGATTTGTGCATGGTATGTAACACAATCTTCCTTGCAATGAGGGTGGTACTAGCCATAAACAGTGGAGGATGCTTTATAGCTGGATTTGTGCATGGTATGTAACACAATCTTCCTTGCAATGAGGGTAATACTAGCCATAAACAGTGGGGGATGCTTTATAGCTGGATTTGTGCATGGTATGTAACACAATGGAGGCAACAATGCTTGGCAACTGGCCATGGGCTCTGATATTCATAACCTCTTAATTGAGCTCGTTAATGCACATCACATTTCTATCATCACATGTAAAGATAAATACTGGTGATATTTTCGTACTATTGAGCAAGAAATTCATCGAGCGAGGGTATAAGGCATTAGCTAGAGTACTTTAATATTCTTCTATATTTCATTGCACGAATATAATAAAAACGTTCCCTAGATCCAATACCAGGTTTTTGGATGCTTTACTGGGACGTATTTACTGGTATGTACGGTTATTTACTGGGAGGGATTGAATATGGGTTTTATTCCGCGGGTCAATGTGATATTTCCCGAGGGCCTTGACTTTATGACTTCATTTCATGAATCAGAATCTTAGTTCAGAATCAATATCTGATACAAAGCCAGACTATATTTTTACAGAAATATGTTCTTACTTTATGACATTTCGAAATATAAACTTTATTGTATGACATAAATACACCAACATAAAAAATCAACAATACGGTACACAGTCAGTACATTTTATAGTACATTGTTTATTGGAGGGACCAAACGCATAGAGGTCATTTAATGGGATGGGTGGAATATGAATTTTATTCCTAGGGAAAATATGATATTGGCCTCGAAAAATATCATATTGACCGAGGGCGATAGCTGATACGGGATCCAGTATGGGATCCAATACGGGATTTTGCCTGGTACGAGATCTGATACCGGATTTCTTGAATATCAATTTTATTCCCTGTTATTTTCCCGGGGAAAACATGTTATTATGGCATGGAATAAATTAGGTTATTGCTCAGACTTCTGTGAACTTTGACTGTCTACGATGATGACAATTATCCCGTGTTCCATGGGCTTAAATGCATCCACACTAAACATATTTACTTTGTTATCATTTCCTTTACATGCGAACACCATTATCAAAACTGAACGAAATAGAAAGTGTTGTTTAGCAAAAATTCTAGGGAGGTGAATACGATTTTCGCAAACGGGATTGGGAGTTGAATACGATTTTCGTGAGCGGGATTGGAAGAAACAATACGATTTTTCTATATCTGAAATACTCCTTCCTTATTCACCGGGAAGAAGTAGTCTCATGGGATAAATTGCATTTATGATGATATCGATTCTCATTTGAACTCATATAGGGTGTTCAAAAAAAACGCAACTCAAAGAAATCGCTATATCTTGAAAAATACTGGTTCAATTATGTTCATATTTTCAGGAAGTAAAGAAGAGACTGTGTATGAACAGCTCCTGTAAATGGTTAGTTGTAAAACATGATGCCTTGGACACCTGCTCAAAAGACAGTTGTACGAGGAAAATACGAAAAACGCAGTCAGGGGTGACAGCAACCACGAAAAATTTAAATAACTTCCTAACCATAGTGTTTTCGCTCTTCAAATTTAGCACAAATCATATTCATTCATTGTATGGTAAATCTGTAGAGTGAAATCAAAATCACTTCAGGGACTTTACAGTTATGGTTGAAATGCTTTCAAATCGCAGTCAAACGCCCTGGTTCAGGGAGGCTTAAGAAGCCATTTTGACCATGACTGTAAAGTCCCTGGAGTGATTTTGATGAAACTCCACAAGTTCACTACACATTGAATGAGGATAATTTGGGCCAAATCTGAAATGCCAAAACACCATGGTTAGAAAGTTATTTGGTTTTATTGCTGTGGCAGTCACCTCTGACTGCGTTTTCATATTTTCCTTGTACAACTGTCATTTGAGCAGGTGTCCAAGGCATCATGTTTTATAACTTACTGACAACAGGAGCTATACATACACAGTCTCTTCTTTCTTTTCCTGAAAAAATGAACATAATTGAATTAATATTTTCCAAGATATAGTGATTTTCCATTCACGTTTTTCATATTTTGCTAGTACAACTGTCTTTTGAGAAAGTGTCCAAGATATCATGTTTTACAACTAACTAACAACAGGGGCCATACATACCCAGTCTCTTCATTTTTCCTGAAAATATGAACATAATTGAATAAGTATTTTCCAAGATATTGCGATTTCTTTGGGTTGCGTTTTTTTTAACACCCTGTACAATCCTGTTTTTCAGCTATTGAACTTGTGGGACCAAAATGGCGCACAGCAGTGGGGATTTTGCCTCAGTACATGTGGGGTGTAGGTTACCTTCTACTAGCAGCTATCACATATGGTATTAGGGACTGGTTCACACTTGCACTTGCACTTGCCGGACCTCAGCTTCTCAACTTTATATTCATATTGTGAGTACAGGAAAAGATATCATCTAAAATAATACCAGAGTTTCTTGCTATAAGCCCACTGGGCATTTATTTCAAAGTCCTTTAAATGAACACTCATGGGCTTTTATTACAAATGTGTATATCAAGGTTCGGATGTTATTATATGTTAAGGTATTAATGCAAATATTTCATTTCATGGTTGTGCCTACCAAGGGTTCATATATGAAAATATTGTGATATATTGCATGATTTCATACTTACAGCATCTTACCAGAATCTACCAGAATCTGTGAAGCTATTAATGCAAATATTTCATTCTATGGCTGTATACCAAGAGTGTTATGTGATAATATTGTGATATATTGCACGATTTCATACTTACAGCATCTTACCAGAATCTACCAGAATCTGTGAAGCTATTAATGCAAATATTTCATTCTATGGCTGTATACCAAGGGTTCATATGTGAAAATATTGTGATATATTGCACGATTTCATACTTACAGCACCTTACCAGAATCTGCCAGGTGGTTATATGTGAAGATATTAATGCAAATATTTCATTCTATGGCTGTAAACCAAGGGTGGCATGTGATAATATTGTGATATATTGCACGATTTCATACTTACAGCATCTTACCAGAATCTGCCAGATGGTTATATGTGAAGATATTAATGCAAATATTTCATTCTATGGCTGTATACCAAGGGTGTTATGTGATAATATTGTGATATATTGCACGATTTCATACTTACAGCATCTTACCAGAATCTGCCAGATGGTTATATGTGAAGATATTAATGCAAATATTTCATTCTATGGCTGTATACCAAGGGTGTTATGTGATAATATTGTGATATATTGCACGATTTCATACGTACAGCATCTTACCAGAATCTGCCAGATGGTTATATGTGAAGATATTAATGCAAATATTTCATTCTATGGCTGTATACCAAGGGTTCATATGTGAAAATATTGTGATATATTGCACGATTTCATACTTACAGCATCTTACCAGAATCTGCCAGATGGTTATATGTGAAGATATTAATGCAAATATTTCATTCTATGGCTGTATACCAAGGGTGTTATGTGATAATATTATGATATATTGCACGATTTCATACTTACAGCATCTTACCAGAATCTGCCAGGTGGTTATATGTGAAGATATTAATGCATTCTATGGCTGTATACCAAAGGTGTTATATGATAATATTGTGATATATTGCACGATTTCATACTTACAGCATCTTACCAGAATCTGCCAGATGGTTATATGCGAAGATATTTATGCAAATATTTCATTCTATGGCAAGGGCGCTATGTGAAAATATTAAGCAAATATTTCATTCTATGGAGGGCAATACCTGTTCATCTTTCAATGATTTTTGCGGTATGTATTGCCCGCAGCCTGTAGGGCGAGGGAAATACATGATGCAAAAATCATTGAAAGTGCAACAGGTATTGCCCGAAAATAGAATGAAATATTTGTTTTATTATATCATTGCTAGACTTTCCCTATGATCATTTATTTTAATCAATTAATATATCATTAATCCATAAGTGAACATAATTACGTACAAGTATCATTGAATGGTACACTTTATTTTCGTCCAGTGTAGTTGTCAGAATTCCCGGGCGGGCAATACGCCGGGCAATACGTCTTTTATTATCCTAAAATTGAGGGAGCTGTGAAATACGTTATGGTATTTTTGATCACATGGTACTGACTCGACCAATCAAATCACACAATTTCTGGCAATGATATAATAATATGATATATTGCACGATTTCATACTTACAGCATCTTACCAGAATCTGCCAGATGGTTATATGTGAAAATATTAATGCAAATATTTCATTCTATGGCTGTATACCAAGGGTGTTATGTGATGATATTATGATATATTGCACGATTTCATACTTACAACATCTTACCAGAATCTGCCAGATGGTTATATGTGAAGATATTAATGCAAATATTTCATTCTATGGCTGTATACCAAGGGTGTTATGTGATGATATTATGATATATTGCACGATTTCATACTTACAACATCTTACCAGAATCTGCCAGATGGTTATATGTGAAGATATTAATGCAAATATTTCATTCTATGGCTGTATACCAAAGGTGTTATGTGATAATATTGTGATATATTGCACGATTTCATACTTACAGCATCTTACCAGCATCTGCCAGGTGGTTATATGTGAAGATATTAATACAAATATTTCATTCTATGGCTGTATACCAAGAGTGTTATGAGATAATATTATGATTTATTATATCATTGCTAGAAATTGTGTGATTTGATTCGTCGAGTCAGTACCATGTGATCAAAAATACCATAACGTATTTCACAGCTCCCTCAATTTTAGGATAATAAAAGACGTATTGCCCGGCGTATTGCCCGCCCGGGAATTCTGACAACTACACTGGACGAAAATAAAGTGTACCATTCAATGATACTTGTACGTAATTATGTTCACTTATGGATTAATGATATATTAATTGATTATAATAAATGATCATAGGGAATGTCTAGCAATGATATAATAAAACAAATATTTCATTCTATGTTCGGGCAATACCTGTTGCACTTTCAATGATTTTTGCATCATGTATTTCCCTCGCCCTACGGGCTGCGGGCAATACATACCGCAAAAATCATTGAAAGATGAACAGGTATTGCCCTCCATAGAATGAAATATTTGCTTAATATTGCACGATTTCATACTTACAGCATCTTACCAGAATCTGCCAGATGGTTATATGCGAAGGAGAAAAAGATCCAAGGAGACAAAGTAGTGAAGAAAATTGCAAAATGGAATAAAACCAAATTACCAGATATTCTGAACGTTGAAATAAAAGTATGTTTATACATATTTTGATATGTTTTATCATGATTTAGCAACATCAGTTCACTTTTTTATTATGTGTCTTCAAAGTCAACATTGTTCAATTTGCTTCAATTTAAAAGGTTATTTAAAAAATCTTAACCTATATAATTTGACATTGCCTAGTTACTAAGTAGTATTCATGTCAAAATATTAAAATGTATTATTGGAATTAAAAGCATTGTTATTTTATGATGTTTGTTATCTGGGTAAATCACTTGTTTTCTTTCGTTGTGCATTTAATTGATTGGTTGTATTGATGTATTTCCATTGATATTAAGCATGTGGTGTGTCATCTTAATATAATTCATTTTCATAGACTATTTATATTTTCCAGGAGCCGGAACATAAGACTCAAGCAACGTTACTTGATTTGTTTAGGACGCCAAATCTAAGACTGATTTCCATGATACAGTTCTTCATTTGGTGAGACTAATATTTCTTATATACAGTGTATGGTCCTATAAGCAAAGATGTTGACTGCATATAGTTAAACTTGAATTACTTATTTAAAGTTCCAGTCCTAGATAATATTCTTCATTACAAATCACAAAAGTTTTACATTCTTGTGCTAACGTTCATCATAAGGCCCATTGGGTCATTAATTTGAAATATAGAATAATATCTCTGTAGACTTATTTCAAGGAAAATAATCAACTTTGGGTATTCCACAAACACAGTAAACAACTAAAGCAATTGTATCGATGCTAAAACAGAGTCCAGCTAAGGATTCCGTAAATATCTTTATACTCGGTTTTCAAAAAACACCTGATTGGCATTTTGGAAGTTCTTTCAAAGTACAGGCCAACTGACCTTTTCAAATAAACACCCAGTGCACTCTTAAAGTTCATTCAAAGTAAAGCCCATGGGCCTTTGGTACGAGAAATAACGCAAACACAGCTCATTGTCCTTATCCATTCTGAGACCCAGGTCCTCAGTTTCTGCCTTGCAAATAGAGCCTTAGAAGTAAAAGCAATTGATAGGAGGCTATGATCTCAAACTATATCCAAAATAGCAGTTTGACGCTTTTATCAAGCCATCATAACTAATTACCTTCGTAATGTTGATTCTTTATTCAAAATATAGGTTTGTGACCAGTATGGTTTACTATGGGTTATCACTGAACTCATCCAACCTTGGTGGAGACCCGTACATCAACTTCCTTATATCAGCTGGAGTGGAAATACCCGCCTATGCACTCTTTCATTTCCTCTTAAGGAAGCTAGGACGCCGGGTCTGCACATGTCTTACTCTCACCATAGGAGGCTTGGCTTTGTTGTGTCTTCTGCCTGTATCCGAGGGTGAGTTGAAAAAAGATTTACTCACAAATATTGGAACTAAAGAAACTATTTGTGGAAATCAATTGCAAAGATCAGTATGTTGGGCTGACGTATGGGAAGGAGCCGTACTTAATTTTGTCCTGGCGAACCAGTTAACGGATTGATTATAGGGACGTTTCTTGTCATCAAATTTCCAGGATAACTGCTTACCTGTTCAACTTGAAATTTTTACAGATGCAAGAGCAGACTAGTACCAAGATATGATTAGGTTAAAGGCATGCTGGGTAAACTACGTGGCGGCCATTTTGAATTTTTCAACAAATCTTGTCATCAAAATTCCAGGAAAACCACTTATCCGTTCAACTTGAAATTTTTACAGATGCAAGAGCAGACTATTGCCAAGATCTGATTAGGTTTTGGGTATGCTTGCTGAATTACATGGTGGCCATTTTGAATTTTTCAATTTGGCGGCCATTTAGAATTTTTCAACTTGCTCCAAATTGACCAAATTTTTTTTTAAAAACATCTACAAGTTCTCAAAAGTTCAAATCTGACCTTAGATTTCAGATTTGACCTTTCGTTCACCTTCAGTGACCTTGAAAAGGTCAAAAAAGTTGATTTTCTAAATTGATATTTTGGATTTAAATTTAGGTCAGCTTAATTACAAAACACCTACTACTGAGGTCTGTAAAAGTGAAATTTTCAAGGTCAAAGGTCAAGGTCATTAAACTAGGTCACAGATTTGACCTTTCATTCACCTTCAGTGACCTTGAAAAGGTCAAAAAAGTTGATTTTCTAAATTGATATTTTGGATTTAAATTTAGGTCAGCTTACTTACAAAAGACCAACTGAGGTCTGAAAAAGTGAAATTTTCAAGGTCGAAGGTCAAGGTCATTAAACTAGGTCACAAATGATGTTATCCAAGTTTCTCAAAGTTTGAGACTACAAATCAATTCTTGTCATCAAAATTCCAAGAAAACCGCTAACCTGTTCAACTTGAAATTTTTACACATGCAATAGCAGACTAGTGCCAAGATCTGATTAGGTGTAGGGCATGCTGGGTAAACTACGTGGCGGCCATTTTGAATTTTTCAACACATCTTGTCATCAAAATTCCAGGAAAACCACTTATCCGTTCAACTTGACATTTTTACAGATGCAAGAGCAGACTATTGCCAAGATCTGATTAGGTTTTGGGTATGCTGGCTGAATTACATGGTGGCCATTTTGAATTTTTGAATTTGGCGGCCATTTTGAATTTTTCAACTTGCTCCAAATTGACCAAAATTTTTTTAGAAAACATCTACAAGTTCTCAGAAGTTCAAATCTGACCTTAGATTTCAAATTTGACCTTTCGTTGACCTTCAGTGACCTTGAAAAGGTCAAAAAATTGATTTTCTAAATTGATATTTTGGATTTAAATTTAGGTCAGCTTAATTACAAAAGACCTACTGAGGTCTGAAAAAGTGAAATTTTCAAGGTCGAAGGTCATCAAATTAGGTCACAAACAATGTTATCTAAATTTTCCCAGAGTTCAAGACTACAAATAAATTCTTGTCATCAAAATTGCAGGAAAACCGCTAACCTTGTCAACTTGAAATGTTTACAGATGCAAGAGCAGACTAGTGCCAAGGTCTGATTAGGTTTTGGCCATGCTGGGTAAATTGCATGGTGGCCAGTTTGCTCTTCAAAGTGCGATATTTATCACTGTGTGTCTTGTTTATGTCCCCACCACATAGTGTGGGGCCATATTGTCGGCTTAGGCGCGTCCGTCCGTCCGTACGTCCGGCAGTTTTCTCCAAAACCGCTACAGATGTCACCTTCAAATTTTCAGGAATAACTTATGAGTGCATACAGATGTTGATGAAATCTTTTTAACTCGATACCTACTTCCTGTCGGCCATTTTGAAGTCAAATGCTCAAATCCTTGTCTGCAAAATTTAAGAAAAAAGGCTTCACAGTTGGTTTTAAAACTTTAACATCTTGTTCAGCTCACTTCATTCTAGATCTGATTAGGTTTTGGACATGTTAGGTCAGTCATGGCAGCCATTTTTAATGTCTTAAGAAAAGTTAGCGTGCGATAATACTTTGTATCATATTGAATGGTATTTTTGAGTTTTCATACTTTAACTATTTAGTAGCTTTATAAATAATTTCAGGTGTACTTTGTCGTAAACACTAATAATCACTTTTTTATTGTCGGCCATTTTGGATTTTTCCGTTCTAAAATCTTGTTTGTAAAGTCTTGTCTACACGTTTTCAGGTGAACTGTTTGGTAGATCAATTTCAAATTTTCAGGGATGATTCTTATTACGAAATCTAGATCTGATTAGTTTTTTGGCATTCTGGGTAAATGTCAAAGCGGCCATTTTGGATTTTCCGTCCTAAGATCTTGTCTGTAAAGTCTTGTCTATGCATTTCCAGGTGAACCGTTCGGTAGATCAATTTTAAATTTTCAGGGATGATTCTTAGTATGAAAATCTAGAACTGATTAGTTTTTTGACATTCTGGGTAAATGTCAAGGCGGTCATTTTGGATTTTCCATCCTAAAATCTTATCTGTAAAGTCTTGTTTACACGTTTTCTGGTTAACTGTTTGACTGATCAATTTCAGATTTCCAGCGGTGGTTCTTAGTATGAAAATCTAGAAGTGACTAATTTTTGGGCATTCTGGGTAAAATTTAAGGTGGCCATTTTGGATTTCCCGTCCTCAAATTGTGTCGGTAAAGTCTTGTCTACTCATTTTCGGGATAATCATTTGACGGGATCACCCATTGGTGGGGACATTTTGTACACATTTGTGTTCTTGTTTAACTTTCTGTCCCAAAAACTGTCTGTTTAATCAAGGGTGCGATATTGTTCATCCCGTGTTGTGTTCATATTATAATTTTGCTATTCCTGAATTCCTTTATCGGGGCCTTCTATTAAAACCTCGAATGGTATTCATGTATGTCTAAAGTTTAATCAATCTCTAGTTTACATATGCATATCATATATTTCTATTTCATTGTAAAACGCCTTGAAATATTGATAAAGCGCATTGAAACGCAGCCAAAAAACAAGATTCATTGATACAATGTATGTTCATAACTGATTATGTTGTTAATCCAGTTTTAGTTTGGTGGCATACATAGTACATGTACTTACCAAACCCTTCCATTTTTTGTTGACGAGTAGGTCATTTCTATATGGGCAATTCTCATGGGGTATTTAAAAGTATTCTTTAAATGTTATAATGTATGTTCGGAGAATTTTATCGCTATAAATGGTTATTTTTTGTTTCAGAGCACCAGATTGTGATCCTAGTATTATCAATGACTGGTAAATTCATGGTGTCTGGCACATTCGCTATCATATACCTGTACTCTGCTGAACTATTCCCTACACCTGTTAGGACAGTTGGCGTAGGATGTTCATCTATGTTTGCCCGTGTTGGAGCTATTGTAGCCCCATATATTGGACAGTTGCCGTTTTTGGTATGTTCCTGTTTATCTTTCTGGCTCTTATCTTCATCGAAATTAGATAGGTGACACTTAAATAAATGAATAAATAAATAAATACTGTACACACTGTGTCCGCGTATAGTTTAATAAAATGCTACTTTATAAAACTTAAATGTTGGGCTATTTTTACCAACTTTTAACCAATTTGGTTTTCCAAAAGGTTGTGATGACCTGTAATGATCAGGGTAATGTTATCAAAATTGATTCTGCCTTTATGCCTGGGTCACATTTGCTATGATTTCTGAAAAGGTGCTCGACCGATTAGTTTTTTGGCCAACATCCGTCTTCAAGCCTGGGAACCTTACGAGCGTCGGGAGATTATCAGCCTCTGTTGACCAACTTGTACATTAAAATTAAATAGACATGTCAAAAAGTTGTATTTGCATAAAATACATATTTGGAAAAGTTAATGATCTCCATCTCTAATTGATTTTTTTTGTTGTAGGCTCGTCACTTGCATGGTATAAAATATGCACCATCCATTATATTTGGTGCCTTCTCATTCGCTGCTGGTTTACTCACTTTACTGCTACCAGAGACGCTGGGCAAGAATCTACCTGAGACTTTGGAAGAAGGGGAACTCATGTCTAAAAGAACCTCCTATAGAAAAGTATTGAGATTATAGGTCTTAGCTCTGAAGTGTTTTATAATTTAAGATCAACTAAAACTGATACATAACAAGACAATACAAAGAACCGAAATATTCCATCTTGAACATAATCAACAATGTCTTTGAATTGACTTGAATTACATCAAATCATTGCATCAGAAATGTAGAAACACAGTCTGCATATAGTGGCCACTGCACGGTTTCATGTTTTCAATGGGTCACCTCGGCAGACAACATTCGCGACTCAAAGATTTTTAGGTGTTGACTTTTTCAAAGAAAAAGTATATTATTACACCGTTGCTCATTATTACGGGATCGGGATATTTTTTAGTTTAGTTTATTGTTTAGTTTAGTTAAGTTTTATTGTTATTTACAGTGGTAAGTTTACATCATTTAATACAGTACAATACAAAAGAAAAGTAATAAAATAACAACCCACCCCACATGGGCTTATCAACCACTAAAGTAAAGATATTTGCATATAAATCTTTTTTTGACACAAGTATAATTCATTTAATATTGTAAATTGCATTTCTTCTTTTAAAATAGCAAAATTTAACAAGTTGATTCTCTTTCTTCAAAAATTTGATGATTTTGTAAATATTTTCCCCTTATTTCTTTATAAAATGTGCAATGAAAAATAAAATGTTCCTCATCCTCTATGTTGCCAGATTTACATAAAGTACATTTTCTATTTTCCAATTTTTCATTTCTAAATCTACCCGTTTCAATTTCGAGTGGCAAAATTCCCATGCGTAATTGTGCAATTAAAGATCTTTCTAACTTAGATAAATTTAGCAATAAATATGAGTCAGATTTGTATGAGGATTTGAATTTTACATATGTTCTTAATTTTGGCTTCTTGTGAATTAAATCATTCCAAGTTTTGTTATATGTATCTAGGAGTATAAAATACAGGAAAAATGTTTTAATTGTTTCAAGGTATGTAAATTATTGTCACATATAATCAGGTAGTGAACATGTATAGAGTATTTTCGTTCGAAAAACAGATATATGTTTTATTTGGTAGACCAGTCTGTTAGTTTCCTTACTTGGTAATACGATTCCCGGTAATACGGTCATATCGTTCCCTGTACACCCATACTAATTTTTGATAAAGTGACACCCATCCATCTAGTTCTTCTAGAAATATTTGGAAAAAATTCAAAATATTTCTTTGGCTAAACCACATTATTGAAAAACTAGTTTTGGTTGTAAATTGATGTTTCAATATGCAAGTAGAGGTAAATTTTAACCTTTTCAGAAAGTCAATATAGTAACATGATTATAATATAAAAATAAATATAACATAGCTTATATATAGTTAATAAAAACTTAGAGACGTAAGAACATCTTTGTCAAATTAAGTAAACGCCACTATGTGTCAGGAATAAAAAAAAGATAAACTGTTAAAATAAATATTTTGTTACTATTATGGCATTAATAAATTTCCCAAACTGAACAGATTTCATCAATATAATGTTTTGAATTAAAACTGTATTTCACTAAATTAATTCCCATGGTGATGGAAATGGAATGGATCATTTACCCTGCGTGCAGAGTCTAGTTAAACTACAAAGACGAAGCTCTCTTTTAAGAAGTGAAGTCAAACGAATGCAAAGGGTAATGGATCATTGAACATCTGTTAACAAGAGACACTCGATAAGTCTGTCAGATTTGAGACTCACACATGCAAGATGGTATATTGGAACCGTTTTTAATTTATTTATTTGGAATTACACTTGTATATCACTGGCACACTAAAACCTCAGAACAAATGTCATTCATTTTTCATTTTCCGTGCTATTCAGACCAGTTAGATAAAATGAACATAACTGCTTATTGTCATCAGGCATTCTTTTCAAAGTTGATCCTGAAACAATCATCTCGGTAATCAATCCATCTGATTCTATAAACGCAGCAGAATAACCCCCAATATACCAGTAGTGGAACATATCGTCAACGCCCTTAAGCCAAAACTGATGCGCCCTTCCTTCTTTAGGATAGGCAAACATTCTACCCCACCCAATAGCAAACTGGAGGACTTCGACATCATCTTCTGTTCTATTTAGAGTCATGGACACACATCCGAATCCTTCCTTCCCAAAAACGCCGGTGTATTTATCAAGTGGTAGAGCCGGGGCCACGTCCTCTGGGATAGCTTGATATGATGGTAGCCCAACTGGTTCACCCCACGGTGCGGGAAATGTACAAGCAGTTGTGTCGTTCAGATAGTTTGGTAATTCGAGCAATACGTCAAGAATGTATTCTTGAATTACTGTTTCTGCTACCCACGAGACGTCTGTATACGGACCATTCAAACCAGTGTATATACCGATTTTTAAATCAGGAACATACGTCATCAATGTGTCACATCCACCATGGCTTCCGGTATGCTGGACCAGTTGAAAGCCTAGACAATATTGGTATAAACAAAATACATGTACCTTGTACTTTATAAGTCTTTATTGACATAAAGTGCATACTGCTACCTGAATGATGGATGAGTTATTATTTTGAAAACACCACCTGATACTTTGACCCTATCAAATGTTTCAAAATATTGCTTGGCACGATCTCTTACAAAGGGCTGAGAACTGTAGGATCAAGGTAAAGGTGCTTACCTCGATAGTAGCGATGCCACGAGGCCATACCATATGATAGTGTCTGGCTTGTAGTTGGGAAGTCAGGTCTCAAAGAATAACCATCGGCGACTCCATTGTATGGTAAAGGGTAAAATATTTGTGGTGATAGCACCTCTTTTATCAGATCTGGGTTCACATGCTGAAATGAAAATTACCATATAATAATCTAATGATGGTTCTTTTAAAAGTTGTTAATTTGCTTCTCTAAGAATTGTAACCACGATGTCTGAAAATTTAAAACAAAGAGGATAGATATCTTGCTACTTTTGGACATGTTTTACAATTTGTAACAATTAAAGGCCCCGTGCAAAATTTGAAAATATTAAAGGATATAAGACGAGGACTCATGCAAATGAGGATGATTTAATCAACTAATGTGTCGTTTCCAGACCTTTGCATGAGTGAGGCAACTGAACATACTTGCGTTCCATCTTCTAATTTGCCCTCTCTCAAGACAAATCTTAAATATTTAGCGAGATCATCAGCGGTGCTGGCCAATCCGAACCCACCAACATTCGAACCACTACGACTAAAATACGATACGTTATAGCGTTTCATTTCCTCAACTACATACTGGTGAATGCATTGATATACCCTCTTATGGGTATTTAATGCCGACCCTGTTAATCAATGGTTGACAATTTTAGTAAATTAATTTAAGAATACTGGATTTACCGGTCATGAGATAAATAAATTGGTAAAGTTTTGTCTCTAGACAAACTATTTATTTATTTATTTACTCAATTTATTTGTATCAATACAATATAATTGCAAAAGTTGCTCCTCAATCGATTTTCAGCATTGTAGAAGAGCAAAATAAATGGAAAATAAGATAATATACAGACAAACTACTTCTTTGTACTACACTGTATAAACAGTTTCTTGGAAATGCAACTTTCAAGAAAAGTTTCTTTTGTTTATATCTCATGCATTACATATATTTGTAATCATGATGAGCAATTTATGAATGTTACAATAATATGAAGTAATAAAATAAAGAAAACCTGCAGCAGAAAAATATGAGATATATTTCATCGAACAATGTACCTGATAAAGTTCCTGGTAGTTTTTAACAATGTCCCATTAGGACCAGGTTGATACCCAGTAGCATAGCTTTCATCATCTCGCGCCTCGCCGATCGTATTAGAGTGAACCATGCCCAGTGGCTCAAATAATTCATCTCGTAATATTTGTTCAATCGTTTTATTCTCTAATATCTCAAATGCTTTATCAAGAAATAGAAATCCATCGCTTGAGTAATGAAATCCTCGCCTTAGTTCGTCAACAACCGGATAGTGTTTTGTATTTCTGAAAAACGAACTTTTTATCATTATACACTGTTTTGGACATGGCTGATATTAAACACATGACAACTTAAATTCCATTGTCCGTCCTTCACATGTCGAATCTTCTTAAGCTTGCCAAATCCTATATTGCTTTATAGGAAACCATATGGCAATGTTTTATATGTCCCTGGAATAACCCAACCGTAATTGATACGCCAAAAATATGAAATGTATAGTATAGAAGTATAGTAATTTTACACTGTACTTGTACCTTATACGGTCATACTTCGTCGTTGCATACCAATTCTCTATTAAAGTAGTTGTTGGAAATCTCAGCCCATGAGCCATCGATACACAATCCTGAAAAAGTGCAAGATTTAAAAAGCAATAATTCATTTAAAACCGGAGCATTAATGTCCTAGGCCCCTCTCCCAATCAAATAACAAAACAAGGCGTGTGCGGTTGGTTAGATGGCATAAGCTTGTCTGTTAGACTGGTCATCGCCGGGAGGGGTGTGAGTGTATACGCCGCGTTCCCCGGGGTTACGATGGTCAGTCTAAGACGCTGCGTTTTAATAAAACCCATTGACGCAACTCGACAGCCCCCAAACCGCCACAATCCTAAAAAGTGCAAGATTTAAAAGCAATAATTCATTTAAAACCGAAGCATTATCCTGCACATATTGCCGCTATAATGTATTGCAATCGTAAACTATTCATTTACCATAACATATTATACCGTCTTCATTACATTACAAGAAGAGCGCTAAATTGACATTATACATACTCTTATTGGTTCTGGAGTATCAATCCTAATCATGCCATAAATAATGACCTAAACAGAGAACTTATGATGCGTCCATGCATGACTTAATAATAGTTTACACAAAAACTATACTTCAAGAGAATAGTTTTTACCAACCCTTATTGTTAACATTTCCTCTGCTATCTTGTCGGAGAGTTCCAAATGATCACCCAGAAGCTCTTTCACTGTAGTGTCAAATGTATATCTGGAATAAAACATAACATATCAGCTAATGGTTCCTATCTGTATCCATACTAGAAATTCATTTTAACAAATTTCGGAAATATTAATTTTCAAATAAACATTCAAATTCACAAAACATTCCGCCATTTTTGAACAAATATGAGACAAAATCAATGGTGAATTATGTATTTGCGTCACTCATACTATGAATGCCTATACTATCAATAAATTAAGATATGATCCTTTAAATGTTTCTTTGTATGTCAGAATTTTACTCTAGTTTTCAAGTATGTAATCAAATTTTGATAATACTGAAAACTAAAAAAAGTTATTAAAGAAAAAGTGACCATTGAACAATTCTGTCCGGGCTACCATTTACTGGACACTTTTTGTCTTGGCTTTGTGATATTCATTCACCTCTTGTGTGGTGTAAGTTTTATTTTGATATACCACCGTAATGAGAGCACGGACCAATAGTATATAGTTTGTGATGTGCTCGATCGAAGCTCTTTGGTGCTGAATCGCTGAAGTTATTGCACATTTAGTTTCAACAAATAGAAAATGCATCTTTTGGCTCAAGTTTAGCTTTCTAATATATCAAATATGTGATATAGAGGAGTTGACTGGTTAGGTCATAATGGTGACATTGGGCCTTACCGGGCGAGAGGTTCACATGGATCTGTCTGCAAGATGAAGCAACATTGCACTGCTCCAATCCTTCACTTGAGAAAACAGACTCACCTTCCATTGTATGGATCACACCTGCCCTGCACATTCTCATTTATAGGGGATATTTTAAAGGCAGGGTCTATGCAAACAATCACACAACTATTGATGAGCTAAAGAATATTAAAACAGGAGGTTTCCTTATGACAACATGGACAGGGACATTACAATGTATGCAAGGAGCTTGGATTGATCTGTGCTCACATTATGGTGGTATATGATATTAAAACTTACAGAATACAAAACATACATGTCTGAAGAAGAGGTCTATGAAAAAAATTGGGAAATCTTCCTATTGTTAGAAAAAGTTACGCAATCAAAAATGTACCACCCTGGAGTTGTTTTTGCTATTTGAAGATGGCTTTTGCGGTTTGATATCATAGATATAATGTAATTAATGCATAGCATTGCTAATTTGAAACATCAAATACTAAATATAGATTTTTTTAAAAGAATTGCGAAATCTAACTAAAACGTCGAGGGTTTGAATAGAAAAGTGTAAATTCAAACAAAAAGATGAAATATCAAACATAAAGTTGAAAAACGAATAAAGGCCCCAAAACGCATTTATGTCAAGAATGCCCGAGGTCAAGATGATGTTCACGTGAAATTAAGGCCAATCTTCCAAGTTAACCAACTCTGAACTCTTATATTAGTTACCACTGCATGAGCTACTGGTGATTGATCATAACATTTATTAGTATTAGTTTGTACTTACTTTGGATATTTTGTCAACATTCTGGCGACGAGAATCGTAAACATAAATTTAGACGTGCTTTGTATCGACATGGGTGTCTGCGAAGTAAATGCTTCGTTTGTGTCCACATTTTTAAAGCCATAGCCTTCGCTCAATACAACCTTGTCATCCTTTACAATAGCAAGGAACATCCCCGGCACATTCCTGCATGCCATGGTCGTCGCTATGAATTCATTTAAGTTCACCGTGTCCCTTGCACTCCATTCTTTGGACAGACATCCATGTATGAAAACAAGTAATATGATAAAATCGTACCTGGCCATTGGAACTATATGTTTTTTATGCATGCACAGACTTAAACTTGACATGAATTCATAAAAACAATATTTAAATGTGTCATTCAGGTAGACTGTGTGTAATATATACCTTTTTGTATTTACATTTGTTTTTCATACATGCATAATAGACTTTGTGTAGAGCTATATAGTCCTTGCATTGCATTTTAAAGTGTCATTATTGTCACCATTTTCTCACTAGATCGAGTGGAAATCCCTGAAGATCACTTCTCGAATTGCTTTCCCTACGGACTCAAGGGTCCTCCCTTTCCATCCACTGGTACACCATAAAAATCTAGCAGATCAAGACCTTACGGTTTTTGCACTCTGAACATGCTTTATAATATGTAAAAGGATTAACTGAAAATGAATATTCATGAAATAGTTTTAATGTTTAAGTATTTAATATATAACTAAGAATAAAATATGTATGAATAAAAATTGCTCGTACATTGCTTTGAGAGGTTGCTCTCTGTCTCTGATAAAACTTTGAAAAGATGGTTTCCCCCAAGCAAGGTTGAAAAACATAATATTTCAGTTCAGATCTCTGGTAAACAAGTGTTAAGCATCAGCGAAAGATATTCCTAATTTAGTGACAATTTAGTGAAAATGAGGTGGAAGAGTTGGATTGGGGACCTTACATTGTACTATATCTAGTAATATTTTGAGATATGTTCATATGTTCATGAGATATGTATTTGTTCTGAGAAAATAATTACTGTAACATCATTTACCATACTACAGTGTGCTATACGTGGTCCTTAGAAAAGAAAATCCAAAATTACAATGACAAAGTTTTAAACTGGGTGCCAAAAAAACAAGATGGCCACCCAAAAGTTAAGTAGCCGTAAAACTTGGTGATGTAAACGGGACGCCACGACGCCACGATCAATATAACGATCACGCCACTATAATGACGACAATATCCCACCGATTGTGTGATACTAAAAAGGTGTGAATATTATTATGTATCCATAAAGTTCTACTAAAATTATACTTTATTACTCCAATAAACAATACAATAAAGTACTTCATTATCTGTGAATTATTAACTTGTGGGGTTTCTGCACATCTATTTTGAATTGAATTTTAATTGAAACAAAAGTAAGAATAGAAAGATCTCAATTGTTTACCTAAAATTGCACAAAGCCGTTCAGTGTATTGAAATAAAATAAAGTGTCAACACGACGAATGTTAACCGTAAATATTAGTACTCTTTACAAAGCACGCATTTCAAGTAAGATTGTTGATTGTCTTGGCATAAAGGTACATGCAATCCACATATTCAATTTTACCTGTGGAAGCATCCTGTAAGACCTACAATATCAACATTAACAGTTAAGGATAAGAAGCCACTAAATGTTAAACATATACGCGGGTCTTTAAGTTGAAGTTAAAATGCCCAAAGGCAAAGAAACGACTGCAGCCATCTAAAGTGTTAAAATTAACAAGGTGTATAGTAAAATGAACCATGCAGTCGTAATGTAAGCAAAACAATGCTCGAAAGTTAATTTCATTTATGTTAATCTAAAGGACATTCTACTTAGATGTAAATTAATACTTAAACGACTGAATATATATTAGGAGGACAGTAAGGAGTAAATTAGAAGAGATTATCACCTTCAATTGGAAAATATAAAAATCCCTCAGCACACAATACAGAGACAGTACTTGGAAATACTTTGAAGGAACGGAACGGAACAGAAATCAAATTAAATAGAAATAATGGAGTACGATCAGTTATTAAAAGCATACTTGGGAGAGATAGGACGCTATCAAATGTGGATCATCTTCTGGTTGTCATGGGTTTGGATTTGGGGTGCGTTTAACAATATGGGAATTGTCTTCCTTGCGGCTGTTCCTGATCATTGGTGTGCGACCCCCGAACTGGACAACCTCACCCTCACCCAAGATGTATACAAGAACATCTCGATACCCTACGATGTGGAGAAGTCGGAGTATTTGAGCTGTGAAAAGTATAATATGAGTTTTGGTAGAATGACAAAAGCTGACATTGAAGGGACAACATTTGCCAACAGAAGCGGTGTTGCGAGAGTTGGATGTAGCAGTTGGCAATATGATCAAACACTTTATAAATCCAGCGTTGTCTCTGAGGTGAGAGAAGTAGAACTCTTTATTCTATCAAATAGTAATCTTATTACTGTGTATCTAAAAGTATTTTACTGACGGAACCAGTTTCAATCCGTCTCATATTCTAATGATAACTACCATGCGCGCAAAGTCTAGTTATAACTACCGACAAAGATCTCTTTTAGAAGCGATGTCGAACGAATGCAAAGGGTAAATGATACCAGAGAAAATAAGCACAGTATTGTTATCATCTCACTTTTTGTTCTCACAATTGAAATAAATACTGAAATACTTCTGTTTAATATGGAACCTTTAATCTACCCAAAGAAAGGGCTTTCGAAGAGACAAAAGTGAACTACTGTTGTTTTATATTGTATCATAAATGATACAGGTAACATGATATTTTTGATACATCATGCCCCATGGGCATGCAATCGAATGTGTGGGTAAATAACGACTTTCATATTGAACTAGCTATAAGATAGATAGACATTCTGAAGAGTAAATCAAAATTACTAAGAAATCTTTGGTATAAATCTCTGAGAAGCTCTAGACAAGGACGTCTATCTCCTTGCTCTAGAGTAAGAAAACACTTTGAAAACAAACTTCTTGACGTGGTGCAAATAGAAATGCTATTAGTTTTTGTCAAGAAATATTTAGAATCCTGTCAAAGTGACATCATATTTGAACTCTACATAAAAAATTACTTACATCAATTTGGCTTTGCAATGAGGGGAAAACTGCAGAAAAATGGTCTTGATGTATCACTTTTTGTCGTTCAAAAGTGCTATATTGCCGTCGTCCTGTGCTGAGAAAGAGGGGTACAAAGTTCTACAGAAATGTGTCAAACATAAGTATTGACAGTTCATTGAGTGGTGTTCTGAACAATTCACTTCATATTCTGTCAGTTTCATTACCAAAATTAATATAATATAATCTACATCTTTCATCAACTCTGAGTTTGCATTACTAGTTGCGTATATAGACTGGAGTATCATGTGTCACATTTTAATCTCTTCAGATTTACATATCCAAACAGTTTATTGAGTGGTGTTCTGAACATACTTTGGAGTCTCTTCAATTCAAAATTCCCTTTCTTCCTAAACTAACTAAATTTGCATATAGCTTACTGTTTTAAAAGGCAAACACATTGTTATTTCTTTAAATAGACCATTGTATTTCTTCACTTTTCTGTCGTTGGTCAAGAACACCTCCTCTATTTCTTTTCTATAATTCTGCCAAATCGGTTTGACAGACACAAGAAATTATTCTAGTATCACTACCATCGGTTATTGAAATAGCTAGGTTAAGTGATCTTTTGTTGAAATATGAGATGGACGGTTTTGAAATAACTCAAAATTTGACTTTATTTGATCAACAAATCTTACCGACAATATCATGAAATCTGTGTCATCATGGTTTCTCATTGTGTTCATTTATGACGGGTGGTTGGCACTAGTTATAAATCGCACTGTATATTTCAAATTACAATGTTAGTGAGGCTATATATATATATAAATTAATTCGGATGCCACTTTGAATGTTTCAGTGGGATTTGGTGTGTGACAATGAATGGATGATAGCAACAGTTCAGTCAATGTATATGGTTGGACTTCTCATTGGAGTTGTCGTCTTTGGACAACTAGCAGACGTGTGAGTCAAATTTAAAATCTCGAAGCTAACAACCATAGAGAATGTTCCTTTTCCATATAGCTTTCAATTGAAATCTCGCTTAAGTTTCGATTTAATGAGATATTACGAGATCTGTATTTTTAATCATTAAAGACTAACATTTTTTCTGTGTTTAGTTTTTTATCAAAACAACTTTGATTTGGACCGTATTTACCTTTATTCAAATTCTTATGATTTTCTAGTTGTCTAAAAAAGGTCGGGCTAAATCCACATTGACACAATGCTGAAGAACCTTCTAAAGTTCATTTACTCTTACAAGGATCACAATTTTAATGTGAAATCACAATCCACCTGTCAATAAGATCCTATAGTTACATTCCAATGGTGTTTAAAGTTGATCCAAATGGAATTACTTTAAATCAAGAAATTAGACCACCAATACCCATGATTATGATATCATCTATTTTCCATTTATATGGAAAGGGTCAACTAAAAGAACACGGTCGATTTAATGTGTACATTGTAATCACGGTGCGGTAGCCAAACTGCTTGCCTACTATGCACGCAGTTTGAAAGACTGACAAACTGCGCGCCTATCAACATTGCATCATAAAAGTTGGAGTCTGTGTTTTCAAACGTCATTTTAAGACATTTATTCTGAATTGTTTTATAGTTCAACACGTCCATTCGGTGGCGATTATATGATTCAACCATGTGATAGCGAAATGCATGTCCAGATGAACGTAGGTTTAAAAACATAAGCAGATTAATACAAAAAATTGACATCGATTTTTCGATCACCGATACATAAGTTGATATCGCACGTTTCACAGAAATATAAAACACTTGGGTTTTGATTCACAGGTAAAGCTCAACCCAGTTTTCCCGTACAATACAAAATATTTCGTATTAAAACAGATGAACATGACAGAAAGAAGTAATAAAACACAAACTGCGCGCCTATTTTAGCCAGAAATCACAAACTGCGTGCCTACTCTTCCAAACTGCGTGCATATTATCGATGACTTCTCAGTAATGCAGGCCTATGTGATTTCATGGGAGTACGTAAGTAAGTTGAAAAGGTAGAGATTGAAAAGGTTCAAATAAATCAAAAACTAAAATTGGGTTGATGGTTGACAACCAGTGGAAATGTACATATTTATATTTTATTTTGTTCTTGTCTATATGATTTAATAAAAAATTGATGCAATAATTCGACTTCATCATATAGAGTTGAGTTCAAAAATCTCATGAAAATGGTTTTGTTCTATTGGGGTCCTACTAAAAGACACCCAGGTGGCCCCCGCCTAGTCCCCATCGAAGTGCCGAAGTGCCTATTTTACTACTTTATTTCAAACTAACATGGTGCATGATGCATGGTGCAACATAAATACAATTCGTTCATAAAAAGTGTGTAAATATATATTGAATCCTTTTTTAGCAACATAAGTAAGAAAAAGATATTTACAACAATCTCACTCTTTCGACTTGAAACTTATTACCCATGTTACCATAAATAAATGACCATGCATGCATGACGAGCAAAAATTCAGAAATTCAAAACTTTTTCACTTAAATCTTTGAATTTTTGGGGATACAATATTTCCGAGTCTATTTTATAGCATATACCAAAGGAAGTTATACTTGAATGTCCCGACTGCAGTACATGATGTATAGTATATACGAGCCTGATAAATCCAAAGAAATTGAGGAAGAGTTGACACAATGTACTATTTCTTTTAAGGTTTGAGAGGACATCGGGCAAGAGGTTTTCACAGTCTTTTAATGTTTTTTCAAATGAGTCACTGGTACCTTTAAATAATCGCCTCTTTGGTTTCTTGATTGGTTTCCTTTTCTTCATTGGTGCGTTTTAAAATAACATCTTGTTTAATTCAGAAGGGAGTGTCATGGTTTTTGAAGATGCGCCGTTATCTACATTTTTGTTAGGGTCAGACTTTGGTTTCTTTTTATATAGGGACGGGTTTAATGAGTGGCGTTTACGTTTTCTGAAAATACACAACAAACACAACACAACACACAGCTTGCAAATTAGGCGCGCAGTTTGTAAATATAGGCGCGCAGTTTGTAAATATTAGGCACGCAGTTTGTGAAATCCACGTGAAAGTATGCACGCAGTTTGACAGCGAAAAAAATAAAATCACGTTAATGGCTTGTCACTGTTTAACAAATAAACTATATAACTTAAACCATGTGCAGCAATCCTATATCTTTCAGAATATGCAAACACAAGGGCTGAATAAACGTCAAACTACGAAAAACAGACATTATATGACGCAACACTGTATAATTTTAACACGAAAGCTCCTTGGGAACCTTATTTTGAGATAACTAGATATGCATCGGGAAAAAAATCGAGTGCTACGTATAAACTAAGATAGTCTCCACATCTTGGTACTGACTGAAAACCAAAACTAGCCTAGCATTTCCAGGAATTTCCATCCTCTTGGGAGTCGTGTCCTCCCTGTCTGTCATTTTGTGAATAGGCGCGCAGTTTGTCAGTGTTCCAAACTGCGTGCATAGTAGGCGCGCAGTTTGCCTACCGCTCCGTGGTAATGTTACCCGGATTGCAAAGGACATTGCCAAACCTAAAGAAGGATTTGACTGAATTTTTTGTGCGGTCCCTACTAACCATAGATCATAATGTATGAATAGCAACTTGATCAGAAAAAAAATCCAAAAATGAAACACCCTAATTTTAATCAGCTAAATAGATTATTGACACATCAATATTTGGATTTTTCGGGGTATTTCTTATGATTTTTATCTCTATACAGAGATCTCATCTTATTCCATAGTTAGGGTTATGGATTTGATAGTGTTCAAGTGATGTCCCTTGCACCTTTTGATTACAGAATTGGACGTAGACCAACTATCTTAGTAACTGGAGTGGGTGTAGTATGTGCCGCGATTGCCCTGGCCTTCTCCGTCAATTACCCTATGTTTCTGGCTATGAGAGTCTTGTTGGCCTTCTTCAACATGGGCTGTTTCACAATCACATTTGTTTATGGTAATGGCGTGTAACAATGCATGTTGTTTGCTAATAGTTGGAAAGCCCAAAATGTTTTACTTTGATATTTCAAAGATATCGCTCTTCTGGACACAGTTTGAGAAAATTCACAGCCTCATCAAAAAACTAAAGACTAGTGGCATGATCTTCTACGTATATTAAACAATCCCATATCACCTTTCATGAAAAAGGACTACTTTTGTCAGTAGACGTAATAGGATGTTTGGGTTTTCCTACTTATAGCCTCAACAGTCAAATGTTTCAATTCCTTGTAACGTGTGCATACTATTTTCAGGATTGGGCGGAGACCTGTTATCATAGTAACTGGGATAGGGATGATTGCGGCATCCATTGGTCAGGCCTTCTCTGTCAACTATCCTATGTTCTTAGCTATGAGAGTGACATTGGCCATGTTCAGCATGGGATGCTATACCTGTGCATTTGTATATGGTAACTTGTTTTGCTCAAATGGACTTTCAGGGCTTGCTTATATTTTTGGCTTACTAGATAAATTATAGGCTTTTAATTTTTGCTTTATTTCTAACTAATGATTTTTTTTCAGAATTTATTCATGTGTTATTCAGTAATGGATAAATTGAGGCTATGTATAGCCTTTAAATAGGATTTATTTCTACAATATCGTTAGGTGTGAAACAATTCAATCAATTTCTCATATTCACAATCGAATTGACCTTTTCTTGAAAATTTACACCTGTTGATCAGGAAGGCATTGTGGGTTGTGTTCTATAGTTATCGGTAGCTTATGTCATACACATGAATTGCCCATTTTCTCTACAAAAAGTGCACAAATGTACACAAGCTTCCAAGATAGAACAATGCTTAAAGTACCATTGAACATTTTCCTTACATAATGCAAAGAAGTCCGGTGTAAAAATGTAGGTGGTCCTATCAAATTTTGGTCCCTCTCTCTATTGATTTATATGGTGACCTAATTACAATTATTTTCCTTATTATTCATACACAGTCAGGGCCAGTAAGGGCCGTAGAGAAAGGGGACCATAATTTCTTTTATACCGGATCTACACTAACTTACAATATTATTTCTGCAAGGCTTTGGATATTTATATGATATATACACGCAGCAAAGTGTGAAAGGGGGAAATACATTGTTTTATTATCTATGACGCGGGTACCAAACAGACCTCGTGATATTGTGAGTTTGCTAGCTGGTGAGACGTTTCTCATAGCTTATGCAGCTTTAATATAAAAACAGTATATGATAACGTTAATGTCCCTTAATCACTTGCTTGGAGCCCTCTTGGCACGAGGAGAGATATACAAATATATTTAAGGTTAACGTACCGATTGGATCACAAGTTATGTCCAAAAACATTGAATTTTTGAAATCTCAAATGATCGTTCCTTAAGGTACCAGACTACAGATTGTCTGCAATCATGCTCGAATAGAAATGAAAATTCAGCATCAATATATGAAATAAAGCCCTGTGATGTTTAAAGAAATCAAAGCCTTCTTAACTTCAAAAATCATCAAGAACTTAATTAATCCCAAACCAGATTCAGAGTACACTGGTGATCCACTCGATTACGGTTCATTTCGGTCACAAAATGTCGGAACCTCGAAGGTACGATTTTCCTTGTTTCCTTATTCCACGCGTTGTAAGCAGAATTCCCACGACATTCTTATCACAAACATGTGTTGTGCGAACGTTACAATGTTATCTTATAAAATATGAAATGAGATACAACGAACACTCTCCATGTTTTTCCATTATCTTCCCTTCCTGAAACCTTATTGTTACAAAGGACACAACATCCAAATCGACATCCCTAGTCCTCAACAGCCACAATGCCATAACATTTTTTTTTTTTTTTTTTTTTTTTTTTTATTCTGTATAAAAAGTTGTACAAATACAATATTGTAGAAAGAAAACATACAGTAGTTGCATATGCTATAATATCGTATTTATATATAATATTAGCCTTATTTAGCATAGTAGTTTTGATAAAAAGAGTAAGGGAAGGGGGGGGGGCAGGGGAAAAGGCAAGAGGGGGACTTTTTATGATTTTCTGCTCGATGGTTTGAGCTTGGTGAGGGGTTTTTTATGTTCCCAGTGTGTATTTTACTACGTTATGAAATGTTTGAGTTTCAACCATTGCTGTTCCATAAGTTCAGGTTTTTTTCTTCTTTGGCTGATGCTTTCTTCTATTTTTTTCTCTGTTTTTAGGAAGTTTTGCCAGCCTATCATATTAGGTCTCCTTATTTTCCTTTTACATGTGTTTAGGAATATCTTTTGTTTCAGGAATAGATGTTCGTTTTCTGTTTTTCCATCTCCGAAAAGGAATTTCTCAATCGTGGGTACATCTTCGTCAAGTTGGTTGAAAGATGTTATTAGGAAGTCTTGTACGGCCTCACAATGGTATATTCCATGTTCTAAAGTATCTATGTCACTACGGCATAGACTGCATATATCAGTGTTATAGCCGTCTATGTTCATTTGTTTTAGTTGTTTGTTATAGTATAGTATCCGGAAGAATATTTTTATTTGGAAATATTTCTCTTTTGTCCTGAGAATATTTTTTCTATTTTTGTGGATTTTGGCCCACATCAATGGATTTTGTAGTTGCAGTTTGTTTTGCCACTTATCTTCCATCTTCTTTGGCAGTTTCACAGCATTGTTCTTTTTTAGTAAAATCTTGTAAACTTCTTTATTGTTTGTCTTTTTTAACCATTCTGTGTTAATTGTGACATTCGGATTCTCGGTTTCTTCTTCATTTTCTCTCGGGTGTCTTAATTTTCTTTTCCAATTTTGGGGGATGGCTGTAATTATACTGTTATATTTCAAAGTATTCCTTTGGTTCATAACAATATCATATTTATGGCCTAATTCTGCTGCTGTGAGGAATCGATTTTCGTTCTGGATGTCTTTTATAAATTCAATACCTTTTTGTATCCATACTTCGTTTTTCATGATTTCTCCATTGATTTTTATCTGTTCATTGTGCCATAATGATTGTTGCTCTGGGTTTCTCGTATCCGGAATTGTTTGATATTTTAGACTGCACCAATTTTTGTAGACTGTCTTCAGGTACCTTAAGTCTAAAACATTTATTTTGTCACTATTTTTTGAAAGGTTCAAAGCCCATACTTCTCCCTGCGTCAGGTTCTACAGGTAGTAGTTCCATATCTTCTTCCATTTGCCACTATATGTAGGGTCTATATATTTCTTTATCCATTTGATGCTTAGGTTTTTTACGTATGATTGTAAGTGGAGCATGTTTAGGCCACCTCTCTCTTGTTCGTTCATCATTATCTTTCTTCCAATTTTGTCTGGCTTCTCATCCCATATAAAGTTGAAAAACATGTTTTCTATTTCTTTGATAAAGTCATCTGTTGGTGTGAGCACTGTACATAGATATGTCAGCTGAGATACGAGGAGTGATTTTATCATTATTATTTTTCCTAGAGGTGTGATGTTTCTACTTTTCCATGCTCTAATAAGTCCTTGAATTTTGTTTCTTTTCTCTGGGAAATTTAAACTGTTTATGTCTCTTCCATCTAAAGGAATGGTTATACCAAGGACTTTTATATCTTTATCTCAAGTGGTATTTTAGCCCTGATGCCATGCTTTCATCTCTTACTTGTTGCTGTAATAGTGCATTTTCTCTGCCTATCACGGCTTCTTCTGTTTTGTGGAGATTGATGTTCAGTCCTGAGATTTCTCCAAAATTTCTGAACTTTTTAATTACTTTTTTCGCGGATGCAATATTTCTTACAAAGACTGATGTATCATCGGCGTATTGTGAGATCTTTACTTCTCCACAATGCCATAACATGCCCAAGACGCTGCTCTTTAGAAATGATATACCATGGGGGATAGAAACGCGTCCGTCTCTGCATCAAAAATGGAGGTCTGCGTCCAGTATCTCGGTTTGTACCAGACGAAAATACTGGACGCGTTTCTACCTCCTGTACCATGTTAACTTAAAACTTTGCATATATACACGTAGTACAATCGGCAAGTCTGAACATTTTTATTGTATGATTAATGAAGTAAATAGATTATCATATAAAAAGTAGTACGTTGCAAAAAACCTGTAGATAGCCCATGCTCAACATCTGATCGATCGTTAACGTTCATATTTACTTCATATTATAGCTGTAGAGATCGTTGGACCAAACTGGCGTACATTCGTGGGGATCCTGTGTCAATACATCTGGGGAGTTGGGTATCTCCTCTTAGCAGGTAAATACATTTGGGGAGTAATGTGCGTATCTCCTCTAAGCAGGTTAATACATTTGGATAGTTATGTGCGTGCCTCCCCTTAGCAGGTTGATACATCTTGGGAGTGCCGTGCGTACCTCTACTTGGAAGGTACATTTCCAATATCATTTTTATGTGCTAATTGTTCTGTATATGGAATGTTAAAAGTTTTATTTTTCTTAAATAATACTTTTTAGAAAAGAAAAAGCAGTTTATTATTATAGCATTCAAAAACTCTAATGCATGCAATTTGTGATTCATGTTATTTGTGTTACGCGGTATATGGCATACATTCATGGTTGCGCGGTATTCGTGATACGGGTGAATATGCCATACTCACCTGCGGTATATGGCATATTCCGCAGGTGAGTATGCGATATTCCGCAGTGAATATGCGATACATTGATTTCAGTGAATACCCGATACTCACCTGCAGAATATGTCATACTCACTTGCGGAATATGCCATATACCGCAGGTGAAAATGACATATACAGCAGGTGAAAACGTGATACAGAAAGCCTTGATTTGATTGGTTGCGAAAATCGACTCTAAATGTAAAACTACGCTGGATTACCAATATAGTCAGTGCGTCGAGTACTAATATATGAATCCTGGTTTGATTGAGAAAGTTTATTACGCGAGATTGGTGACTGATACTTCTGCTAAGTTAATATATTCGATACACAGTACTGTTGATTCAGTAATCATTATAATAATTTATAACGTTTTACTTGTTCGGTAAATCAATGCAATTGACAATTGCGTACTTCCGTATCGCGTTCTCATTGGTTAGTATGTATGCCATATACCGCAGGTGAATCTGTCATACACCGCAAGTGAATATGCCATATTTGTTGCGGAATATGACATATTTTTGTATCGTGTTTACCGCGTAACAATTTGTGTTTTGATATTTCCAGGTATCACTTATGCCATACGGGACTGGAAAACCCTCGCACTAGCATTAGGATGTCCTCAGATTATCAATCTCATCTTTATATTGTACGTAACAGCTGGTAGTATAAACTAGATCAATTCGTCACAAATGAATTTGATGAATTTGTCGTCAGTTAGGGTATTATATGGCTTAACTGGGCTGGTTCAATATGACACTTTTCGAAAAAATCAGTAGTCCCTGTACGATACATTCTTTATAGAAGTAAATATTCATATGACTTTATCAAATGTTTAACTTACCCCTTCCCATGACCCCCAAAATGAGACAGTCTGGCGAAAAATGGTAACAGACATTCAATTTTTAGGTTCAAATAAAATTCCAGAGAAAGTCATTAAAATGCATCTGCTACCATACCTGTATGACTGTACATGTATGTGATTTGTAGAATTTATTTCCAGTGTGTTGTCAGAGTCTGCCAGATGGCTTTATGTAATGGGCAAGAAAGAGAAAGGTGACAGTGTTGTACACAAAATGGCAAAGTGGAATAAGGTCACATTACCAGATCCACTAAAAGTGGAAGTACAGGTACCCAGTGACTTTTTTCTTTTTTTATTACTAGGACGTGTTTGCTTACGTTACCAACAACGTTAAGTTCCAACTACGTCTATTGCGTCTTCATAATTTTAGCCCCTTGGGCAACTCATTTTAAGAACGCAGTGAGAAGTATAGTTAAAGTGCGAATGGTGGTTGCGTGTTGTTTCATTTAAAAAGGGTGGTGGTAGGAAAATAAACTCCAAAATCCCGAAGTATCAAATAAACAAAAAGTGTCCATTGATCCCCCAAAATCCACAATTGTATCAAGCAGTTTATTTCTTTTCATAATGTATTATAGGACAAGAAAAGTCAGGCAACCGTCATTGATCTTCTGAGAACTCCAAATATGAGACTGAAATCTCTAATCCAATTCTTCTTGTGGTAAGTTTGTCTCATGCTATTATCGAAAAGGAACAGGTTAAGAACATTAGATCTAAACTAATAACTAGAAACTACAGGGTGGGCCAAAAAAAAACACCCCCCTAGCCGTTACTCCTGATTAATATTTATTTTCTAACATGTACACCAACAATGATATATCATTTTAAAGATAATTTAATTTGCAACAAAATGATATGTAATAGAACAATTTTCAACAACCCTGGCTCGAGATATAACCATTTATGTGACTTGGGGGCCAAAAAACACCTTTCAATTTTCATCGATTTTGCGAACAATAGCCTGTTTCTACCAAAATTTACTGTTCACTTAAAAATTGCAACATTGTCATGAGTCTTTCATAATTGGATATTATATATTGTTTTCATTCAGGTTTTGAACCATTCATGCTCAATAAACATGTGTATGCTTATAAAACTAAAGACGCGAAAGCCATTCGTATAATTGATGGATCTCTGTGGAAGTACCATCGAACTCGTAATTATTCATTCTTTCAGTTTGTCTACATCCTGATAGGCTAGTGATCTTCATAGACCAACTGTTCTAAATGCCCCAAGCACTATACATGTAATCAACAGGATAGACTCTATATATCAGTAAGCAAGAATAGGGACATTTGCGATAAAAGGCTACTCAAATCGAGATGACATTTTTCTGAAAGGGTAGTGGTGTCCACTCGGTGTTTCCCAAAAAGGAAAGACCGTACAGGCCCTGTTTTTGTTGAACCAGGAACAAAAATATACTCTGAATGTTGATGACATGAGGTGTTAAAAAGGACTCAAGGATATAAAAACATGTGATAGAAATTTAATTTCTGATAGGAAAGTGCTTCATCACACAGGTTCAATGCTACCCTGGAGTTTTTGGAGATTCGAAATTAAACAATCTCTAGCCCGGACAAATGGCTAACTGGCAGTCCAGATGCCAATAATGTTGATTACCACACCTGGGGGTATCTAGAACAGTTGGTATTTAAAGATACCCAGCCTATCAGGGATGTAGAGGAACTAAAAGAAAGAATAACTAGCAGTTGAATGGTACTTCCGCATACATCCATCAATTATGCCATCAACCAATGGCTTCCGCGTCTTAAGCGAATAATCTGATCAGAGGATGGATGCGGGGGTGGGTATATTGGGCCATATTTGAACAGACTGAAGAAGAAATTAATTTGTTTTATAAGCATACACATGTTTATTGAGCATACATGGTTCAAAAACTGAATGAAAACAATATATAATATCCAATTATGAAAGACTCATGACAATGTTGCAATTTTTAACTGAACAGTAAAATTTGGTAGAAATAGGCTTTTGTTCGCAAAATGGATGAAAATTGAAAAGGTGTTTTTTGACCCCCATGTCACTTAATTGGTTTTATTTCTATATTGGGTTGTTGAATATAGTGCTTTTATATATCATTTTGTTGCAAATTAAATTATCTTTAAAATGATATATCATTGTTGGTGTACATGTTAAAAAATAAATATTTATCAGGAGTAATGGCTAGGGGGGTGGGTTTTTTTTGGCCCACCCTGTATATAAGCTGCTGGGAAGAAGTATAGTTCTATGCTACCTCCAATGACAATTTCAACAGACACGTTTTATATATACCTCCATCTTCCATTCTTAGGTTTGTGACCAGTATGGTTTACTATGGGTTATCACTAAACTCATCCAACCTTGGTGGAGACCCATACATTAACTTCCTTATATCAGCTGGAGTGGAAATACCCGCCTATGCACTCTTCCATTTCCTCTTGGTCAAGATTGGACGACGAATCTGCACAAGTTTCACATTCATCGCTGGGGGGATTGCCTTGCTGTGTATACTTCCTGTTCCCGAGGGTAGGTTCATATCATCATTCATAACATACCCCTTTCTGTGACCTTAAGATTTTTACATCACTAGTTTATGGTGAAATCCATAAAGATGAATGAAAATACAGAGGATTCAACAAGCAAAATGTAGTTCTTGTCTGCATGATTAATTCCTATAGTTCAGTGACAGTTCAAAAGTTCAGTGACAGTTCATGAACAGTTGTTACTTGTTTCGGACCACCTTCAGTTCAAGATTATATTCTTGAACTATCAAAAATGGATAATATTAATCTGCATGAACACATGGAGAAATGTTTACAATCTATTAAATGTATGTAGTTATAATTCAAACGACGACTCCTTTATTACTACAAAAATCAAACAATTGCTATGGTGTATATTATCGTCTGCAATGAGTCAATTATCAATGTAAATCATCTTTTTGGTGAACACTGTTACCGGTCATGCATGACATACTCTTCGGATTCATTTTGACCTTACTTCTTAAAGAGAAGTCACTCTTGACTCTTCATTCGGGGCATTATAGCAAAGATATGGATTTTATTTTTCAGAGCAAACTATTGTCATCATAGTACTTTCAATGACAGGAAAGTTTATGATTTCTGCATCATTTGCAATTGTTTACCTCTACTCTGCTGAACTGTTTCCTACAGAAGTGAGGACTGTTGGTGTTGGGTGTTCCTCAATGTTTGCACGTGTAGGGGGCATCCTTGCACCATATATAGGACTTCTACCATCACTGGTAGGTTCTTCATCTTTACATGTGTACAACATTGTTTTAAAAATGTATGTTGAAGAAGAATGCAATATTTTAGCATGATATACATGATTTATCGAGATCTGATAGCACTAATTGCAATAATTTTAACTGCTATAAATTCAAATTAGATTACATTTATTGAAATATTTGTTTCATAATACACAGTGATAATATGCTCAACCACAATTCAATATAATAAATACTTTTACATTACTGAAATGTTTCTCATTGGCTCATAACTGATAACAAGATTCAAAGATGCCACATTCAGTATGTACCTCATAGACAATGATGATTCATGATTTCAGGCACGAGATGTAGAATTCATAAAATATGTCCCAACAATTATATTTGGTGCGTTTTCGTTGGCTGCTGGATTGCTGGCTATATTGCTACCGGAGACTATGGACCAGAATCTGCCAGAAACATTGCTAGAGGGAGAGCTCATTAAGGCAAACTTTTGGTATGTACATTTTCAAGTATAAGTGGTTTTACTTTTACTTTTTTAAATATTGTTTAACTATTGATATATTAACTATTACATGGGTGACCCCCAACGTTTCAAGCCTCTAATATCTTAATGAACTCCATTTTTGGTGGAATCTTATGATGGGATTTTCCTGTGTAGAGAGTGCTCAATGTGTTATAATTATACTGCAACAATGAATTTAGGATATCAGGATTTAGAGAAATTATGTCATCCATCAGAAAATGCACTCTTGCCAAATCATTCAAAAACGCACCTTGTTTGTGGAATAAACAATTCATTGCATCATTATTGACAAAACATCCACAGGAATTGTTTGAATAGGATTAATTGTATCACCGAAACCTCACATAATAATAATATTTCAATTATTTTAAAACATGATTTGTTTTCCAGTTGGAGGAAATCTGAAGATAAGAAATCTGAAGCAAACATGGCAACAAAGATGGAAGAATCGGGCAAGGATAACCCAGCATTTGACAGAATTTGATTTTTGACATTTGTTTCATTCCAAACCCTAAAGTCCAGCCTGTTTCATGTGAAGCTTTCTCTGTTAAAAGGACTTTGAGAGTTAATCAAGGCAAAATATTATACATGGCCTCAAACAATTAACATTTTTCATTTATACAGTCAGCGTCAGTTAAGTCATAAAAGACTAAATAGTAGAGTTTGATATGTATATATTATATCATCTTGAGATGCAAGTTCTATTGCATGGCTAGTTTACATAGCACCAGTTGTTACTTTTATTGGAGTACCCATATATGGCTTAAATTTTACTACACATCGTTTTACATGTGGATTAAATTGAAAAGTGTGATTCCATGTGAGAAGCGTCTGTCTAGTTAGTACATATAACCTTTCAACCTCTTGTGGATGGACTACAATAATGTTCTTTAACAGTTGTTCATTACATGTTACATTTGAACTTTTAGTAATTGGGACTTTTTAGTAATGTCATCTCCGGCAATCCGGCAATCTTCTATTTAGAACCCGTATACACTAGCAGAGTATAATCTCCTAGTTATGCTTGAAGATTCAATTACGAAGATACATAACAAAATTCAGTTATATATTGCACACTATTCTATATTATATATAAATATAAATCATTAGGCAATAATTCGAGATGCAAACTCTGGCACCATATGTCCTAAACTCCGAAAGATCGTTTTAAAAGTGTATTTTTTTTCATTTACACGAAGCCTTTTAAAAATTATCCGGAATAGTCTTATAACTGATGAAATCATTGCGTTATTTCAAATTTGTGCCACTAGTCTGCTCCAGGGGATTTACGTTACCAGCTCTGAGAACTTTTTAGAAAATATTTTGAAACATCTTTTTAAAAAAACAAAACGGAGACGCACAAATATGAAAGATCAGTTGTTTTGATTATTGTTAAGACTACACCAGGTATTTTTAGAAAGTCTTCGTGATAAAGTTGTTAAAAGTTGTAAAATTGGTCTCTCGGAGGGTGGGGCGTCTGCGCCTTTTCCAAAAACTTCAAATCAGTATATCAACACTAGAAAAGAAGCACAAAACAGGACAAACCTATGAAAACACTATAAATCCTTTTTAGAACTTTATAACAGAGTCATTCAAAAAGATTCTTTAACCATTTTAAGAGTACAATTGAGTCTTAATTAAACTATCTATAATAGGCATTATTTAACAGTATTGAATGGAGATTTGCTTATTTGTTTTCCTATTAAACTGTATGAAACGATTGTCAGTTTATTAGTCAAATATGGTTACACATGTAAAAAAGTAAAAATAAGTTGAACGATATTTCATCAATTCTTTACAGTGCATAGTGTTGTGTACCTATTAGAAGTATGATGTATATGTGTATGGCACTTCCATGCCTCATGCCAAACTGCACCTGAATATTCCATAATCTCTTATAAGTCCATCAAACTCCATATCTGGTGGATATGATGTACACTTTCTCGTTACCTAATACAGAAATTTCGAAGGACCATTCACTTCCATTCTGTTGAAGGACCAATCACTTGAATTCCATTCTGTTCTAATAATTAAATTAAAATTCCAATTTCACAAATCTTCCTCTTCAATCGCCATCTCTGTAAGTTTGATGCGTTGCTCCACCGCAAAGTGAAACTTGCATATGCCGACTGTGTTGCATGTCACTGTTCTCCCCTCCACTTTGAAACCATGCAGTCCATTCTCCACCTCTCGTCTAATAATCTCAGCAATATTACCATCTATTGACCTCAAAAATGAGTTATTGTCTCGCTTGTTTGTTATAGATACATGCACTTTGCCTTCCATTCTATTTCTCATTTTAAAACGTCCGGAGTATTGAGATTCAGATACGACGAGTTCCGCGATTGTCTTGAAATGTTTGGGGACTTTGATATTGCTGTCAACACCCCAAGTAAGCGTCTCTTCAATGGCGTGATTTTCAGCTCTGTTAACAGAAATTTCTCTACTGAAGCCAGCATTCGCTTCAAAAACCTCACATGGTGTTTTGAGAGTAATATTCACTTCCTGGCCAAGTGTATATCCATTCTCTATCTCTAGTTCACATACACTTGTTGTGCTTCTCTCTGTTTTAAATGAATACTCTTGTGTTTGATCAGTGTTGTTCACAAAATGTGTCTTGAATAGAATTTTTGCTTTGGGAACTCCTGCTCTCTGTTCTTCAGTGAACTCAGGAGGGTCATTCATGAATTTCACTCTCTTATAATCAACAGTCATTTCGAGGTAATCTTTTGGTATCTTTGCCTGGTCTTTCGTCTTTGTCCTGTCGAACATATCCCAGGCCCAGGCTTGAATGAGTCCTTCTATATCAACCACAGACTGAGATCCCTCAGGCATCTAGAACAGAAAACATTAGCAATATTATATCTAAGTATTCCTTTTCTGTATGTATCTGCCTTACAACTGACATACATCTTTGGATATACGACCTGTTAGACTGTTAGACCATCACAAAAGGAACATGTTTTCATACTAAGAACAAAACGTATATAAAGTTCTATCATCAAATAAATAAATAATCATCGGCAAATACGTCAAGTCTTCATTAACACCATGGTCATGTGTCAGTAATAACATGTGCCAGAGTGCCAGTAACAAGAGTAATACTAGAGATAGTAGCTACCATTATCAACGTCAGTAATAACTACCATTATCAACGTCAGTGTTGACTATCATTATCAACGTCAGTGATAACTACCATTATCAACGTCAGTGATAACTACCATTATCAACGTCAGTAATAACTACCATTATCAACGTCAGTAATAACTACCATTATCAACGTCAGTAATAACTACCATCATCAACGTCAGTAATGACTACCATTATCAACGTCGGTAATAACTACCATTATCAACGTCAGTAATAACTACCGTTATCAACGTCAGTAATAACTACCATTATCAACGTCAGTGATAACTACCATTATCAACGTCAGTGATAACTACCATTATCCTACACTTACAGTAGTGTACTAAATGTATAATAACATTAAAAAATAAATTTGATATTTTTTGGCAAAATGAATAACCGGAGGATATCGTGATGATATACTCCGGGTGGAGGATATTGTGACGATATACTCAGCTTATTGATTTCCCGCCAAATTGACTCTATTTGGCATGAAATTCATTTTGCAATGATATTATACATTTAGTACACTCCTTGTAAGTGTAGGATAATAAGAACATCCTATGATTTTTTTTTCAGAATATCATTTTAATCTACTCGGAGATATTGATATATGCACTCGTTCGCTTTGCTCTCTCGTGCAGATATCAACATCACCTCGTAGATAAAAATGATATTCCTCAAAATCATAGGATATCCTATAATTATCAACGTATGTGATAACTACCATTATCAACGTCAGTGATAACTACCATTATCACATTCAGTGATAACCACCGTTTTAGGCCGATATAAAGATGGCAGGGTAGAATACCATATTGATTGGCCTCCCATCTTTGTTTAAAAATAATTCATTTCGTCCCTTGCCTGATTTACACAATTTTTTTATCAAATCATGAATACACATCACGCACGCATATTTCAATTTCTATGAACATGTTAATAGGAGAAAGGAAAAATATCCCGATGATTATTCATCGATTTTGATACGATAGGCGCCCTTGTACACCGTGTTGTAGTAGAGTAAGACCCAGTGTACTACTTAATGGGACGCTGGTCGCTATGAGGGACTGACGATGAGATGCTTGAACGAGAATGGATTAATCTCTTAAGATCTTAGCTCCATGTATATGGTTTGATTGCTCTTATCTCGATGATTCACAATACCCTTGCACATCGTATTCTCACCGCCATATTCATGATATTTCCTAAATGGAAAATGTGTACAGTCGAAGAGACCGTACTCTTTTATTTCCTAATCAAGGAGGATTGGAAGCCAGGGTTCCAACTCGATATTCTTTAACCTCCACGCATGCGTCATTTGCTATTCGTGTCTGTATAATTTGTACGACTGCATGGAGAATGACCCGATACTCTCCAACAAAGCTATCGCTAGGTGATTGTTTTGCAGAATATCGGTGTTGCATTCTGGGAGCCAATCCTCCTTGTTTCCTAATAGAGAATTGGTGTTCGCAGTTGATATGTTACTCTAATTTCTTTCAGAATTATTATTGCATCTACGAGACGCGAGTTCTAAGAGTACACTCTTTAGATCAATAGCTGGTAATTTTCGACATTTTACGGGATGACTGCATTCTCCCCGGGGATTAGATAATCTCAGTTGAGACTCTAAATGAAATGATTGAATTAAAGAATACATTTGTTATATTATACCACTCCCTTGACGACTTAGGTCGGGGAAAATCAATGTCCGAAGGAGCTTGAAGAATGGAAAGCGAGAACATTTTTAATGCAGCTTGGATCATTTCAAGGTTCTGGAGTTCTGGACGTATGTCCGTTGCCTTTTCCATTCGTTTGACTTCGCTCCTTAAAAAGAGCTTCGCCATCGTGTTACTTTTAACTAACCAGTCTGCGCCCAGAGTATTAATGAGTAAGTTGAACTACATGATAGAGTCCTTCCATTTTATTGCAACTGCTATATGAATGATGAATTGACATAATTGCGATTTGGTTAACCATAATGCCCAATTGCAAATTATTTTAGACCCAGTCATGAATTATTACATAATATTAACGTCCGAATGAAAAGTTGAAGAAGAAACAGAATATCAGTTTATTACTAATATTGTCTGACGCATCACAAACAGAAATACTCCAGGCGACAATGCATTGCCTAATTAATATATCTCGATCCCATTTCTGACCATCGAATTCGATTTGATACATCAAAGAAAATAGTTGTCACCCATGATGTTTTCAATTAACAGGTACGACTTGAATTGTTATATAAGGTGTCGTATACATAATATGATGGCTTGTAAATTACTTCTCAAACTGAAGAATGTAATAAAATCAACTGACACCGCTCTGATAACAGAAAGTGTCCATGTGGGAAATATTGTCTTTCTCCTCCACTTACGTCTAGCTATTTTTGCCACAAGGGTCGAAATTATCTTCTGTTCAACTCATTCCACTTTGACTTGTTCCATCAAATGCTCAAAAGTGCCAAGAATTTACCAATTGAATCGGGAAAATGGTAAAATTTTCTTGAGGGAAGGGGGCACCAAACGACAACCGACATTTCCCCCGATAAAAAATGTACTCATAATACTTAGTTTAGTTTAAAATAGTTTAGTTAGTCATAATACTCATGAAATGCTCATGTCGCATTAAAAGTACTAAGATTACATCTAGAAGTGATCAGTTGTTGAATTGATTCATACCTATCAAAAGTGCTTCAAATAATTTCCAAAAATGGTAAAATTTCTTGAGAGAGCTTGGTGCCATACCTTGAAATGCAACTTTGCTATTATCGTTTCAAAACAAGATGGTCATGAACCACAGGGGCGTAACCAGCTTTCAGTCAGGGGGGGGGGGTGCGATCGCCAAAAAACTTCGGTTTCAGTCAGGAGAGGGACGCAATCGTAGCATAAAGTGAGCCAAAGAAAGATTTGTTTTGAATTTTACAAAAAATTATCCAACTTCCTTTAAAATTGAGTTCGAATCTTCAAATAAAAAGCATTTTAAAGCTCTCTTCTTCTATCTAATGGTTTTATATTTATCGGTTATGGGGGTTGCGTTCGCACCCATCGCATCCCCCCCCCTTGCTACGCCTGTGAACCTAAAACTATCCGAAAAATTCGGGCTATTTGATGTGACCCCCTGAAATATACTGGATATGGGACTGCTACATATACAGGGTGTTACATTTGTATGCATTGCACCCCCCGTACATGTTATGAGTTACCCCATACCCACATACTTTGATACATTGAATCTTTTGTCAAGGCACTCCTGGATTCTGAAAGTAATATATATATATAACATGATAGGGTGACAATGCTGCATATTTGATTTCTGAGAGGGGTGCATACATATGAAACATCCTGTATATGATATCTCTGCTTAAATGATTTTCTCCGATTTTTCAACTTATTCTAGGCTCTCTAGAGGAAACATGCACATAGATGCACATTCATATAAATATAATGAAATTGAAATTATTCTAATGAACATTTTAATGCTTGTTCTATATAAATACCAAAATATGAAAAAAGTGACCAGTGAATATGAAGCCAACCATATGATAACCTCCATATTCATGTTTACATTAGAAAGAGTGCTCCAACATTGTTTTGACGTATATCATTAATTAACAGAATTAGTGTTGCAATGTCTTAAGTCTTACTTGGATGGAATATTAATATCTGTAATAATATTATATTAACATGCCATGCAACAGAAATATTGCTTCATGCAATTGTAGCTGTAAGATATATTGTAGTCAAGAAAATCAAACATATGAGCTCCTACAATCATCAGACTATAATGTAACATATTCAGTGATAAACAGACTGATCACATTTTTTCTTGAAACGATGATTGCTATATTGTATTGTATTGTATTGTAATTGTATTATTGTATTTTGTATTGGATTTTCAATACGGCGCCCGGCTGATGAATATTTTGTATTCAGTTGAACGGAATAGTCATCAGCCGGGCGCTGGTATTGAAGATCGGAACAAATGTGAGGCGTTGTTAATAAAACTTATAGTACATGTTTGTTTGTTTTGTTCGGTTGTTTGATTGCTGTTTGTTTTGTGATGACAAAAACAACCATAATATGGTCATATCATCAATCAAATACAAAGCAGTAGCCGTTCTGTACATGAGTTTTCCCCAATTTATTGAACCAGCGTGACAATTGCTTAGTTTCCAAGTATAGCACACAGTCCATGCCTACATGGCAATTAAGTATATCGCACTTGTGTTAATTCGCTTCCATTCTGGGCATTTCTAGGAGATGTGTGTTGGACTGTAAGAAATCCGACTGTAATTTGTTGCTCAGTTGGTTTATGTTATAAGTATGCAGAGAAATCAGGGAAGAGATAAGGCAAGGTGGATTATCATATCGTGTTCGGTGCATACCGTTGCTGGAACAAGATACACCTGTTTTATTTTATTATGGACTATTTTTGGGAAGTAGTTATGTCTCAACATCTCAATCATACTCGGGCAACTCAGCTTCCCTATCAAAACTTTTCAACCTTTCAAGTCATTGCTTTTGGAATATATACTTTTACATTTGGTGGTCTTCCCGTTCATTCACGATGACCAGGCCTACATCTTATTAAGTCTTTACACCCATGGCACAATCGAGGCAATAAAAACAACATCGACATTTTCCCGTGCGTTCTTCGGTTGTTACGCCCCGGGGCGGCCCCATTTTTGTATCGAAGTAGACACATATTGTTTTTGTTGAATTGCAACAAACGACATCTTCATTCGTAGCTTTTACTAGTATTACAATTGAAGTGTGTTCAATGAAACTATAAAGCAGAGATGTATGTGATAGTATTGAACATAATTATAGATATTTTACATCGATCGAATTCATTTTTCTAGAAGGTCATGAATTATGCTTTTTAGACGGCAGTCGTATGAATGACTTTAACCTCAACAGCCCCTCTCGTAATTTTCAATCGTCACCTTGTCCCACCACTTTTCATACCCTGAGCACAGAAATTTAGTTCTAAACTAAACGAAGCTTTTGGGAAGCTAAGTCAAACGAATGCGAATGATACATTTTTATCTGCATACCATTATTTTCTATTACCTTGTCTACTACAATATGCCTATGGACATGAATGTATCCATTTTACTTAATACATACAATTTGTAAAAGATGAAAATGCACAAAAAACTTATATGACAGAATCAATAGAAAAACGTTAGATGAAACATGGTTTCTTGCATAATTTATTCAAGCGTTACATGGATGGAATCTTGAGTTGTTCAGGTTTTCATTGAACTTAAAGATGATGGCAGAAGCAATGTTTCTACAAATCTATTTGTACTGCTCTTCGTAGAAACATTTATTAATTAATAAAACCCAATCCTTAACAGCTGTGGAAATCACATTCAGTTAATCAATAGTCACAACGCAATTGAATCTCAACATAAAATGTATATTCCTTGAACACATACTAGTATTGTAAAAACTACTTACCTTTGTAATATGGTTATATACTTGTGTTGATTTGAAATTCTGTTTTGCTTCAAAGTCGTCTATTTCTTTATCCGTTTTTATGTGATTTTTTTTACTGCAGCTTGATTTGCATAGTTTTCCGTGCAGTTCTCCTTCATTGGTATGTGAACATTATGAATATCTTATATGGGAAACAATTCGATTGGTTATCATATGTCACGTGTTGCAGGGCAGGATCATTACACACGTAGGTCTTTTTCCTGACTTGTCTGGGATAGATAATACCCGAAATGTATATCATATCTGATGACAGACAGGACATATTCTACAGGGTGTGCCAAAAAACGTCCTTATTCTTTATTCCGATATAACTTTCGATAACTTTTTGCAAGGGATGCAAAAATCACTTCTTTTGAAAATATTCCTAAAGTAAAATAAGTAAATGATTTCTGAATTATAAAGGTAAACAGAAACTTGTATGTTTAGCTCTTTCTGAGAATATACAGTTTTCATAGGTGGGTGAAGTTGGCTGCATATTGATATTGGAATTGGGATTCATACTCAATATTCAATCCTAATATGAATCCAAATATGGTTATTTATATCACTATAGTAAAGAATGTTTATTTTTTGTATCAAATGTGTTCGAATTTCAATACCAATACAAATATGATCTCGTATAAGGCAATTTTATTTGCATCCCAATTTGAATCTTAATATGAATCCAAATATGGTTATTTATATCATTATAGTGAATGGTGTTGATTTCTCTGTATCAAATTGTGTTCGAATGTGGTTCAATTTTCATAAAACCCTTATTTATCTAATAGTTATGCAAATTAAAATATGTCCAGTAAAAGAAAATATTATCTGTCCAATACAAGAAAAGATATTTCACTTTTTGTGATTTTTTAACATGGGGTCTATGGGGAATCAACCCGAACAAGAAGTCACATTTTCAAAAAAAAAATATTTCAAAGTTGATAAACAACTTTCGAAACCATGTTGTTAGATGTACTTTTACATGCAGATTTCAAATATGACATCACTTTGACTGAATTTTGAATATTTAATGACGTAAATCAAGATTATTTCTACACGCATCTAGTCTAATCCTTTGGTACTGCATGCAATCACTCAAAGTGTTTTTCTACTGATCATATAGTTAAATATGTTCTACCATCGAAATAAAAGCTTTAATTTTATCGATCGGAATATGACACATGACAACGGATGCTGTATAAATGACAACGGTAGGTGTGGGTCAAATGTAAAAAATAAAATCGAGGTGACAACGTTATATGTAAAGACAACGGTAAAGTGTCTATTTATCGTTGTCATTTCCCTATGTTCCAATGCAATACATCCACCATAGTCCGTTGTCACATGTTACCATATGCCAATGTCTTTGTAAATTATTTCAAATTCAGATTCTGTTGTCATTGAGGATATTGAAGACGCTATATTGTGGCCATTCACGACGCCATTTGATAAAAATTTGGATTTCATATAATACCTAACACATGCATAGAATTAGCGGCGATAAAGTCCCATGAAATGAGGACCAAGTGATTAAACAGTTGAAGCGACGGTTATGTCCGCCATTTGTGGCAACGGTATCTGACTTTACCGTTGTCAGGCTATTCCGGTGTGAAGTTGTGACTGGTGAATATCACGTGACTTCCGTTGAATATAGCTTATCATTTTTAGTCACGTGTAGGAGATGGACGAATCAGAAAGTGAGAAATATCACAGTGATATAATAAATCATATATTTTAAATGTATATTCTTTCTTTTAAATACATGGTGCATGTCCTATTGGTCCAGGAACCTTAGGCCAAACTCTATCATTTATTTCGCATTGATGGGCTCTGAAGCTCTTGTTTTCTCTAATGTAAATAAACTCAATAATGCAGTTTTACAGAATAACCATTTGTGTATCAATAAAACAATTTATATCATAATTTATAGTATGTTTGTTTTTCATTTATTATCTATTTAATTATTGCAGGTTTTACATAATATAGCCCAATGCTAATTTTAATTTATTCGTAATACTTCTATATACAAAAGCAATCAGGTGACTCATCTTATTTACAATTAATTGATTTTACCAGTACAATAAATGTTGTCTTTTTGGCATACATATAATTTGGCTATTTGGTCATTTTCAGACATTTGGTTGTAATGCATTTAATGTGAATTTGGAGAAAAATCGGGAATGATTGATTCGCACTGAGCTTATATGAATCAGAAGATATTAACTGGCAATTTTCACTTGAATCAATTGGTTGAAAATGTTCAAACTACCAAATTAACAATAAGTACAGAAAAATAATTTCTTGAATTTGGCAATGTAGAGACATAAAAATACTGAGAAAGCATCATTTTCATTTCCTAATTGAAAACAGGTTCTAATACAAAATAGAGAAAAATATAATTTTTTAATACTAGCTTCATCATTTGTCTCTCTACTTTTCTATTTTATGTACATAAGTTCTGTTTATATTAATTCATACATGTACAAACAAGCAGAACAGTCAAAGGTGAATAGCCATAAAATAAGCAAACATATACTGACATACAACTGAGGTATGACCGAATAGAAGGAATGACAAAACAAAAAGAAAGCATGCAAAAATGACAATTATGTACATGCACCACTTTTATACAAAGTAGTCAACGGATATAACCTAAACATAGCAGGAATCAGCAAATAACAGGTTATTCGGGGATGATGCTATGGCAACAATTGAGAAAGAGTAATTACAACACACATTGTATCATAAGTAATTTCAGTAAGGGCCTGTATAGACAGTATCATAATTCATGATGAGGGCATTGTTAACACATACTACAGTATATACCAGTACATGTAGAATGTAAATGTTAAAAAGTAGAACATATCTCACTTTCTGCTATATTAGACCATTTGCTATAAAGATGGATAGATAGATGACAGCACGTGTGGTGGCAGGGCCAGAATACTATTCCTATTATGGAGGCAGCTGGCAAAAAGTCACTTTATATCTTGATTTATCAGGTATTTCCATTTGAACTTATTCAAAACACAATTGGAATGTAACTATATGATATTGTTGACATGCGGATTATGATGAAAATTGCGATCCATAAAAGAGTAAATGAATTTTCAAAGATTTTTTAACACTGCATCAATGGGGATTTAGCCCACCCTTGAAATACTGGAAAACTGAATAAAGGTAAATAACTGTGCAAATCAAAGTAGTTTACATACAGAATTCAAATATGCCATCAAACAGAAGAATGGTTAAAAATGCAAATCTCCAAAAATCTCATTAAAAACAAGACTTCAACGAGATTTCAAAGCTATCTAGCAAACCCTCTATTGCACATGGAAATACAGTAAACTAGCCCAATGTTTCCCAACGGTCAAAATTGGACATCTTCCCTTAACAGTTAGTTCATTGTCACATTCGTTCAGTTATATATCATGCAACATAAACAGTTTTCATTTTGCATCCTTATATCTCCTACATCCGTAAGACCAGCTCAGACTTTCAGTGAATTTGCATAATATAAATTCATAAATATTCTCATATTTGTTCATTCAATATTCATGCTCTATAAACAGTTTTCATTTTGCGTCATCACATTTCCTGCCCATACAAGGCCGGGTCAACGTCTTGTGAATTTGCACAATTCTGACTGATAAATATTATCACAATTGTTCAATTAACTTGCCATGCCCAGTAAACAGTTCACAGTGGCATCCTTATTGCCTCTGTTAGCCTCAAGTACTGATACTATCACCTCCTCTTCCATGTTTGGAAACATCTCCTTTACTTGTTTTAGGTCATCCTCAGTATAAACAGGGCCTTGTGGTTGTTGCTGTTGTTGTTGTTGTTGTTGCTGGGGTACACCTTGAATATAAACAAAAATAATCATTTATGAAGGACATGTTCCTTGACTCTATTCTCTATATTATTAATTATAAACAATTACCAATTTAATCTCTCTGTTACAATAGGTCAAAAGTTGATGTCAAATGTGATGAATTAAAAAATGGAAGAACCCATGTTAACCACTGGGAAATGTTTGGTTAGGCATGATGTTTGGATATATCTATATGCTATTCAGAAAGTCATTTATTGAAAATAATTTCTGAGTAGAAAATTGAATTTTAATTTCTGCATGCTAAGTGTTACTGCTAAGCTTACTTTGTGACAATTAATGATACAGAGCATCCAAGTATTTTTGTGGACTCATTTTTGATCCTCACGTGTATTTTTGCAGAAAAATTAAGAAAACTGATTCATAAATAAGCGAGGAATGAACTCATCAATGCATGAAAATGGTTCAGAAAAAAATGCATTTCAAAATTTTAGTTCTCATAGAAATCAATAACATCTAAAACATAATATATTGTTCCTTTTAACCTGGTTAGACAATCAATATTGGTTTATTTCTGTAGTTAAGCATATTTAGAAAAGCTTGAAATGGATTTTTTTTCAATTTTTTCAAAAGGTTTTTGCCACCTTAGTGATGTCACGATGACATTACATAGATATGACATTTTATTATTGAAATAGTGTGTCTTTTGTCAGTCTTTGGAAGATTTTTTTGCACTGAATAGTGGTCAATATTTGAGAAATGAATTTGCTGACAATTGTTTTCAAAAAATTAACTTTCTAAAATAACTTTTAAAGTCATGACAAATACTAAATGGAGCTATTCAATTGAATTGAATTGAATTTTATATGAAGATAAACGGGTTACAAGTCACTATACAAGTGGAGCACAAAAAAACTTATAAATAGAAAGGAAAGTCACAGAATGACATCAATTATGCAGATAAATTATGGGCTAATAATAACTGCTGATGAAGGTAGACATATCAAACACCTTTTATTTTTGATATTTTATCTTTTAATCTTTTGGTATGTAGCGCATACTTCATGCATGTGGTCTTAAATGTTTTTAAAAAGATGCCATGTCCCAGTTTTATGGTCCACCCTGAATGTTGGTGTTTTCAGTCCAACTCAGTAGCAGAATGTGAGGAGAATGTACATGTATTTGATTGAACGTTTTTGATGTACATGCTTCCAGAAGGTGCAAAATACTGTATGTGCTTATGACACATATTTATATTGTATATATGGATATATATATAAAAATGATTATAAAACAGAAAATAACAGAAGAAGTAATTCAGTCACTACCAGTTTCACTTTTGCTCTTCAGGTAACTGATTATCATTTAAATCGCACATTATTATATATACTGTATATATAATTACATATATTACACATTACATATATATATGGTTATAGCTTTATGAATGATAGTAGTTTACCTTGTTGAGGGTAATATACAGGTTGGGGTCCCCCTACAACTGGCATACCACCAGGTGGTAGCACCATCACAGGTTGCATGGGATTCTGGTAGACTACTGGCATGGGAGCAGCAGGTGCTTGTTGGGCCTATAACATATATTTTGTGAATAGTACATTATTATATCATGAAGTCTAGTAGACTACTGGCATCTGCATGGTAACAACATGAACTTGCCTGACCTATAACATATACATGTAGTTCATGAAAAGTACTATACATTATTATATCATGAGGCCTAGTAGACTACTGGCATCTGCATGGTAACAACATGAACTTGCTGGACCAATAACATATACATGTAGTTCATGAATAGTACTACACAGCCAATATAATTCGACACCGTTTCGGCATCGAACAAATTCGGCACCGTTCCGGCACCGTTTCGACACCATTCCGGCACCGAAACCTTTCAACACCAAAATTTGCTACTGGACTAGTCAGTCCATTTGGTGCCGAAACGGCACCGAAATTTGGCACCGAAACGGCGTCGAAAATCAGATTGCATTTTGGGGGTGTATACATTATTATATCATGAGGCCTAGTAGACTACTGGCATCTGCATGGTAACAACATGAACTTGCTGGACCTATAACATATACTTCATGTCTAGTCCTATACATTATTATATCATTAGGTCTAGTAGACTACTGGCATCTGCATGGTAACAACATGAACTTGCTGGACCTATAACATATACTTCATGATACATTATTATATCATGGGATATAAGTAGACTATACTGACATCTAGATGGGAAGGCCTTTTAACATTATATTAGTTTAGAAGAACAGATGGACGGACATATGGCATCTGCATTGGAGGAACAATTAACTAAGAACATTACCCTAAAAAGGAATGCTTTATGCCAAAATTTATATTTTTACCAGACTTAATAAAAACAACCCATAGAACATGTTGAATTTGTATAGCTTTCATTACCAAGAGAACTGGTTTGTAAACTTATCCTGAATTAAGCAAGGACTGCTTATACATTATATGCATTATACATTATGTCAATGGACAATGACTGCAATCATATTTCTATTATAGGCATCATAAATACAATTAAGAATGTCAAACATGAGGTGAAGATTCGGTACAATGTTTCAGGTATAATTAAAGGTGAGATTGGTATTTCCAGGCTGGGTCTTACTTCTATTTTAGGGAAAGTTATTATTCAAATGTTTAAAGCAAATACAAGATGTGGAGATTGGGAAGATATCAGGTCACTGGTGGAATTAAAGGAGAATCTCAGACAAAGGAAAGAAGTGTTTTGGAGGTTGACAGTGAAATGAGAGGGTACCATTATAATTACAATATAAAAAGACACATACATACTACACAAAGGCTGTGTTGAAATTACATGGATTACAAGGTTTAGCTTATTGAAAGGCCAGGAATTTGACAGGATATCTCAAGTGACTAAACATGTTAATAGGCCATGGAGTTGTGATTAGGATTGTATATAAATACCTGAGGCTGGTAAGTAAGAACTGGCATTTGAGGTCAAGGGACTAAACATGTTAATAGGGCAGGGAGTTGTGATTGGGATTGTATATATAAGGTACCTGGTAAGTAAGAACTGGCATTTGAGGTCAAGTGACTTAACATGTTAATACTGCCAGGGAGTTGTGATTGGGATTGTATATATAAGGTACCTGGTAAGTAAGAACTGGCATTTGAGGTTGAGCTGCATGTGCCTAAAAATATATATTATATTATGATAAATTAGATGAGCTAAAAATAGCTGAGCTCCAAAGCACAATTATATCATTGTCACGGCACAGACAGTTAGGGTGGGGGTATTGAGACAATATGTGAGAGCCCTTTAAATATATGTCAATTAGTACAGGCCTCCAAACATGAAAAACAATGCTTAAGGGTTAAGGGTCATTGTAACCCAATTAAAGATGACACTTTGTCTTCACAAAGATGAGTGGTCATGTTTTTCCTTCACATTGTACTTAAGTCATAAAGGTTATCCATATTTCAACATACATTTATTTTGTATAGCCACACAATCATATATTTCTTAGATGTGGTAAGGCATTTACCGTTGATGACATGACTAAGTTGATCATTCCCTCTTTATCGTCACCCTGCCTTCCAGACAATGTGTACCAGTCATCAACAGTTTCACCAGCAAATATGGTCTCTGGAATTGTGACATGTCCCCATGCTATTCGGTCATCCATCGAGAATGCCCTCTGTAACATAATTAGCATCAATTATACGATTGTGGGGTAATGTAGAACTTCTGTTTGGCAGACTTTGTGCTTTTTAACAATTTGTCATTATATGTAGTTTAGTACAACCTTTGATGAAATTTAATTTGATTCTTATTTTCTTGTAAAATACATCCTATTATACAATACAATACAATAGAATTCAATACAATTCACATTGGTTAAAATAGATCTTCGGATTATAAAATAAATATTTTAATATTTACCTCATCAAATATTTCAAGGTATATGGAATCAACACCATTTGGTAAGTAACTGAAAAGAAATGTATTGCAAGTTATTTCAGGCATTTTTAACTGAAAAGAAATGCACAGCAAGTTATTTCAGGCATTTTTAACAGAAAAGAAATGCATAGCAAGTTATTTCAGGCATTTTTAACTGTAAAGAAATGCATAGCACGTTTTTCAGGCATTCTTAACTGAAAAGAAATGCATAGCAAGTTTAATTTCAAGCATTTTTGAGGCACAGAGAAGTACATTAAAAATCAAGACATCAATAGGCAAAATGCCACCACCTGCCATTTGTTATAGATGTTGAATGCTGACTGCCAAACACCAACTGCCAAATACCAAACACCAACCCCTGAACACTTTCACAAAAAGTTGATGACTATAACAATATGTTACCACTTGTGGTAGTGACATAGCTAGAAACTTTAAAAGTACTTTCTAAAAAACATGGTAGTCAGTAAACAGGGTATATTTTTGTCAGCAGCAAAATAAACTACTCAAATCAGAAGATACTTTTTAAATGGCACTATTCACTGGGGTCAAAATGTGATACCTTGAGCTAATTCTGTCAATCACAAGTTTACCAATCGTTTGGTATGCATGAAGGTTACTTTAAAGTTGCAGGATTATTTTTTCAAATTGAAAAACTATGTCAATTTACATACATGTATAACCAGCTACCTATACCACACAGAATGTTTTGGAAAATTTATAAAGAAACCTGAAAGTTAACATTGCTATTAAGCTCAACATTGATTCCACCATCTGATTGGACAAACATATAATGGATACGAGCAAAGGTTCATAACTAAGCTGTTTTAATTTGTCCCACAATTCTTGATTGACAATTAGAAGTATGCCTATATGCAAACATGCTGACAATATTATAACAGACAACTCACCAGTGTACCTGCTTGTTCCAGCGTGGATTTTTAGCTCCATTATGTGCGGTGGGTGTCTCAAACACGGAATGTCCAACTCGAATACGACAGTATGGGTCCATCTTAGTGATACCATAGTTCTTGGCAAGCTTAGCCTGAAACAGAAACATGGTAAAATATATGCTCAAATCGACACTTGATAATGTTTTTCTCTTATGATCTATTCTTAAAACTGTGTTGTATTCAGACATGTTCATATTATGTAAAGGTCAACTTACTCTTAGAGATCATATTATTCTTGGATAATATTGACAGATCTGTCGGTGGTTATCAAGTCAGAGATTTGCTCATGTAACTATTTGTAAAAGATATCTCAAAACACTAATGCTTTTAATACAATGTTAGTTTTAGGTCTAATTTTATCATTGGCTACTGGTGTGACAATGCTATCAATGTCTTTCCTAATTTACCCATCTTCAGGAAAAATAAATTATGTCTGTTGAAAGCCCATGCTTAAATCAATGATGACAAAAAGGTATTAGGTAAGCATATGTTTAAGATACATTGCTCCCATGAAAATAGACCATTTTGTGAAGTTCATTTTCAAATATTGGAAATTTAACAAAAACTGCACGATTGGGGATTCCTCAAACTCTTTTTAAAAGAAAGTGATCTTGTACATGTATATAAAACGGTATACTGTAAACTGTGGATCAAAATGAAGACCATTTTAGATATAAATCTGATTTCTACAAAACAATGCAAATGTGAGACAAGAGCCTATAAGAAAAAGGGGTAAATTAGTAGTATTGGACCGCCATTATTAGATAAAAGATTACATCTAATATGTCACAGAATTTGAATTCCCTGCAATTTTGTGATAGTTTAGATGAAGCCATTGCTTGTAGAATTTATCACGGAATTCAGGATTTCATGCAGAATTTGGCCGAGAATACGACTTATTCATGCAGAATTTCTGAGAAGAATTTGCAACAATTTTCTCATGCAGAAAACTTGGATGTGTGTATTACTAACCTGTGATACTGTTATGCTTAGTCTACATTGTACATTGCCAGGTACATAACTGAAGGACTGTTGTGCCTGCATATACTGTGCAGTTTGTTCATCAGCCATAACTTGTTGCTGACTTGGACTCATGGGGATCTGGAGGAAGTCTGGGGGAAGGTCTCCAACCATCACCTAAAGCAAACAATTCATTATGTACAGGGTGATACAAAAACATGACACCCACCTTACGTTGCATAACTTGTAATTTAAAGTAGACATAATGCGAGAGCACCTCAAGACATTTCAGATATGTAGCTCAAGTGGGTCAAATTTTATGAGCTTTACAATGTATTTTCACTTTGGAGACTTTCTCATGAGCTGCAGATCTGAAATTGAGGGGGTACTCCATTCCCCTGATTTGACCCTACCAGCTTTTAACATCTGGGGTTACTTAAAGGACCATGTATATGAGACAAAAATCCCCAAACCATAGCTGACTTAAAGAGAGAAATTTCAAGGAAGATCAGGGCCATATCTCAATATGTAAGGGTAATCAACAACTTGGCCCGTGGAATTAAAATTTGCCTGCAAAGGAGTGGATGCCATATGGAACGTATATTTTAACACTCATAAAATTTGACCCACTTGAGCTACACATATGAAATTCCTCGAGGAGCTTTCACATCATATCTACTTAAAATGTCCAAAGGACAAGTCTATATGTTCATAGACAACAAGTTATGCAATGCAAGGTGGGTGTCATTTTTTGTGTCACCCTGTACATGACTGGTCTCTTCTTTTTTGGAGCTGGTGCCGACTCAAGAGTCATTAGACTCATCACTTGAACTTCTGTGAATATATTTTTGTAAAAATCCAGTGGATGCAATATATTTTCAGCAAATCAAATTGGACCTTACAATTCTAGAAAAATGAAAAGATTTTCAGTGAGAAAAAATTCTGAAAACTTTGGTCAACGTCAGATAGGTAAAAATGTTTATAAATTCTTAATAATGCTTCATTCAGTGTTATTGTAATGAGGTCCACAAGATTTCACATGTTGGTCACAACTACTGAACTCTGGTCGCATTTAACAATTAGGTCAGTGCTTTCCAAAACCACTGGTTATAGTCAAAAAATTTTCATTCCAAATTTATAAAAAGATTTCAGTCTACCTTTACCGCAAATCACCTTGATTTTTTGCCAAGAAGTGTCTTATATCTTTGGCTCAAGGTAAAAATAACATATTCACAATTAAAAACTAGAAAAAGTACATTTACATGTACTAACGAAAAATCAATTTGATCCCCCCGCAGATGTAGGGTTAAAGTAATTTAAACTTAACCAAATAAAAAATCTATAGTCCTTATCAGAGCTATATTTGGCTGAGAGGGTAAGAGGAAATGAACCAACAGAGCAATCACTAAGTAAATGTGGCTGTCCCGCCCCTTGTGACTTTGAGTATCAGAGTTTTAATACACTAGGCCCTGGTTTGACATGTATCAAATTTGGCAAAGTTGTAAAAAAATAAACATTTTTGAACACATCGCTGCTTTGGAGTTGATTTCTTACAATCCCCAGATATAATGTAGGCTAACAGTATAAATAAGTTGATCAAAATAAAGGACCCACGGTCCTGTGCTGACACAGTGTAGAACCTTCAGAGGAATGTATATCCTGATTTTCAAAAAAAATTATTGATTTTGATTTGTAGTCTCGAACTTTGAGAAACTTTGACCTTGAACATTTTACTTATTCAGAGCTCAGTAGGTCTTTTAAGGTGACCAAAATTTACATCCAAATAATCAATTTGAAAAATCAACTTTTTGACCTTTAGAAGGTGACTGAAGGTCAAATCTCAAAACTTAGGTCAGATTTGAACTCCTGGCAACTTGTAAATTTGGTCAAATTGAAGCAAGTTGAAAAATAACTTATTTTTACTGGTTTTTGACGTCAAATATCTCAAAAATAGTAAAAATTTGATACTAATAATATATATTGAGCAATATGTAGGGAATGCTTCAATCTAGTAATGATGTAATTCATTGCAAGTAATGAACAAGTATACAGACAAACTTTGAGAAACTTGTCAATCACAAAACCTGCCATGATTGACGATATAGATGAGGAAGTTCCCTGAAAATGACTCCCCATTAGTCCTGCTTTTTGTCAAATTTTATAGAGTAAACACCAAAAACCGTAATTCCCAGAGCTTTGACATCTTCAGAGGACATATGTTGCACATACAGCAACTACTACCATTTATTTGAAAGTTCTACTTCAACAAAGTATCTGATATTTACAGAAAATTTGACTTTTTGACGTCAAAATCGGCAATTCCTCGGAAACCAGGCGAACTTGAGAAATGGCGATGATAGGTCAAACAGGAATTATGGATATGCATAAAATGAATGTGAATATGACTCAATACGAATAGCAGTTTTAATTTGTGCAGTCAATGATGATTGACTTTATACATGAGAAAGTTCCCTGAAAATGAATAAGTCCTACTTTTTGTCAAATTTTATAGAGTAAACACCAAAAACTGTAGAGCTTTGAAATCTTTAGAGAACATAAGTTGCCTATACAGTAACTACTACAAATTATTTGAAAGTTCTACTTCAACAAAGTGTCTAGTATTTACAGAAAATTTGACTTTTTGATGTCAAAATCAGCAATTTCTCGGAAACTGGGCAAACTTGGGAAATGGCGATGATAGGTCAAATAGGCATTATGGATATGCATAAAATGAATGTGGATATGACTCAATCCGAATAGCAGTTTTAATTTGTGCGGCCAATGTTGATGGACAAACCAACGGACGGACGTCGATCCCATAGGCTCACTGTGTGAGCCAATAAGGAAATACGATTTACCCCGACACCAAATTCACCTCTGTGGCAGTGACAAATCTCAGATATATAAATAACGCCCCAAGGGTGCATTGATGCACCTAAGCACCAATCAGAGACGATATTTAGTAAAATTCCAATGACTCATAGTCAGACAACTTTCAAGATTTGTTTCATTTCATATGAATTTTTATTTACAAAATCTTTCCATGAAATTCAACACCTAATGAAGCTTAGCCTTCTCTAAAATTCACACAAGATGCGAATTACATACTGTTTATTGAAATATATATCATGATATGGATGCTGACTGCTTAAACTTAGTGTTAAACGGAAATAAATATTACCCGACTTCGTCTTTCTGCTGCCGGAACTGTCGCCATTTTTGTTTTTCTTTAGAAGACCCCATACATTCATGATATAAATCTATATCAATTCCCCATTGGCTTTTTAACGATAATACCCCATTTATGATAGAATCACCTCCAATCGAACAAGTTCATCATATATCACTTCGGGTTACATGTTGCTGAATCGAAACCGTATCTTTAAAAAATCACTAGCTTACAAGTTTTGTACAAGGAGCCTTTAGGTAGAATGTAAAAGCACCTCCAAAATTTTTAGCAGATTTCATTAGAAGTTTTGGATGTAAACAACCACTTATTTATGAGGATATATATATAAAAGCATTATAAAATTCACCAGGACATCATGAGTTGCTAGAAAAAAGTAAGTTATGATATGAATTTCAAGGCTAATTCCATCTGGATATCAGATGGCCTCAAATCAGTCATACATTTTTGTCAACAGCAGAAATCTCATTGCAAAAAGATGCATAACTGTAAACTTCTTCTACTATATGAGATTGTCTTGTGGGTTGTCTTGTGTCTCAAATTGCAGTAACTAATAATATACACTTCAATCTTGAAGTCGACCAGTAATTGAAAATGTCCGCCATGCATCGATTACACATAAGACTAATTTCTGGACTAATTTTACATACTCATACTGTGGTTAGCCTTGCCCAAGGTGGTGTCTTTATTTTTTTTAAACAAAGTTCAGTTATTTGTAAATTTTGTTTTCACAGAAAATCACTTTATTAGACACATACCGACAGTTTGTTATTGTCAGTCAACTTTGACCAATCAACGATGGCACTGCAGCGTTAGCTCATTAGTTATGTACTCTCAAAACAAGTACAATTTTCTAGAACAAATCTTGCACATTTCATCATGAAAATACATTGTCAATTATTAGATGAATATCAACCAGAGTTAAGTGGATGTACGTGGGAGCATAAATTGGAAGCAGAGAAAATATCACCAAGAAACATTGAAAAAGATCACTGAATTGATCAAATGTGATAGCTCCACATCTAGGCATAGATCCAGATCAATCAGATCAGGACCACACCTTCGTGCATTTTCATTGCATTAGTCAGTTTTAAATCAATTATAATCACTGTAGTTTGCTTTAGTTTTGCATCAAGGTTTCTGGTGAATTCCCTGTACATACCAGGTCATACATTAACTCTCTGATCCAGTGAGGAGTGAGAATGGGGGGGGGGTCGGCAACACATAACAAGGTTTAATGCAAAACTAGGTTTACTAAATACAAATTTCAGATATTCAGTTGATGATGAATTTATGTTATCAACTTTCAGATTAAGTCAGTGATACAGATAACTTACAAAGGACGTGCTGAGGTCCATGTAGGAGCTTATATTTTCTCATACTTTGAGTACAGTTATGGCAGATACTCAATTTTCGTAAGTACTTAACACTTAGAATTAAATTATATTACATGTAAAGCAAACAATGTATTTTCAAATATAGGCTTTGTCACAAATTTAAGTGAGTTAATGATAATTACACAAATACTGTAGATTGTTTTTTGGGAACAGTAACCATAAAATATGCAGTTCATTCCATTTTTAATCTCATATATTATTTTCTGAGGAATATACTATATATTTATATAAAATTATGTATAAAATTTGACATTTAAGCTGTCTACTTTCAGCCTTTGAAAATCCCAAAACTGCAATGTGCATCTAATTATAGGGGATCCTTAATTTTTACAATTATTTAATTAAAATATTGTGTATAAACCATGTGGGTGTCATGTAATATAAACCAGGCATATTGTTTAACATGTGGTTTTATATTATGCTGGTGTAAAGTTTTTCATTTCATATTAATTATATCAATAATAATATTGCAATATGGGTGAATGAGCAAAGAATAAAACATAGAATTTGCATGACACCTAATTGAAATTTAATGAGAAATAGAAGAAAATAACACACTTTGATCATAGAAAAAAACCTTTTGAGCTTCTAGATGACATGAAATTAATGACATTTTAAATTGAGACACATACAAACAGCTGATTTCTACATTCATATACATCAGTAGTTGACTGCACATGTACAGTATTAGGTGTTATCTCTGTGAGCACTGGTAGACACCTAAATACTCATCATTTATCTGTTAGCACAAAGGCAAGTCAGATCTATTGTGGATATGAGGCTCTATCTTAGTGCTTCAAGTTACAAATCAATATATTTATTTTGTCAAAAGATATATGGTTCAATACCCCTTAAAATGTCTCAGCAGTCTAAATGGCCTACTTTCACAAAATTTTTATATTCCTGTCCATCTTGGTTGATTCACCATTGCTAGACAGTTTACTAGAAAAGCTGGATTGCATGACATTCTCTCAACAGAATTCAATTACTGAATTCAAGATTTTTCCGAATTGGCAGTAATCAATACAAATTGCATGAAATATTAATGCTCAAGATTGCTATATAAAGACTCATAGACAACTTACTATGATTGATTTTCTATAAGTCTTCAAATTAAGTAATTGTGAAATCTTTGATGTTGTTAATCAGAACTTTGGGGGGTGAGGGTACTTTGGGGGGTGAGGGTGGTAAGGGGAGTGGAAACATTTAGTTGATTTTGATTGATTTAGCTGATCTACTTAAATATTTAAGTAAATTGGCATGTATTGTTTCCTTACAAATATCCTGTAAGACATCTGAATTCTGATTCTTAAGTAATATATATATACTATACAGTATAATTGTGATTGTACATTTAAAATTAGTAGTCTTAATTCAATTTCAATTTCAAAATAATTTATTTCAGTTTTCATTACAAAATTTACAACATTATACGGGCTTTGACACCCCAGGGGGTGTATAACTGCCCATAATTTAATTTACAATAAACATGATTAACTGTGAACATTTAAAGTGGTACATACATCAAAACAATAATATAAAATAATATAATATGAATACAATATAGAAATACAATAATATGAGACAATAAAGAAATTAAATAAAATGTTTCGGTTATTCTGTACTCAGGAGGTCAGTTTTCAAAAGAGATATGATATGAGTGAATTTAATGGTTTATTTCTAAAATCTTCATTGATGGAATTCCATATACTGTATATGAACCATGGACCTAAATAGAATTTTCACCAATTCTGGTTCTATGTTTAGGAATATCTAAGTTATGACTATATCTAGTTATACGTTGATGTATTTGCTCTAGTTTTAAAGTAGTGATCCTATAATTTTGAAGGGAACTGTATAGAGTTGCTTATAACAAACCCTGGCTTGTACCCCCCCCCCCCTCACTCTGGACATTACATCCAGAAGGAAGAGGGTAGTGGTCTAAATATGGGAAGTCCTGAAGACAAATAGAAAAAAACTATATTAAGTTCAACAGTAAAGTAACAGGTTGCATAATAATATAATTGAAAATTAGAGGATGTAATTGAGTAATACCAGCATGTACTAGCTACTGCTAAGTATATATAGCAAAACACCTGGTACTTGGATACATTTTTGTAACAATTATATCATATAGGTATATATATAATTTAGGTTTTATTCAGTATATTCCAGCTATAATATGTTTAATTCTTCAAATGATCTTTTAAATAGTGTGTACTACTAATTTTCCCTCAGTCTATGCCATAACTATTGTATTTTATTTTTTATTTGAGTACTTTTAAGCATCATGTGACAAAACTATAAAGGTGATAATGATATTTTTTGCTCTCTTCATATGTTACTTTCTATTGAGGAATTGTCCCAATTCCCAGAGTAGAGAAAGTTGTAAACCTATTATATTGCCTTCATATGTGGAGCAAGTAAAACCTTGTAAATATAAATACATTCAAGGTCAGCCTTCCATTGCATCAGAATGATCTCTGTGAAGTTGTAAAGCTATATTGCATTTCCAAGGTGCCTCTTGGTATGAAAAACAACAACTGGTTAGAACATGCTTGTTGAATAAATTTTGAGGTTCCTATTGTGAGTTTTCTGTCCTAAATCTTGTCTGTAGCGTCTTGCCGACGACCATAAGATTGCTTAAGGATTGCTTTGAAATTTTGATCAATGTTGTCTTGGTATGAACTTTGAAAGATCAGAACTGATTAGGTTTTGGGCATTAAAATCTTGAATCTTCTTGGTAAATAGTGTCTAGTTGTCTGACATTTATCTGGCTACAAATTTACAATCAGCAATCAAAAGATGTGAACTAATAACTTGATCACTTCTTGTTTGTTTTGAATTTTGTTGTCAGGAACATTTTAATAAACCAAAACTCACAATTCAAATTCTGAAGTGAGAAATTGTGACTGTTGAATTTTGAATTTTGTTCATGGCTTCACCCCCAGATTTTCAAATTTATATTGCATATGGTGCATTCTAAGCATTTCAAACTATAATGTTTCTTTCTTTTTTCTTTTTTTTGTGGGGGTGTGATCACACCCATCCATTCCCCCCCCCCTTGCTAGGTCCATGGCGTGTCTTGTATTTTCCTTCTAATTTGTGTTTTCCAACTGTTTGTTTTCTGGATCTACACTGTACTGTTCTAAAACAATATTTCAAGATACGAGTGAATAATGAATTTTCCAGCATTTATGTTCATTCATTTTACAACATGATCAGTTTTATGACATTTTTTAAGTCATGCAGTGTTCCTCTAAGTCTTTTCATGTCTTCAAATATAAGAATCATGTGTATATTATATAGAGAGATATTTTACTTAACCTGAATGTTTGACATCTAGGCTATATGGAGCTGTGGTTGTTTAATTCTGTTAAATGATTGGAAATTGCAGTTGTTCTTTGTTTTTATACTTATTGTATTTTGAGTACACAAATCTGTTCATTGATAGGAATGTAATAATATATATTTACTTGTACAACTACAGTATTGTATGTTTCATTGTCTATTTATATTTATGCAGTATGGACATTGTATTTTGTATATTGTATAACCTAAGTATGAAAAAAGTCAATCATTCTTATAAACAGAAAATTATGCTGCATGATTTTGAAGAAATATTCTATTCCAATCTCTCTTGATGGTTACCCTTCTCTAAAGTCAACCCCAAAATACACTCAAAGTGTTCAAAATATGGCAATTTTTCTGATTTTCAAATGAGTGCAAGTTTGTTTTGAGAGTGCAGCATCTACTTGCGTCTAATGCTGGATGTTTGTGATATGAATCATGTCATTCATTGCAGACTTGTTCCCAAAGTGATTAATGGAGGTATAGCTGGTATAGTTGGTGTGACGTGTGTCTTCCCTATAGATCTGGTGAAAACTCGGCTACAAAACCAACAACCTGGACCCAATGGACAGCTCATGTATAAAAACTTGTGAGTATCAGATATGACCCAATCTGAGGTATGTTTATGTTTCCCCTCCTTCTACATACACCATGGCTGTATGACTGTATGTGAAGTTCCAAGAGGGAAAGATTTTTGAATAAAATGGAAAACAAAAAATTGAATTGTGACTTGGAAAGAAACCTATCACGTTTTACCATGCAATACTGTTTAAGGGGTATTTAATCTGAGTGGTTAATTTGCTGAATGGTCAAATATCATTTTTCCTAATTTTAATTTTCCTTATAACAAGAAACTTCCCATTGGATAACATTATGAAGATAATAAATTCCAACACTTAATTTTCCAAACCTTAGGCAAAAATTAGGCAATAGGCAAATTAAATGATTATGCAAAAATTACAGTGTTACAGTATTATATTATCAAAGATAGTAGTTTTAGACTTAAGGTATTCTAAATTTTCAAATTTTGTCTTCCTATAAACTATGATCATGACGTAATTGAAAGAAATGTTACTTTTTTATCTTCCAGTCGAGACTGTCTTGTCCAGACTTTTAAGAAGGAAAAGTTCTTTGGCATGTACAGAGGTATGTATTAAGCTATTGGCATGATCAGAGGTATGTATTAAGCTATTGACATGTACAGAGGTATGTATTAAGCTATCGGCATGTACAGAGGTATGTATTAAGCTATTGGCATGTACAGAGGTTTGTATTAAGCTATTGGCATGTACAGAGGTATGTATTAAGCTATTGGCATGTACAGAGGTATGTATTAAGCTATTGGCATGTACAGAGGTATTTATTTATTTATTTTATTAAAGTGTCACTTGTATCATATCATACAACCAGCCCTATCTGGGCTTATGAGACACATTTGAACATTTTAAAATAACTAGTTATTGTTTAAAAATAAAGTCTTTCCTGATCTGCATTATGTCAATTAAATACTGGCCAAACATCTTAGTGTATCTTTTACTTTTAAAAATGTCACTTAAAGTCAGACTCTCTATTTCCAATTTTTCAAAACTATTGACATGTACAGAGGTATGTATTAAGCTCTTGGCATGTACAGAGGTATGTATTAAGCTAAATAGAATATGGCTGTACATGTAGTTTGAAATTCTGTATGACATTAAAGTTTGACAAAAAATAAATGGGTGCTTTAATAAACATCAAAAAACATATACCCCTCCCACATGAACAAAATGAAATAAATATGGTAGGAATAGAATTCATGTACTGTATATAATCCTACAGAATAATAAAATACAATGTACAATATTCTTAAAATATTTTTAATTCATCAAGTGGATGCAACATTCTTATATTCACTGTTTTCTCTAAATAGCGTTGATTATTTTTTTCAGATAAGTTTTCTACCCTCTACTCACATTGCAAAATCTTAACTGGAAAGATAACGTAAATGATTGAAAAGCAAGGATTTGCATGTAAAATGTATGTTTGATTCAATACTTACAGGCTCTGGAGTGAATCTTCTACTTATCACACCGGAGAAAGCCATAAAGCTAGTGGGAAATGACTTCTTTAGGTACCATCTCAAACAAGAGGGGTAGGTTGAAATAATACTCGGTGTCACTCACGATACATGGAATTATAGTGAAACTTTATCTTGAAATAGTTTAAATGTGCTGCTATTCATCAAATACTTTTGCACTAAAACCTGTAAAACTATATTAGAAGAACAAGTAAGAGAAAGAGCAAAATGTAAAGAAACATAAATGCATAACCAATAAGAAGGAAAAGAAATCCCAAATATACACGTCACAAATATTCTCCATATTCCAAAGATATCCATTTGCAAAATATCATAAATACATGTATATTTACATGTAATCATACAACTATGCGATAAGATATAAAAACATTGTCTAACATCCTCTTAACAATTTTCTTCAATCAGGAAAAAATTAAGTTTAACACGTGAGATGATAGCTGGGTCCTCTGCAGGGGCCTGTCAGATAATAGTAACAACACCTATGGAACTACTGAAGATACAACTCCAAGATGCTGGCAGAACAGCAACAGGTTTGGAAATATAGCTACTACTTATTTGTTTAATGCATATAGTCATATTCATAGTCATAGTATAAAAGGACATTTCAATTATAGAGTGAATTGAAATGTTATTAAAGAAATAGTAAGTAGCATGCTATAAATTACATAAAATAAGATGGTGCCAAATTATTTAGAGTGAACCCCCCTGGTAATGATCATAAAATATTGAAAAGACTTGAATGTGGTAAAAATGTGCCATAATGTATTTATTGCCACACATTGATATGTTCATGTTTATTGTTGAGGGGAGTAAGACTTCGTATATACAGTACATTTAAAGAAGATATCCTATGATTTATGAGTGGTATGGTTTTATCAAGAATCAATATTGATATTTGCACAATAGTGCAGGCTACCTATGAGCCAAATATCAACTTGACCCCCGCACCCAGTATAACAAGTCGTCATGGGTATCAAAATGTTCGTCTTGTTGAGTACATTGCGAAAACCAATTTTGACAGATTGAAATATGGGTCAGATTCGATAAATATGACATAATGTTATGTAATCTATTGTTATGAAATAGCATTTTTGTAAAGCATTTTTAGGGGAAATGATAAACTGAAATCATGAGCTAAGTAAATATTAATTGTGTATCTACTTTAAAATAAATTTTGATAATTATCAAAAATACTTTGGACTTGGAATTATGTAATTATTACCTTCAGGAATCCTTTCATATTTTCACATTTTGTAGAGAAAGGTCTAAAATTTTTGTTGGTATCATACATTTTTATTAGTCTTGAAATTTGCAGAAATTATAAGCCCTAACCAAATATTACTGAAAAGGGATAAAATGTGATTTTCAACATCCGCGATTCTTCAACCCATCAACACCACTCCCCTGACAATTTTTTAGCTGCAGTCTTAAAGGGCTATTATTTTCTGACTTTGTTTGGTTATGAATCACGCACATTATGGCGTAAAAACTAGCATCCTACCTCTGTTAGTTGCAAAGATATTGTGATCCAAAGAAAAGTTTCCATAGACGAAAATTTTTCCCAGCGAAATCGCAACATACCCCTATACGATCTTGAAATGTCAATATCTTCATTAATCATGGACCAATTCTAGTGAATTATGGCTCAAAACATTGAATATTAGATTTTCCTTTGGTTTTCTAAAGATATTTGATGAAGGGCTTCTCAGACTCCTGGTCACAGGGGGCAACTTTGCCCCCCTCTATCCATTTGTGTAGGTAACATGCCCCTTAACTGTTGAACAATTAAAACTGCTTCAAAATGATCAATGAGAGTGTGAAATGTGTTTTCTGCTCAAATAGTATCCCTTTTGTCATATGGTAGGGTTTTAAACTTATATCTCTAACTGAAATCTGTTTTAAGAATACCTAACATGTTTCAACTATTTCCATGAATTACGTTGGTAAAATTTTGCACAATCTAATTTTCAGGCATGTTCGTTTAAGTCTTGTAATTTCTTGAAAATTTAAGACTGGGAATAAATTATGGCATCAACAAAAAATTTAGACCTTTCTTTACAACATGTGATAATATGAGGCAATTCATGCAAGTATTAAGGAAAATATACCCTGTTGCAAGGGTTCACTTTTTTGGACCACCCTGTATGTCATGCATATGTAGCAGGAAATATCAGTATGTTAACAGTGCATTAAGACACAATGATAACATCATTCAACATTTAATCAGATATACTTATCAAAATATTCATGCATATAAAAATCAGGTAAATGTTATGATCATTTCACATATAAGGGCTTACATCTTTCAATAGAATAATTATATTATATGATGATATGATTATTTCAAACATCTTTATTCTAAACATCTGGATATGGCTTTTCCCCAACCATCATTGTGTTTTGGCAATTACCCACCTCACAGTAACAGATATGCACAATAATCCTGCAAGTAGGCATCTACAAGTCTGATAAGTGCAAAATCCATCCTTACAATAGGTTTGGATAAGATCCCTTAATTCAATGGGGGCAGATGCTCTCAAAATCATGTTAGGAACCAGTTTTCCATCAATAAAGTACCATACATTACACATACAAGTGAAGATAGTGAAAGATTTTAGATCTTAATATCTATGAGTGGATAAAAATCATATCTTGAGTAAATTGTAGAATGTTCTTTTCCAGTTAAACCACTTAAAACCCTCAACTAAGCTTTGCAACTTTGCTACATGTACCTCATTGGAACTTCATTTGTTTTTCAAGAAAACTTCCAATACATAAAATAATCTCTGCATCATGTTTTGTTGCTTATAGTTGAGGGTAGCAAGGCTGCTGCAGTGAAACCCCCTAAGATATCTGCCACTAGTATAGCTATGCAACTCATAAAGGAGAAAGGCATCACTGGTATATACAAAGGCTGTGCTGCTACCGCACTCAGAGATATTACATTTTCTGCAATTTATTTCCCTCTATTCGCACATTTAAATTCATTAGTAAGTGCTTTTTCTATAAGTGTTTATGTGTGTGCTTTTTGCACTGCTTAATTGTTTTCATGACTTAGGAATTCATGTAAAAAAGGAATGTAAAAAGGGAATTTTCACAATTTTAACCCATATCCTCCTGATTTAAAATGAACTGGAAAACTGAACTTTTGCGCCTGTCTGAAGGCTTAAAATCTAGAGTAAGATAAATGTTGTCGGAAAATTTTGAAAATATCAATTGAGAAGACCAACACAAACTTAAATTCCATATTATTTCTTGACTATCTGCACCATATGGGGTACTTCATCTGCTCAAAATATGATAATGATTTTTCTAATTTGCCATTTGTCTGGATATTTGTGGTCATACAACAGCTTTAATTCCAAATTAAATATTTTTTTCGATTTGCCATAATGGTGTCACAAAATAATCAGTTAAACACTATGTTTTCTAAATCTGTATAGGGATTTTCAGCACCACGCTTTAAAGCGTGTCCATGAGGATAAGGGTTAACATATTCTGGGAAAGATATTCAATGTTCTAAAAAGCTAGGACACAAGTATTTTAAAGAACCATAACATACACTTTATAGCTTAAGTGTGACCTGTACGCATTGTATTGTTTATATTTTTATCCCATCAAACGAAGTTCAGAGGGATATAGGGAATGCCTCTGTCCATCCGTCTGTCCGCCGTACGTACATCCGTACGTCTTGGCAATAACTCATATACTGCTGGCCCGATTTTGTTCATATTAAGTACACATATACCCAATGGGAGTAGAAGTTCTGCTCGAAAAACCGATTTTCAATGCCATTTTAGTGCTGATTTTACAGTTATTTAGGTACTGCATTTAAAACTGTAATAGCAATATGTTTTAAATGTAAAAAAGTTATATAAAACATTGATTAAGCTAGAAATGTAAATATAGAAGAAATACATGGCAGCCATCTTGAAAAATAACTTGAAAAGTAGTGGAGCGATTTTGTTCATATTTGGTATGTGAATACTTTAAGCATGGCACAATGTCTAATGACATTTTGGGTAGTAGGCAGCCATTTTGAAATGGCACCATTTTTACATGTGTTATTTAACATTTTTCACTGTAAGTCAAAAAGTAGTGGAGCAATTTTGTTCATATTTGATATGTGAATACTTATGAGCCTTGCACACTGTCTCATGACACTTACCGTAGTAGGCGGCCATTTAAAAAATGGCTGTCATTTTTACATTTTTTACGATAACTTGAAAAGTAGTGGAGCGATTTTGTTCATATTTGATATGTGAATACTTTAAGCATGGCACATTGTCTAATAAAACTTTGGGGAGTAGTCAGCCATTTTTGAAAAATTTTATATGTGTTATTTTACATTTTTATTATAACTCAAAAAGTAATGGAGCGATTTTGTTCATATTTGATATGTGAATACTCGTAAGGATTGCATACTGTCGTATGACATTTTGGGTAGTAAGCGGCCATTTTAAAAAATGGCCAGCCTTGGCGATTTTTTAAGAATTTTATATGTGGCTTTAAAAGCATATTACTTCTTCTGATGACAACTTGGCGAGTGATCAACCATTTTGAAAATGGTGGCCTTTCTTATGGGTATTATTTTATGATATTTGCTATATATTTCAAATGTAAAAATGCCAGCCATTTCTGTTCAATGGGATTCGCTTCGCTTTGGCATTGCTGTTGTTCTGGTTGTTAATTTTTTCCAGGATACTTTTAGACATTTTGGATTATAAAAAAGGTTGCGTATTATTTATTATAATAAAAATGGATCTTTTTTAGATGAATTATTTGAGATGGTAAGGAACCGGAAACGTTTTGAAAATTCAGTTTACTATTTCGCTTGTAACATGCCCAGTTCTGCACTTTATAATTTGCACAACAAAGTAATGCAAACTGAATATCTTAGTGATTGTTCCAGGTACTAATACACCTTCAACTAGTTTTAATCCTCATCTCTTTACTGAAATTATTAAAACCTCACTCTTTCCATAGTTCATCCTAAACTTAGAAGCAATCAAAAATTCTTGAATTTCTTTTCACCAATTAAATGACCTCTTCTTGGTTGTTATTTCTTTTGTTATGAATAAGGTGAGTTTTGACAAATATGTGCACCGTGACATAATGTGCACTAACTAACCCAAAATGATCAATTTCTGGAGAAGGTGCAACTCTACCAATTGATACAATACATGTTGAAATATATGAATGTTACATTATGAAGCTCAATATTTTCTGTGTACAGGGTGTCCCGAAAGTATGGGCCCCCCCCCCCCCCCCCCTAGGCAGACATATACCAGTGTCGTCACAGTATGTGTCATATATCATTTTAAAGCTTATGCAAAGTTACATTGATTCGCCAAGTATCATGGTTCAACTCTCAAATGTGAAAAAATTACAGGCATTTCAAAATTTAGTGTTTGGTCAAAATTAAGTTCAATTTTACACCAAATCAATAGTCAATGTGTCCTCCCGGGCCATTTTAACAGCAGCAATTATTTTCGGGTTGGATGGATATTGAGTTGGAAAAAGAGAACGGTGAGGGTAGAAACTCTAAGGAAACTCTTCTAAAGTTCCTTAACAGGTTTTAAGATGGTTATAAAATTCCACACCCCTATTTGAAGGGCTTTAAGGTCATATCTGAAAATAATTGCTGCTGTGAGCATAGCCAAGGGGGGACTCATTGACTGGTGTAAAATTGAACTTTATTTTGACAAAACACTAACTTTTAAAATGACTGTAACTTTTTCCCATTTGGGAGTTAAACCATGATACTTGGCAAATTAATGTAACTTTGGATAAGCTTTAAAATGATATATGACACATACTATGAGGACATTGGAATATGTCTGCCTAGGGGGGGGGCCATACTTTCGGGACACCCTGTAGTATGTAGAAAGACAGTAGTGTTGGTATTAGTATTGCCCCAAAATATAATATTTCTGATTGTTCCCCTTCCCATAAACTGTATTTATTAAACATACATATATTAATTTAATAGAATTGAATAGGATTCATCATATTTTTAAATTGAATAGATGCTATACATTGAAATGGATCCGTAGTATTCTTCTAATTTAAAGAATCAATTAATGTTCAAATCCAATAAATAAGGGGATGAGGTCAACCTGAAATGCAATTATGCAATTATATGTTTTTGGACAATATTGATGTTATTTACTACATTTGTATTTGTACGTGATAGTGACCTGTCCCCAACATTCATTCATTGTCTTGTTTAAGGGGAAAGGAGGGGGTGGGCTGTAAAATACTATGCTTGTCAAAATAGTATTAACAGTTTACAATATACATTATGTATTACATTGCTATTTCAGGGTAAAAGGAAGGGAGTCATGAAGCAGTATTCTATGTTTCATTTATATACACAGTACTAAATAGTCTACAATATACATTATGTATTACATTGCTATTTCAGGGTAAAAGGAAGGAAGGGAGTCATGAAGCAGTATTCTATGTTTCATTTATATATACAGTACTAAATAGTCTACAATATACATTATATAATACATTGCTATTTCAGGGAAAAAAGGAAGGAAGGGAGTCATGAAGCAGTATTCTATGTTTCATTTATATATACAGTACTAAATAGTCTACAATCTACATTATGTATTACATTGCTATTTCAGGGTAAAAGGAAGGAAGGGAGCCATGAAGCAGTATTCTATATTTCATTTATATATACAGTACTAAATAGTCTACAATATACATTATGAATTACATTGCTATTTCAGGGTAAAAGGAAGGAAGGGAGTCATGAAGCAGTATTCTATGTTTCATTTATATCTGGTCTGGCAGCTGGTTGTGTAGCCTCATTCTCAGTAAACCCTCTAGATGGTAGGTACACATTTGCACATTCATATTTAAAGTAAAAGAAAAGCAATTCAATATAAAAATCCCCCAAATAACTTTTATCCCCACTGGTTTCATATTGTGACATATTAGTTGTTCAGATTGGTGGCCATTTCCCGTCTACAGGTTTCCAGGCAAACTGTATTGGAGATAATTTTTCAGGGATATTTCTAGGTATGAAAACGGCCATTTTTGATTTTTCCATCCCGAAATCTTTGCTGCGATGTCTTGTTTATGCATTTTGAGAAAAACTAAGGGAATGATTGGATTGATCTGTAAGAACAAAATGAGTTTCTTGTGTGAAGTATTGAAACTAATCCATCGCTCTGTCAACCTAAAAGAAATGTATTTCAGTCAGTTGATGGACACATATTCTACATATGAACATTGCCTTTGATAAACATGTAATGTATCATGTAATTCATCAATGTACGTATAAAGTGTTTCATATTGTGCTATATTTCCTTGCAGTTGTGAAAACTAGGCTTCAAACTTTAACAAAGGGATCATCAGATAAGACGTACACAAGCTGGATGCACTGTTTCAGGTGACATATTCACATATTTATTCTAATCGCAACATGCAAATCTTTACTCCTGCATACACAGATCATTTCTTTTTTTGGAATATTGTTAATTGTTAACATAAACACATTGTCAGAATTGGCAGAGCTACATGTATCAATGAGATAAAAATGATTTATGAAATGGACAAACCTGGCTGACCAAGTGACAGATAAGAAAATGTACCTTTTTCTGCTATCTTGAAATGTCTATCAATGCTTCAGTATACAATTATAGACAGCAATATAAACTTGACTAATCAAAAATGAGTGTTTAAGCTATAAGTGTAGTTACAAATGCTTACCTTAAATTTTGTATATTTATGTTAATGTATTTGCAGGTCCACATTGAAACATGAAGGAGTTCTGGCTTTCTTCAAAGGTGCTGGCTGCAGAATCATGGTCATAGCCCCATTGTTTGGTATAGCACAGACAGTCTACTACGTTGGTATAGCAGAATATATACTAGGCATTAAGAAATAGGAACAATTTATTATTATAATGAAGGGAGATATTGTTTCATTTTGGCATGTTTATCCTATATTAAGAAGAGTTTCAGAATAGTAGATATACTTGTATGTCTGCTGTGTCTGTAACTACCACCATTAAACCATCATATAAGTATTTTTACTTTTCGAAGTATAGGATAAATCATTAATGATATGGTTATGTTTGGATATGGGGATTTTTCCCGTGCCAAAAATATATATTTTATCCCGGTTGCAACAGTGCAATGGTTCAGCATATTTTGCGTATCTTTCCCTGAGAATGAAGCCCATATTGAAACCTCCATTAATTCAGCCTCATGCATATAAGTGATTGACCAGTGAGGAGCAACTCTTGTGTTGGTTGGCCATATCAGCTTCCAAACTAGGTTGGTGTAATCATTGTTTTAGTTTAGACTGGTTTTGAAGAAACTGGGAGATCTTCCGAATTTTAGTTTAGGTGTGTCGAATTACTCAATTCTACCTCTGTGTTATTTGATGCAATATCATATCAATGCATTGTCAAGAAGAATGTTAAGTAGTTTTAGTCTACCAGAGATATATACAGATGGTCAGGTGTAGTCTATCTATTTCATGGATACTTATACTTTGTTTCCTCTTTGCATCAAATGTGGTAAAGAAGAAGTCTAAATGAAGAAGATACCATTTAAAAAATTGAGTTTAAAGTTATCCTGTAAACTGCACAATGTCAAACCTATATGATCAGTTAATTAACGTTACTCTTAGAATTGAGAAACATTGTAAATTTCTGTGTATGTTTGAAACGGGTCATCTATAATTCTTGTGCGGCATGCCATTAAAATGTATTCATGCCAAAAAATATTAATGTTATAATTGGATAAATTGAACATGAGTGAGATGAAATGAAATAATGGATGAGACAAAAAATGATTTGCAACTTTGACAAACCTGAGGCAAACATGAGGTGAAAGGCTCAATGTAACCATATATCAGTACAGTTAGACAATGCTAAATGTCTGTGAGGAGTGCCAGTTGGTTGTGTGTTGATTGTGCCATCACCATGATTATGATGTACATAGGGCTTCTATGCTTTACATGGGCCAATACAATGTGTGCTAGATTGTTATATGAATTAAAGTATTCATAAATGTTCATGATATTTTTACTGATTATTCAATACATGAAATACTAATTATATAGTAAATTAAAATCAGAGTCCATCAGAAACAGCATTTATGTTCTTTATATTTGAATTAAATTATGATATTCTCTTTGGTATTAGTTTTGTGCAAATTTTACAATTCACATCAACATGAAATATCAAGTAATATGATTTATTGAAATTCTAAGTGAATATATATGAATTAGAGTTGCCATTAAAAAACCTGCTATGAGTACTTGATATACCCAGCAATATATAAATGTTTATGTTATATACCTTGCCTCACAGGTATAAAAACATAGGTGCAAGGTGGTCTTTTAATTAGTGCCATTTTCACATATAAGATTATGCTCTATTAGGTGGAGAACCCTGATATTTTAAACAATATGTATTACTGTATTAAGTTTATAGATTTTATGTAGAGAACACATTTGAAAACAATAATTAGTGAACAGCTAGTGATATATTCTTGATTGTTAGTCAGAATCCTGTGTTTTAGCTAGGAGTGCCAAATTATATGTTATGTTACTGTGCTATAAAGTATTATTAAAGTTGAACATTTTGTTTACATACTGTAGTTCATAATTTTGTTTGTAGAGATTCTATAAGAATTGTTAATGAATCTAGAATAAATATTCAAATAAATTGTATTACTGTATATCTTTAATGTTTTGAGTACATGTGATTACAGTTAAATGACTCAGTACTTATGACTCACCAAACTTCTACCGATTCTTATATTTCCCATGAGTTACATTTTGCATGAACCTTGCATTAGAATGACTAACTTGAGGCGCAAATAAAAAACAAGGCCTTTTAATTAAATCTCTGAAAGATGATTTTGATCTGTTATTCCATGTACTCTGCCCATTTCAGACTCCCATACTATCAAAATCTGATACTGTAAGTTGCTTCAATTTGGTGGTATTTAATTTGGCCAATTGGGCAAATTCTGAAATTTTGACTGCTTTTCAATTTTGGCTCAAACTCTCCTGGTATTAGATTGTTTAATTAACATGGTAGGGACTCTAGATGTTGAGAAATAGTTTTAAATTCACATTTTATCCATGTTCAATCAAGATTTTCACCAAAGTTTCATCGTGCACTGGACAAAATTCCCATGGAATTTCGCTATCAATAAATTGGCGGAGACTAATACTTTGCCATTTTTTATTCTCGCCAAATTCACGTAATTAAAAATGGCTGTCAAATTAAACCAATTTACAGTGCAAATGTCGCCCCATCTGAATGAACACAAACGTTCAATAAGTTTAAAATACCAAAATCGTCTTACTCAAAATTGAAATGGCATGACATATTTTAACTTTTCTATCTTATTTTGAACTTGGCTAGTTGGTTGGAAGCTCATATAGGATAATCTCTATGTACGCTTTATTTTTGTGCAATATTAAACATTGGTCAATAGATAACTAATTAACCATGTTTATAGCCTATGGTATTTCAATGTATTGAATGTCAATGTATTGAATGTCAGATTTAGGAGACAAAATGCATGGATTCTTGGACATAGAACTTTAGTAGCCTGGATTTCTTCAAAAGGGACACAAATAAGGCTGCAGAGAAGTTGCGAATGGAGCAGGTATTCTCTATCTTTGTCTATAGGGTTTTTCTGATAATAATACAATGCAGCCTGCTTGATAAATCTATAAAATGTATAGAATTAACACTTGGAATATATGTAAAATCTAGTCTTTAAATATGGAAACAAACATCCTCCATTTGCAACTTGACTATAGACTGACTGTATCGGTTTTAAAGAAATACAGGCTACAGTATGGGGGTAGGGTAGTGTGATATATCAAACCAAGGTTTGGAAAATAATAAGTATATAATATGAACCAGACTTGATGTGAGACAAATTATTTGCCCTCCATTCAGAAGACTCATGACTGCTTAAAATAAAAAAAACAGTTTCTCACTCCATATAAACACTTCAATCAAACAAGACAATGTCTTTATTGTTTATCTACATTTCATATCTGTTTATTCACATAACAACATATACATATTGCACATTTTACACAATGATAACATGTGAGATTATTCACATTATACAGCTACGTGTTTCTGCCTACGATATACATTCTTGGTCAGTCATTTGCATAGCTCCAATAATGTAAAATACAAGAATATAGTTCCATGACAACCACACCAATGAAGGAATGCGACAATTTGAACTAGGGGCTATGCAAAGGACTGTGCTACAATTGGCATACAAACATTCTATGATTCACAAAAGTCTGCTAACATAGAATGTTGAACTTTGGAATGCTTCACATGATAATAAACATTAGTATGTACGATCATACTTTATTTGGAACTCTTATTAACCTTCAGTTTGCAAATCAGTGTCCAGAAATAGCAAGTTCTGAGAAGTGCGCAAATACAAGTATTTCTGTATATTCTGAGGTACAACTTTGTGGAATATACAGGTATGAGTGATATTCTAACAATTAATGATTTCATAATATCATGAATAAATAAAAAACATTTCATTGGTGTGGTTTTGTGCTTTGATTAGGTCATTATTGAATATAGTTTGAGAGAAAGAAAATGTGCATGTTCAGTATTCAGGAATTAAGTCATAAAATGTTTGTAGTAAGGTAACTAATGTAAGGTTCAGAAAATTTTGGCTTACTCATGCTTAACATAAATACAGCTGTATGGCAATTCCATGTTTTTGCACCAAAATGGCATTTTTACCAACTTCCTGGTTCCTGTTTTTCACTGATGCCAACTATTGTAGACACATCATTGCAGAATAAATAACACCATAAAATAACCATACAGATTACAGAGCATCATGATCAATCTACGAAGATGTGTTCACTAGCTTGAGAAAGGTATCTCTATTTTAATGTTTCATTATTACTTATCGGCCATTGTATATGAAGACATTTCCCTGCCTGGCCTATCACATGTGTCTATTCTAAATACTGGAAGCTGCTTTCTTAGAAATTACCTAGTTGTCAAATTTTCTATTAGCGTTGCTACCAAATAGTTCTTGGCGTATAATTGGTGTTCTCTGAAAGGCAAAAAGTAAAGATTTTGAATCAAAATACACATGTGGTATAAATAAGCTGCACTTCACTTATTTATTTTGTAGTTTATATGGTTTTGAATCAACAAGTTACAGTGTATATCAATTTTCAGGTCAAAACAAGGTCATATATAGAGCTCAAGACATGTGGTCATATTTATCTGATAACATTCAGACACACAAGTACCTTCAACAATGACTTAGTAAAGTAAAAAAAACTTACTGATTAGTCAATCTTTATACAACCAAATGGATGAATTCAATTTGAATTCTTTTTTACAGACAAATGAAAATATTATTTGATGACAAACGGCACAAATAAATACTGTTTGGGTATCATTTGAACCCAAAATATAAATAAATGGAATTCTTCATTTAGTTGTCTATGTAAGAAGGCACTAACCTGTTCACTCATTAGGGCTAGTCTGCTCTCTAGAGTATTTTCAACTTTGATACGTTTATTAGGAGTCAGTAGTTCTACTCCACCAGCTCTGGAAGCAGAATCATTAATACATGTAAACACATTTATGAATAAGTACATGTATGCTTGAGAAAATTTAGCATTAACATCTTTTTCACTCCACACAATCATGTGTATGTAAATTGACAATAGATAAAAGCTTGAACTTTCATTTGAATGGGGTGCATGCCAACCAGGCCTTACATTCAATACTACTACCTGGGGTTGAGAGAGGGTGATTTAGACAAGCTCTTGATTTGGTATTTCAATTATCAATAAACCTCCATTACTGAATAACTTTTTAATATATAAATTCCCCTTAATAGATGAAAATTTGGATACATAATACTTAGAGGTTATGTCACTATTACGTGAAATATGCCCGAGTTCTCCCAATATAGGCAGACATTGGGAGGCTCTATTTTTGGGCAAATTTCACGTCATAGTGACATAACTGTTGTATTACATACCTTTATTTTAGTCCCATGACTACTTTGTATCAATGATGTCACACATCTGTGTGCGAGTAGAATTTGATCGAAATGAGAGATGATGTCATAATATTGTCACGGTTATGAAAGAAATCTAATTTTACAATGAGGTAAGCGTGCTATATCGGGGTAATAGGCAATATTGGTGGATATTATAGCCCGCTAACTTTCCCACTGACTTCCATACAAATGATTTGCTAGGTATGTAATACATTGATTTTGCAATGGTACAGCAAGAAATTTTGTAACATCATACATTACGCCATCATTCATTATGACATCACACAGAGTGTTGTAGCAATACTTACATGTCAGCAGGAAGGTATGTCACAGCATCTACAGCTGCTTTGACATCCTTCTTGGTTGCTTCTTTGTATTTGTTCACAGCAACCTGAAGAGCTTCCTGCAAACAATAAGCCAAATAACTTAATCACCTGGTCTTTTTACCTCCTTCTTATAATTAAACGCTTTTAAATGGCCCTTTGTCATTATAGCATACACCATCAAATATTTGTGCTTCATAATTCAATCCAGACATTTAGTCTTGACTATGATTTGAACAAAAAAATCAGAACAAGCACCGATCGCTGCACTTCTGGAGGGGGGGGGGCAATCATCATCAAGCAGAAGTGGTTGTTTTAAATCAATAAGATCACCTTACATAAAATATAGTACTGTAATATCTTACCTTGACTAGCTCTGCATCCTGCTTCCTACATCTGATCACTACAGCTGGTTCCAACATCTGGTAGAGTCCCTAAAATCACAAACAAAACAGCTGTGGAATAAATAGTTCCCACATGCAGAATGTACATAACCAACTTCATCAAAATTATAACAAGGCATTAACATGCAAATTGTCACCACTTGTCATTTGTTAAAGATACCAAATGCCACACACTAAACACCAAATACTGTCCACAAAAAAGTTGGACACTATAACGAACTGTCACCAGTAGTGGTGGTGACATAAAATTTTTTGATTATGAACAATTGAACAAGACTAGAAAGTTACAAAACTTCGCCTGAGGTTTTGGTGTGCATTTCAAGGCAGATTACCAAACCATTGAAGAGTGTGGAGTTTAGTGAGACTTATCACTGGCATGCTTTGTCAATAACATTGTAATCTTGCATCTTACCTGAGCTATGAGTCCCACTAGCAGTTCCTTGTACTTAGCAGGCTCCTTTGTGATTGTCCCAAGTCTCTGTGTGGCATCATCAAGTAGGGCCTTCAATAAGATACAAAACATTGAAGTAGACTTACAATATTGACATACGTTGTATATCGCGATTGAAACATTAAAATCAATGTTCATACAAATTAAGCTTTTTCACCTTAAAATAGACATATAATCTAAAACCTTTCAATACTTCTGTAAATACAATTTTTATGGTTTGCATGTACATGTATAAATCATTGAAACTGTAACTGCTGACCTTTATATATATTTAAATACAGTAAATAAACCTGCTCTATACCTTGATATGGTCTTCTCTAGCCTTTAGAACTTTCAGCCTAGCTTGGTTCAGCAGGTTGGAATTCTGACTGTAACAGATAAACACAACTCATATTTTATACAGAAAACATAATATATCAAAGATCCAAATGTCACATATGGGGCTCCAGCTCATCTAGTCTCCTTCTAAAGAGACAATTAACATAATATATCAAAGATCCAACTGTCACATATGGGGCTCCAGCTCATCTAGTCTCCTTCTTAAGAGACAATTAACATAATATATCAAAGATCCAACTGTCACATATGGGGCTCCAGTTCATCTAGTCTCCTTCTTAAGAGACGATTAACTAAATTGCACTGCATTTAGAATATAATAAAAAAAAACAAGAACAATAAACATAAGAAACATACACATACAAGGCAACTCAGATATTTTTAATAGTAACTCTGTAGCAGTAAATATTATATGATCCACTTACATTTTCTTCTGAAGTTCTACTTGTTTCTCTTTTTTCTCATAATACTCCATAATTTTGACCCTCTGTTGTTGCACTAGACGTCCCTTTTCAATATTGAACTCTTCCTCTGCCTAAAAAGAAAGGAACAATGTTATCTATTTAAACTCGTAATATGGAAAATATAATACAAGCTAAGGCATTCAACATTATAAAATATCATCACACAAGAGCTCCAACATTTGGCAGATAATTATATGTACAACCATTCTCAAATTTCAGGTCCAAACGCTATCATCGCCATATGACATAATCAAATGAAAGGACCCACGGTCCTAGATCCTGTGCTCACACAGTTTGGAACCTTCAGAGGAATGTATATCCTGACTTTCAAACAAAAATATTGATTTGGATTTGTAGTCTCAAATTTTGAGAAACTTAGATAGCACAGTTGTGTGACCTAGTTTGATGACCTTTGACCTTGAAAATTTTACTTAGTCAGAGCTCAGTAAGGTCTTTTGTGATTAAGCTGACCAAAATTTACATCCAAAAATCAATTTGAAAAATCAACTTTTTTAACATTTCGAAGGTCACTGAAGGTCAAGTAAAGGTCAAATCCTAAAACTAATGTCAGATTTTAACTCAATTTGGAGTTGATTTTCAAAAATAATTTGATCAAATTGAAGCTGAAGTTGAAAAATAACTTATTTTTACTGTTTTTTTTTACGTCAAATATCTCAAAAATGGTAAAAGATTTTTAACGAAGTGGCATGTTCTGCAAATTTTTGAACAGGGTGTAGCCTGGTTGCTTCTATGATGGGGAGATTCACTGTTTTATAGTATGTAATCCACTAGTTCAAGTTAAAGTCGCTTACCTTTGCATCAATCTCCTCAGCTTTTTCATTGGCCTCTTGGTCTATGAAGGCCATCATATGCTTGATCTGAAATAAACATAATCATATTTAAACAAATTGTTTCTTTATTATGTGTATTAGTACTTGTTTGTAGAGAACATGTGATTCACTCACTTTTCCAAGGCATGGGCATAAGGCGAGGGGGTTCTGACCACGCAAGGGGTGACACAAGACTGATGGGAACTGGTCAATCCCTAAGTCCCCATTCTCACCCAACATGACAATACACATCAAACCAGAGACAATGATGATCATAAGACTTGCAGTAATTCTTTATAACTCAACTACTTCCTCAAGGCAATAGGAAGTTACTAATATATTTAAGATGCAAATAAATGATACATACATACAAGTAGTTCAGGCTGGTAGGTAACAACATCAAATTGGGAATAACATGTCTCATTCAGTAGAAAAAATATCAATGGTTATCACAATATACAGAATTAAAAGGAAGTTTCTAGACCAACATGGTCAACATTTCAAGACCATGATGTCATTGCCAACCATTTGTTCATTACATTTCCTTCTTAAATTTCCTCTTATTCTTAGTAATAGGAAGTTATTAGTTATATAGTTCAGGTTGGCAAGTAACAATCATCAGCTTGGGATTGGAAATACCATGTTGTATATCCAGATGTGAATAACCCCAGAGTTCAAAGATGACATATGCTTTTGTAAACCTGTACTGAGATGACATACATCTCTGATTGGTCAAAAATTTACAAACAAATGACATCACCAATGGCAGCTTCAAACTTTTAGAAATACGCTTTGAATAATATAATGTTCTCTGGCTTGTTAACCAATATCATAGCTTCTCATTTCACATCAAGATAATGCAATATGTAAAGATTATGCATACTTCAATTGAAACATCACATTGAAGTGTAGTATCACCAGCAGATCTAGACGGGGGCGTGGGGGTACATGCCCCCCTCTAAAAAGTCGGAAAATTTGTGTTTTACCTCATCGCTTTTTACAAAATTTGACTCTTCTCTCACAGTTATTATCACACGCCCCCCTAACACAAAATCCTGGATCCGCCCCTGAGTATTTGGAAACTAGCAAGTCAAAATTTGAACAAATCAAGATGGTAAGCAAGAGATTTTGAACAAGCTCTGCTTTCCCTACTCTGGCTTTCATGTAGGTGCATTCATGCACCCTCTGGGTCTCTGAGGATCGTGTTGGTAATGTAAGTCCTTACGACAATCCAACGCATTAGAGGCGGTGTTCACCGTCTAGCTTTCATGCATCTTGTCCTTATCTTATAAACATGTTCAATGTTGCCAAAGTTTATCTTATTATTGACTTAAATATATCCAATGGACACCATTTGAGTCAGAAAGTTTCATCCCAGAATAACTTTTGACAAGTCAAACTGACAGAGGGAGGGTCAAAAATTGCATTTCTTAATTTTAGTAAATCTGAAGTAAAATAAGCATTAAACATATATAAATCACCTGTTTCTGTACATCTGCATCGCTAAGAGCCATGGCGAATATTTATTTTAGCCTCAAGACTGAGAAAATCGGGAACTATTGGATATTTTGAGATTTTCACTTTTCAGAGCTAAAATGGCGGCTATCATGTGACTTTGGGAATTCCCTATGGTCTATTAATCACCAAACACGTTTTGTGCCAATTTCAAACAGTATTATGAGTGAACATATCCTAAAATGGACCTTAAAAGTATTCTCATAACAAACTCGACGATATCCCTGAATTTGGATAACATTTAAAAGGTCACGTGACCTAAGATATGGGAATTCCGTTTTGTTGAAAATTGCAGAAAGAGAAAATATTTTTATCCTCTACAAAACTTCGCAGAACTCATCATTTGGCTTGATATAAATACCTTGAACACTCGAAGTACTTCAAAAAATAACAGCTAGCGATCAACTTGTTGATTCAACAGGGCAATTCTTACCACAAAATAATAGAGTGTAAATTTCATTAGCCTAAGAAATACATTGTATCAACAATTTCGGACGAGAGGAACATAAGAATCTAGACTACAAGCCAATAATATCAATTATGGGAAGCAAATATTTAGGTGTTAGTGGCTCTCGTGGCCGAAGCAAATCGCCCATGACACCTGAGGATTTATCGCATGAAACCAAAATGGTGGTTCTGAACTTCTTAGGCATGTTGCCTGAACACCTCCATCACAGAAATTGGGATCTTTCTTCTGAAGAAGATGAACATGGTTCAGCCACCTCTTCCACATACAGTGGCTGGGGCACTCCAGGTGAGTCCCCTAGAAAGGATCACTTAAATGTAATACCTGAAAATAAAGTGATAAATCGTGTCACTGGAAAAAAGGGTGTCAGGCGAAATGTATCTCCAATGCGGGATCTAGATTCCCCAGATGGTTTTCCAAAGCCTTGGCCCCCAGATGATCAGTATAAGGGGTTGCCTATTAAAACCTCATCAGATACGAAAGTACCTCTCAAAAAGAAATCAAGTCCCATGGAACCCAGGCCAGACACTGCAATTCCAGTCACAGGAGAAGGTGCTCACCATTATCAGTGTGACAGTGCCACAAGTATTGAAAGTGAAATGGACATAGTATTAGCTGATTCAGGAACTCAAATAGAAGCTCAAGATGTAAGTAACCATATCAAAAGATACAATAATTCAGAATCAGCAGATGCTCCACTCAGTCGCATTGTTGTACCAGATAGTCCTATCAGTTCCAAAATAGAGGTTGAGAAAGATGAACCATGTCTTATGCCTCCACACCAAGCTGGCTTTAAAGAGTTCAGCCCAGAAGCAGAGAATTCTGAGACAGAGAGTCAGGGAGATATGGCCCTTGGAGATGAAGCAGGCCATGATGAAGGGGGACAGGTTGCGACATTATTGATGCCGATGCAAGATGGCATGACAGCGTTGAATAACCACATGCGTAGCCATAGTCAAGATTCCACTACAAGTACTGACAGATCATCACAAACTGAAGACCTACCGAGGCACTCCCATAGGCGTGGTTATAGCAGGGAGTCTATTTTATCGGATCAAAGTTCCGTAAGCTCTCGCATAAGTGACCTTGGAGCAGCACCTCCTAGATTTCATCTTATGGGCCCTGATAGATCACACCTCACCTTGGATGTGCAATCACACGTGGATCATGAATACATTGAAGAAGTACATAAAGGTATTATGATTTCTCTATTTAAATTTTATTTTAAGAAATTCAGATTTGAAAATTACAAGAAGTTTTGGACATGATAGTTTGATTGCTTACAAGACTACATGTAACTGTAATTATCAATGCTTAGATAATAACACAATCGTGGATAATTAAAATTTATGGTATTGTAGATTGGAATTGTTTTTTTTTCTTATTAAAGTTGCGGAATCTGTCGGAACACCACTTGCGCTGACTCCAGAAGGAACTCAAACTGAAGTTGCACAAAGACTGGCTTTGATTGGGGATGAAATGGCAGAAAAATATAAGCCGCAGTTTGAAAATGCTCTTGGTCTGGTAAGTCTGTTAACATCGATATTTTACTAAAAGTTATATATGGGCAGAATGTATTATAAAGTGTGAAGTGCTGTTTAGATATTAAATGAATTCCAGATGTTAACGTTGAGAATATTATGGCTCACTAGTCACTCGCATGCCAAATAAGCAAGCAAACAACAAGTATGTCATACTTTCAAATAACCATATTTTAATTCACAGATATCCAGCTCTTAATCCCCAAAAACATGAAGTGATCTTCTTAGATTTTTTCACAAGTTAGATCAAATTCTCATTTTCACAGTTTTCAAAATTCTTGAGGTGTGCTCTAGAATTTAGGAAAATAGAATTTGATCAAGAAAGCAGCTTTAAAATGTCAGAAGTATAAATTTTATTAAGAAATGACTGAAGAAGGCACTTTTAGCTATAAAAAGTTAACATGTGTACATAACACAGGGAAGTAGTTACATAGCAAATAATGGCACACTCTTGCACATACATCATAAACAGCAACTCAAAGTTCACATAAACAAGATTAGTTAATATACCTGTCTGGAAAAGCAGGTGATTTGCCTGATTCATTGCTAAATGCAAAATGAATAATGTTTCTTAAAATAAGTCTTACATATACATTCTTCAGGTCATAGACCAACATGATGTAGCTAGACCAATCATCACATTTAGACAAAACAAAATAACACTTGAAAGCCTCAAATGTCACTTTGACATATAACATAATATTTTGAAATGTTATATTATGTATAACACCCTTTGTTTATTTTATGACTAATCATCACTACTGTAATATTCATATTTAGTTATTCTCAAGTTGTAAAATTATTAAACTTAATAAATTACTAAAGTTTGGTTCTAAAGTAAACATTGTTATCATATTGTCATCCAATTTCATCATGCAATTGTGTTTCAGTTTGGTCTTATCAGTGACATATTTTTGATAAAAATGTTCTGTGCTGTCTGGCTTCTGTCTTATCTTATCTCTTATTTATATGTTCTTTGGTGAGGTCATAAGATTCTTAAAAGAAGTGCATCATAAGTTCAAGGCTTATTGATCTGATGATTATTAAAGTTATGTCATAAACTTTGTGTGCATTCGTTATATACCAAATATCGGACCCCCCCCCCCCCCCCCCCCCCCCCGTCAGCTGAAATAATGATTACTCAATTAGCATTTGAATAGATTTTATTGCCCACTGCTGGGAAGTCCGCTAGCCAACAACTATCGAGTGAGGGTCGACTTTTGACTCAACTATCAAGCTTATCTGTTTACCTAATCTTTCAAATGAGGGTCATCATTCATAATATCAATAGGCTATCCTGGACCCTGTTGCTTTAATAGCTTTATTGCATGATAACTATCTCAAACTAACACCAAATGACAAAATGTTCGCTAGAAACTTCATAAAACAGATTATATAATATTACTTCACCGCTAGTTGCAATATTTTCTAGCGAATACACACTTTCAAACATTTGTTTGGAGAAACATCAATTTTTCTTTTTTATTGCATTAATTCCATATTATATTAAATACATTGAATACATTAAATACGATACAATTCGATACAATACAATACAATACAATACATAACAATATGACATAATACAGTACAATCATATGCAGTAAAACCTGTGTACAGTGAACACCTATATAGTCACAGAAATGTGTCCACCATAGGTAGATGTTGAATACAGAGATAAGAGCCGATTTTATACAGATGTCAGTGGAATATGTGCTGAAAAGAGATGTTGACTAGACACAGGTCACAGGTGTTCACTAGAGAGAGGTGTTCACTAATACAGGTTTTACTGTACTGTACAATGCAGCTTAATCAGTATAAATGTGAAAACATTATACAGGGTGAGCCAAAAAAAAACGCCACTTTTTTTTCAAGACACTATAACTTTTTTATTTTCCAACCTACATACCCCAAATTTTGCAGTTATAAAGTGCCAAGGGTTCTTAGTAATAATATAATGTAACAAGTCCTTCAACTGGGATTATATTTGATCTAAAAGAGGAGTTCAATTGGTCCGCCACTCTGTTTGATGATAGATTTTAGTTTTGGTCGCCTTGCTGATATAGCAGTATCAATGAAATGTTAGCTATATTTTTTTCAATTTGTCTTAATTGCCAGCTTTAGTTGAGCAATTTTTTAGATTGGGTGCCTTCATACCATCTCCTGGAGACCTTCCCATATCCTATACTCACTGGGGTTTGCATTAGGGCTATTAGCTTGGCGGTCATCAGGCCGTATCAGTTCAGGAACACTTTGCAAATAATGCTTATTTCTCATGGCACACCACATGTTTAAGTGAGACGCTGGTGACATATTTTATTCAAGTAAAGGTATATAATTCATGATCCATGGCTAGATAACAACCTCAAGTTTCATTTGGTATGCAAATTATGATTTTGTATCAAAAATTAAAAAAGTTACAGCATTTTGAAAAAAAAGTGGCGTTTTTTTGGCCCACCCTGTACATGTTGTATGTTTCCTGTATTATTCCAGGTAATGGGAATGCCATGGGAGAATGTCACATACAATGTGTTTGTTTCCTGTATTATTCCAGGTAATGGGAATGCCTAGGGAGAATGTCACATATGATGTGCTTTTTCTGTATTATTCCAAGTCATGGGAATGCCAAGAGAGAATGTCACCTATGATGTGTTTGTTTCCTGTATTATTCCAGGTAATGGGAATGCCAAGGGAGAATGTCACCTATGATGTGTTTGTTTCCTGTATTATTCCAGGTAATGGGAATGCCAAGAGAGAATGTCACCTATGATGTGTTTGTTTCCTGTATTATTCCAGGTAATGGGAATGCCAAGGGAGAATGTCACATACGATGTGCTTGTTTCCTGTATTATTTCAGGTCATGGGAATGCCATGGGAGAATGTCACCTATGATGTGTTTGTTTCCTGTATTATTCCAGGTAATGGGAATGCCAAGAGAGAATGTCACCTATGATGTGTTTGTTTCCTGTATTATTCCAGGTAATGGGAATGCCAAGGGAGAATGTCACCTATGATGTGTTTGTTTCCTGTATTATTCCAGGTAATGGGAATGCCAAGAGAGAATGTCACCTATGATGTGTTTGTTTCCTGTATTATTCCAGGTAATGGGAATGCCAAGGGAGAATGTCACCTATGATGTGTTTGTTTCCTGTATTATTCCAGGTAATGGGAATGCCAAGAGAGAATGTCACCTATGATGTGTTTGTTTCCTGTATTATTCCAGGTAATGGGAATGCCAAGGGAGAATGTCACCTATGATGTGTTTGTTTCCTGTATTATTCCAGGTAATGGGAATGTCAAGAGAGAATGTCACCTATGATGTGTTTGTTTCCTGTATTATTCCAGGTAATGGGAATGCCAAGGGAGAATGTCACCTATGATGTGTTTGTGAATATCACAAAGAGTCTGCTAGATGCTATTGTTCCTGAACCACATGGTGCTTTTACGCATGGCTGGGCACGGGTAAGTTATTGTTGTTGCCTGTATGACTAAAATTTCCCATATTTGAATCACCTGACTCCCACTTTCACTGGTCAGTATCAAGTGAAGGAAATGGCCGTCACCTTCGTATCAAAGATGGCGGAGGGGAAATGTCGATTTTGATATTTTTAGTTTTCATCAAATTGAACTACTTTATAGTTGACGTTATGCTTTGATATTTGAACTAAGTCTGACTTATTATGACATGGGAACTATAGAATATGATAATTTGTCCACATATCATGCATAGGTGCCACAGTTCCTTTAAGCGGTGAAAGGTAAAAGAAAGCATTTACATTTACTTTTTTTAACATTTATTTCCTTGCAAATATTCATTTAGGTCAAGACCATTCCCCCACAGTCACGTCAAAATTGGCAATTGATCAAAATAATAATCAAAACCACTTTTTGTAAACCTTTACTTTGGCAAATGTTCAACTCATTTTCCTTTCAAAAATCTGAAGTCACTTTACCCTTTGCATTCGTTTGACTTCACTTCTTAAAAGAGAGCTTCGTCTTCACTCTTTCAAACTAAAATAAACCTGTGAACTCACCGCGCCAATCAGTGTTCGTCGGCCAAATTTGACCGACATTCTATATATGGTCATTCCTTCTGATGTCATCGTTGAGCCCAGAATTGACCAATGACATGGGCATATTTAATTAGAACGCATTTGGCGTATTTTCTTCAAGCTCACTGATTTGTGGAAGAAAGGTCAGCGCGTAGGTCAGAAGTGATTTATTACCCAAACTGTCACCGGTACCCGTCGTGGGGGCGGGGCTACTAAACTGTAATATTGTCTCTACTAGGCAGAGTGAAGTTTAACTAGACTCTGCACGCAGGGTAAAGTCACTTCACTGCAAACAATCAAGATTCGAGATAATTTTTTCCTCTCTTAAAGGACTCTTATGCTGTACAAACATTGAAGTCGGTCATTGTAATCATCTCGGGGCTAAACAACTTTTTGTTTTCAATATATTTTGTAGACTAGGAATTTGATGAGACCTTGCTTCATTCAAAACATCACTTGGGACCAATTTGATTGAAATATTTATATATTTAATTGTGATGTTTTTATTTAGATTGTGGTCTAACCATGTAGACATGCTCTAGAAATTTACTTTGTCATTTACAATCAATTTTCCCAAACCACAATAAGAACTGACTAGTCTCTAGCCATTACCCTTCTTCATTATTAAATCTATTTAATTTTCCATACTTTAGGTTGCCTGCTTGTTGGTGTTTAGTCGTGATATTGGGCGGTCTCTGGTTGGACACGGCCAGAGGGGCTTGAATGAACTTGTGCAATACACAGAGAGGATTGTCACTGATCAATACACAGAATTCATCATCAACCAAGGAGGATGGGTAAGCATGGCTTTCTCCCAACATTGTAATATCTGTGATGCAGCTCCTCTAATTAATTTTATTAACCTCCAATGAAATAAGAAGATAGAAGAAGATACAAATTTTTAATTTTATAGACTATGTCCAAAATTGAGTTTTAGAAAATGAAATGCTTAGGAAATGTAAGCCTTGCAATGTAAACTAGTTCATATATTTTGTTTGTTTCAGGGTGCTGTGTCAGAAATGCCCCTTGACACCCCCACCTCAAGCTGTCCCTCCACTCCTGCACCCCAAACCCCAGGTGACACCATGCAACACCCTGGATTCCCAGTCACCCCACAACAGCCAATAGATGGGGCAAATTGTCAAGGTCAGACAGTTGACCAATCAGGAGCAGTTGATTCACAATCTGTAACTGTCCCCACACCTATAAGTGAAGAAGGAATTCAAAAGGAAGAAGTAGACATTGTTGACAGTGCTAAAGAGCCAGTTGAGGAGGTAAAACCAAGTGGGACTACACCAGTTGTGTCAGATGGGGCTACTAAATCAAACACTAAATATGCAGTCTATGCATTTGCATTTGGTGCCCTTGCAGTATCAGCGTTTTATATGCTGAAGTAGGATTATGTCTAGTAGCATTGATGACTATCGCAATGGGCATACATGTACATTAGAAGATTAAGGACAAAAAAGTTTGTAGTTCGATGCAGAGAACCAGGAACATGCTATACCATTGTTAAATGAATAATTAATGTTAATATAAGTAGAAATGCAACCATATAAGAATGAATGTGCTTTGCAGAACATTGTACAATTTCATGTGGTATAACTAGCAATCATCGTTGAGGCTTAAAATGAACATATTTTTAAATGCAGAAAATGTGATTTTGATAGAGAAATCCAGCAATAATTGTGATCTCAGCTCATTTCAGGGTGAACCTATGTTATGTCTTATATAAAACAGTTTACTTAGTAAACACTGCTCAGTCATGCATGAATGCAGGGTGTGAGTTCAGATCTAGGATCAAAATTAAACTACATGTATATAGTGAGACTAGTACCACCTTTACATAATCACCCGTGTTGTACTTGTGATCGAAATTAGTTTAGAGCTCTCGTTCTCAACTTATTAAAATGCAGTCCAGCATGTTGAGTGCTCTAAACAATTGATTGCTCTAAATGAATGTTTTTGCATTTAAGCAGTTCAACATGAATGACTATGTAGTCTGAACTGAGTTATTTTAGACTGATGATCAGTGCTTATATCACACCTTGCATGAATGACAAAACCAAGTTTTAATATCAAATATGTATCCTCTAGAGATGATGACGTTTATTTTCTAGAATTTATGTCAAACATGTGTTTTTGGATTATCCTAAGCTTAGCTTTGTAGAATATGCAGGCATAAAAAGTCATGACATTCATTTTTTATTCAAGGTAAATGTCTCTTATGTTATATCTGACCCAATTTTTTTACCTAGTTGTGAAACTTTAAACTAACTAACTAGCATCTGAGTAATTAAATATATAATTAATTAAGTTAGACTGTGATAAGAAATTCAAGGCCATTTACATTTACTGCTCATACAAACCTTTTAGTAAATTTTTGAGTGAAAAGTGAAATCCCAAATTATCTACTTTATATTTTTGTGAAGTGTGATAAGAATCAGTATTTCAAAACTGTTCCAATATGGTCATTGCTCAATATTAAAGCAGATATGAAATGGTATTTTTAACCTAAAGGAATCAATATAATTTTTTGATAGATGTATTTGGACATGTTTTCTCATCAGTAGTGTGAAAACTATTTCACTCTAACGATCGTTATAGCTGCTTAATAAGCAATATTCGAATTGGTTGTGACGTTATTGGCCCCCACGTGATCTCTCACTGGTCCCAACGTGGCCCGTTTTGGGCCATTAGATCATGACGTCATAATGCCAAAATGTTTTGTTATTTGTTTACACAACAATCCTATGGTTGCCGTGACGTTGTGATTACTATGGAACCAAGAAACCAAAGCTATATTTTGTATATGACGTTACTAATCACGTGGGGGCCAATTTGATTTATCAGTTAGTTTTATTTCGTTATCTATGACCGTTAGCAGTTATCTAACATTTATTTTATAATGGCTATCGCAAGAATTCTACGGTGGGCTTACAATGGAGAAAACCGCATTTTTGTAGCTGCAAGTTGAGAAAAGCTATTTCAGTTGTCCTTTAATAACAACATATCATTTGTAATTCTAAATATAACATCATATGTATAACAAACATATAATTTCATAAAATGTATAAATAATGAATCATCGAGACCATGGTATAGAGCAATGTAAACAAATGATCTCAATATTTTGAAAATGTGCCTTTAGACTAGAAAGTTGTAACATGTACATTAGCTTTAAAATGATATAAATCATCATATATGGAGTGTGTTGTCTGTAATTAGCTCTGGATGAAACAGTCTTAGTGAAACACCACCCTGTATATTGTAGTTATGAAGGATCTTGAAATTCAAACTTTCTAATTTCCTCAGGTTGCTTACATTACTAAGAAAGCAAATCTGATGTTTCAGTTCACATTTTCAAGTAGTACATGTAACTTGAGGAAAATATAGCCTGACACTTTAAAGGGTTGTGAATAAAACTGAATAGTGAATCGATCCATGGCATACTAAATCTGTTATATACAAACAGGCTGTCTTTCATATAGAAACCAAGTTTCAATGTTGAAGGCATTGTCTAGTGATTATCATATCAAGGGTGGCCTTTATGAAATATTAATATTTAAGTATTGTTCACTGTTAAAGTCAGGTTTATGCTCAAGGTTTGTCCAATGTGATTTAAAGTTGTAATATTAAATACCACATTTGCCTTTCATTTCAAGTTGTTGTGTCAAAGGCCCTCTCTCCATGTAACCTTGTGATGTTAAATGCCACATTTGCCTTTCAATTCAAGTTGTAATGTCAAAGGCCCTCTCTCCATGTAACCTTGTGATGTTAAATGCCACATTTGCCTTTCAATTCAAGTTGTAATGTCAAAGGCCCTCTCTCCATGTAACCTTGTGATGTTAAATACCACATTTGCCTTTCAGTTCAAGTTGTAATGTCAAAGGCCCCCTCTTCATGAAACCTTGTGATGTTAAATACCACATTTGCCTTTCAATTCAAGCTGTAATGTCAAAGGCCCTCTCTTCATGAAACCTTGTGATGTTAAATACCACATTTGCCTTTCAATTCAAGCTGTAATGTCAAAGGCCCTCTAGTAAGTATTTTGTTTATAAAATTAAGCTATTTCTGGGGGTGCAGCCAGCAAGTATCTAAATTTAGACAATGCAAAATCTAAAAGGCAAATCTAGGTTAAAGGAGGTATATTACTGCATTTGGACTTCATTTCCATATTTGTAGTTGAAAAAATCTGAGAAAATACATTTCTGTAAAATTAGCCCGCCTCTTGCCTAGCTGTATGTATGACATAGACTTTCTTAAAAAGCATACACTATTTTCTCTGTAAATTGTTACAGATATCAAGCTCAACATAACATATAAGTGCCGTTTAAATACATTCCGGATCCAAATATAAATCCAGGCAGGATATATAAGGTTTACGTAAGATACAAATTGTAACACCATTCCCACCTGTGTTAAAATGATCAAACCCACAATAGTTTAATATATTAATTATATCATATATTTCTCACTGCTTCTCTTTGTTATTTTGTTTCACATGATAAAAGGATGAGCACATAAGTAAGGGTTATGTACTGGGAGGTTTTGGATATGGGGTTTATCCAGAGGGAGATATGCATATCTACCTGAGGGACCGTAGGGACCGAAGGTAGATGTGCATATCTCACGAGGGATGAACCCAATATCCAAACCGACCGTACATAACTGCTTTATCCTATACCAAGTAGAGTTTCCAGGGGCATATGGCCATTTCAATAGTTCAATGTGTAAAAATAAACAAATTATTCATATGCAAAGTCATTTTATTGCATTGCCAGAAGCTGGAAGATATGCACCGGAAGCGGGAAGATATGCACCAAAGCGGGAGATATGGCGGGAGATATGGAGGTTCTGGATATGGAAACCTCAAAATCAGGATACGGGATATATCTTACCAACTTATCTCCCTAAAACTCTACTTGGCATAGGATAAGAATATGTACATCATCAAAATATTTGGCAGTTGCAAAAATAGAACGAGGTCATTGTTATGTGGTTTACATGCCTTACTGTTGTTTTTTTATTTTGAATTTGTATGGTTCCAAAAGGAGTAGTTACACATTACAAAAACCAGTTTGTGGAAACAAATATTCTCTGGTGACGGCAATATAATATTTTTTGTATTCAATTGTACATTTCAATGATACTGGATGATTTAAGGAATTTTTCCTTGTATACGTCTTTCTCTGGTTAAACCAGACTGTTCACAATGATGATTTCTGTACTTTTCCAGTTTAGATTTAAAGTCACTATGGTACTATATTTCATTAAAATAAAAGCATCCTTAAAACATGTAAAACGTTTTGTTACTATGGAACAATTACTGTGGTCCCCGGGAATTATTGTCCCCTTATGTATTTCTCAAGTGACCTTAATCTGACATTGTATAGACTCCCATATTCTGCATATCACTACAGTCCCATGGAGCAGTTATTCTTTCTACATGAACAAGTCTTTACCCAACAAATAGGAATTCAAACTCAGTACACTCCAACGTGTATTCTACACAATTGAGTACTTTTCTATTTAATTTTTATCTTTTTAATACTTGTAGTATCCATCACAGATCTATGGAAGCTTATTTTAATGGATTAGAATGGATAGTGAGTAACTTTGGAAAAAGTTCTCACAACTTTACATCATTACAATCATTTCGTTGCTTTTTCTAAAAAACAAACGGCAGATGGTGACATTTTGCATGTTAATGCCTTGTTGAAGATTGCTTCCAACGATTATTACATTCTCTGATCTCGACACCTTCTTTCATTGACTTTTGATTGAACTTATCTATCAACATGTCTGAGTTGCATGGAAATCAAACGCTGTCTATGAAAAATGTTGAGGTAAGTTGAAAAAAAAGTTTTGGTTGAAATGAAGTCAAGTTTAATAGAGTCGCCAAAAAGAAATAAGTTGATTTTGTCCTGTTGAAGTCATATCGAAGCCAATATTCTACTTCATAAACACCATATCGTTTATTGTTTTGCTTTTTCCGTGGACAGTGGAAAAAAGGTGTTTGAAATTTTCTGGTGAGCCACGAGTACAATCATGGGCTTTCAACTAGATGGGTAGGCAATTTCCCATATTTCATACATAAGCATTGCCTTTGGGTTTTCAAAATTGGAGAATGTACACATTCCAAGAAAATCTTATTTTGTACTTTTTATGGATGATTTAAAGAAATAACTCAAAAATAAAAACATGATTATCTGCGTACATGTTGATGATTTAATAAAAAATGGAATTCATCATAATTTTGGCAATAAAGAAAGTGAACATTCTCCCACAAATTATGTTTTTATTGGAATGTGTCCTTGAATAATTACCCACAATGCAATACTCCAAGAGAACATCTTGAGACCTCTTATTCTTATTGGTCTTTTTTGTCTACTTTTACATGAGATTGAATATATTTTAGGTGGTGATATTTTTGCATATCATTGCCTTGTTCTTGTAGCATTGGGTGCTTACATTATATGCGCAAAAGATCTCACTGTTGTCTCACTGTGCCCATCGTTAATCATTGGTTACATCAAACTCTTCTGACTTGCTACAACACTTCATCGGTCTTATTTCAATGGTAATATAGCCAAGAATCCCCGCTGTAAGGAATCCAATGAGAATGTATATTTTTACAGTGGCGCAAAGATAGTTGCTATAACCGAACGCCATCACAAATCCTATGGACTCCAATAGTTTGTAGGAAGAGAAGGCGGCCTCAGATTCAAAGGAGAAAAGTGTTCCATAGAGAGCTGAAAGCAATCGAGAGCTTTAAATACATTGAAATAGCAAGGTCACACAAAAATATAACCTGTGAGGTAAGATCAGAACTGTTAATGCCACACAATGTATAAGTCAAGATCCCCCCAAGCACAACGTGACAAACTTTTTATTCAAATGAAGCATTTTTAAAAGTGACGAAATCGTAACGAACGGGCGCACAACTTGGTAAAAAAATAACACAAAGCAAGAATATAAAAGTTGTAACTTTAGCCTTGTGTACAAGGAAGCAAGATCAAAATACTTGAATAAACAAATTGGACCAACTCAGCTAAGAGTTCATTATGAGCTTTTCATATTTTTTACAATTTATCTGTGTTTGCCAGACTGCATCTGCCATTCCCCATAGACCAGCAATGAGAAAGAATATCGGAAGAGAACTTGGTCTTGGTTGCCACAATAACGCTGTTATAAGTATCCCATAGTGCAATGCTGCCGCTGAAAGAATGAATTTCTATAACGTGGTCTGGTTGACTGATTGTTGCATTTTAAAACGAGGACAGTTTACACTGAAGTTTACCAAGTTTATATTATTATAAACATACTTTGCAGAATAACAATTTTGTTTTATTTATGGGCAATAGTATAGTTTCTAAATAGCTCAATTAAGCTGAATAAAGCTGACATAATAGATGTCACCTTTGTTCATCTTGGGCCAACCTTCCATTTAGTTCTATGCTAAAAGCTTGCAATAGCCACTTAATTTCATGATTTATCAAAAAGTGTAAGTTAAATCTGTCTGAAATTTGAATGGCATACTATAAAATGACCCTGTCAATGAACATATTGTGATTAAACATGAAAATGTTGGTTGTCATACGATTAAACCATGGTTTTAAAGAATTTTAGCATAACATCAATGGAGATTTGGCCCAAGTTTTTTTTTAATGTCATGGAGAATGATTTAAATGACATAAATGTGTAAATAAAAGCTATTATTGGAGGAAACATATCACTGAATTCAAATATGCTATCAAAAAGAAAGAAAAGTAAGTCATTTGAGGTAAAATGTGCAAATCTCTTAAAATCTCATGAAAAAACGAGAATTAGCGAGATTTCAAAATCATTTAGAAACTCCTCTATTAGGATGATACAACAAATTACTCTCGATTACTATTTTAAATTCTTTGATCAAAAACATAATAGAACATCTGCAAATGTTTGTGGACATCTTCTTCCTGCGATAATGTACCTGTGTTTATGGGTACATACCTCCTGCGATCAATGGCCATCTATTGATGTACTTGACGAGACGTCCAAATGTGAAAGAGAAGATGGCATCACACACACCAAAACAGATGACAACGTAACCAACCATGAAGATACCCAATGCACAGCTCACGTACGACTAAAATGTGTAATCTGTTATGTTTACCACACGAGTGCATTTGGAATGGATGTCGCTTGTTTTGGATACTTATTGAATATCAAAATATGAGTATTGCGTTTCATTAACCCGAAAGAAATTGAAATTAGCAAGCCAATTGATAATGTAAATTTACTGGCAATGGGACTATACTTGTAAATAGTTCAAACATGTAACTTTCTTTTACTTAAATAAAATATATCATACAAAAGGATCGATCTACCTTCGTATAATCACCCGCAAAGAACGCTTGCTCCAAACCAGTAAATATTGTTAATGGTATGAGAAGTACTTGATTAAAATGTTTAAAATGTTTGAACGTTGCTATTAGCTGCTCAGGCTTGAATTTGTTGGACCTATCTTCTACAGAATCATCTATTCGTATTTTTGTTTTTTCGTTAACATCTCTTTCATCTCGTCTGTTCTTTAACTCACTGCTCATATTTGTATAATCTTTTGATTCGTCATAATTTTTCGGCTGGCTTTTCGGTTGAGTTTTGTCGTCTGCGTGTTGGTTAAGGGGATCGAGAAATAACGCGATGATAATGGAAGAGATGAAAGAACAAGCAGCATAAATTCCGCATAGCATATACACCTGGAAATACAATTACTCTTATTATTTAATTGTTTACGTTCTGATTCTTGGCAGTGCGTATTTGTACCACCATTTTCATTATTTAAGATAGAATCAGCATGATGCCATTTAATATTGTCATCATTGTCATCGTTGTCGTCATCAACGCTTATCAATATGTACATGTAGACTTGACCTAGACAATTCACTGAAATATAGTAAAGAGAGTTCACGTTCTTTTAATATGACGGTAAAAGGTCACAAAGTGGAATACAAAAACATTTAGATTTCCCCTACAACACAGCCTGCATTGCATGATCTTAGAATATGATCCCGGCCCCCGGGGCTGACTTACTTGGTTGATTGGAGGTTTCTCCAGATTGCTATTGGATGAGTTTGTTCGTTCAGTGCAGTAGGCTGCACCACAGAATTGTAGCTCTGATTCAGGTACAGGCTCTGTATCATTCCCAGATCTCTTATTCAGTACCTGGGACGATATAATGTTGCCCCATATCTGACCTAGATAAGCCAAATTCGAAAGTTTCATTGTTCATTTCATAGACTTGATCAAAAGAAAGGTGGCAGTTCTGTTGACTTACATGTGGACTGTAGGGCCTTTGACTTATTTTATGAACCAACTCATAGGGTATGTAGTTAAAACAGTGGTTTCAGTAACTTTGTGTACAAGGGGCAGATGAAAAATACAAGAGGCGGCATTCAAAATAACCAATTTTACGCTCCCGACAATGCAAATTCTTGTTATTTTAGAGTCCATGGACTGAAAGAAAGATGTCCAAGGTTTGTCAAAGTCATTTCCACGTGTGATGTGACAAGACATGGGCTCCACAAAATAACACCTGGAACTGTGGAATGACTAGGGCAACTTATATAGAATGTCATTTACCTTTTATAAGATAACTTACCCTTACACAGGTTGCATTTCACAAATCCAAATGCACCCGTTGAATTGAACACTTTTAATAGAACTCAAAATCTAGAATTGTCATTATTAAAATGAGAGTGATGTATTAATAGATGATTCACTTGTGATTATGTGTATATCAGATTCATTTTAGTTTTTACCGCCTCCAGACATTGCCAGAAATGGTGACATACAGGGTGTTCCAAAAGTAACAGGACTGGTGCCGGTATTTTGTTAAATATGCACCAATTGTCTTCAAAATTTTACATAATGTACCTTCATGTTTTGTAACTAAAATTGCCGAATTAGATAATTATTGTCGAAATTGATTTAGAAATCGGCCGATGACTAATCATCGGCCGGCGCCCGGCGCATATGTGGCCAAGGCATTAGCGAGAGACCGAGGTGGGAGATATCCCCCTCCCCTCTACACCAAACTTGTTCTCACTACGTTTTCGAAAATTGCCTGAAAGGCCTCCTCACACATTATTAAGGAAAACATATCTACACATTTTGCGCATTTAACCATTTGATATCATATTGTGGATCTAATCTTAATTTGTTAATGTGAATTCACACCTTCATTTGCATGGAAGACTTTGATAAAATCCTTTAATGATGATTTTTGTTAGAAAGCTGATGTTTGGCTACTTCGAAATTCCAAATTGAACAGTCTACTAAGAATACCATGTTGTAAATATTGTTTTCAATATGTCGAGCTAGGACTGCTCAAACAAATTCGCTTTTTGTAGCTACAAGTATTTAATTTCAATAGATGATAAACTTCTCAATATAAGAAATTACCCTCATAAGACATTGTTGCAAGGTGTGTTGCAATGAATGTGGCACCCCGCATTCCCGGGCCCGCATTATGTATTCTCGAAGAAAGCCATCATGACATCTCATTTCTTCTCAGCCCTGTGTTTCAGGTGAAACAGTAAGATGCCATGAGTATCAGAATGGAAGAAAGCATATATTTGCATTGATGGTGTATAGATAGTTATTTTATATAGTGTTTCTAGTTGTACGTGGAAACCTATTCTAACCAGGAAGAATATTGCAACTTTTTTCAAGATCCTAAAGTTGCAATTCTCGTTATTGTGTTTCATTGTAAAGACGCACCTGTGAAAATGCGTCGCTTGTACAAAGGCGTAGTTCTACATAAATTTAAGATACACTTTTTTAAACTTGTACGTGAACGTGTAGAATTATGGACCTGGTGGATTTTTTCTCCCTTTTGTACTGTTAATACTTGGCCGGTTGAGTATATAAAGGTATACATGTCCCAGCTTTTGGTAAGCGGGGGTCAAACCTCCTCCCCCCATCCACACATACACTTTTTATCATGCTTAAGTAACTTCGCATTGTAATTACAAGGGTGTTATAAACGAGACACCAGGATGATAATGTCGGGGTACAATATATTTTGAGAAAATTAGGGCCCAAATCTTGAGAAAGAGTCGAAGGCATGCGAGGCGAATTCTGGAAACTCGGGTTCGGGAAAGCGGGGTTCACTGTTTGGTTCCGTTGACACCTGTGCGAAACTACATTCATAATTTATCCGACAGTCGCTTTGATAATGTTTCTTTATCTCGTCTGCGACTCGATAAAGAGGAATTATTAAATCTCATCAAGAATGGACGATCTTGCACAGGTACTCATATAAGAACCTCTATATCTTTTTAACACCAATATATAACGGACACACCATGTTAAAAATAAAATGTTATATCTAATGTGCCAATTTAATGATTTAGCATATCGAAAATATTTTCAACCTAAGTGACCACATCGTGACATCACTTAGGTGGCAACATTTTTCAATGTCAATCTTTTCTAAATATGCTAAACAATAAACCAATTTTGACTGTCTAACCAGGTTAAAAGGATGAATATGTTTTAAATATTAGTTTACCATTGGTTTCTATGAGAATTAAAATTTTGAAATGCATCTTTCCCTGAACCACTTTCATGCATGGATGAGTTCATTGCTCGCTCACCTATCAACCAATTTTCTTGATTTTGTCGGCAAAAGAACAAGTGAGGATGATTGCTATACATCGGTGTGAATTATCGCTTTAAAGGATTAGTGTGACCTCTTAAAGTTAGTTTTGAATAAATTCACGATATTTTAAACAAAAAGTCCTTCAAAAACATTTTTGAAATTAATAAAAAGTTTCACATTTCACGCTTTGATAACATTGGATAAGACAAAAATATAAGCCAAAGTGGTTTAAACTTTATATGGGGCCTTTAACTGATTAATACAATTTTACACCCATTGGAAGGACTGCAATTACCCTTTGCATTCGTTTGACTTCACTTCTTAAAAGAGAGCTTCTTCGTCTTCAGTAGTTTAACTAGACTCTGCACGCACTGACGCAGGGTAGACTGTACTGTGACTGGTTGGACAGAGTTGTATCAATCATACATGTAACTGCATGTCCAGTGAAAAATAACCAACTCTGATTATACCAAAGGTTGGAATTTGAATTATCATGCACATGATAGTGGTCAGATAGTGATCTAAAATCCATAGCCCAAACAGGTACAAAATTGGACGGTGTTTACTACTATAATGAGATCAAGTGATCCTTACGATTATAGTGAGTTCCATTGCAGTTCGAAACTGAGGTACAAATCATAGACAAGGAAGTGCAAAACAAGATCGCTGAATAAAATAAAGGATAGTCTATAGAAGACTTATATTTTCCCCCAAAACTTAGACAATATTTGACTTCTAACAAACGGCGAATTATCGAAAACAAACGGCGATTTCGGACACTCGCCCCGTGCTATTGAAAGCCCAGTAAAAGTTCAAAATATTATCAACTTTGCCTACCCCAAAAAGAATATTGCAGACGTTTTATTGCACTCAACTTGAATCAATTGCTGTGACTATACTTCTATCATCAGTAAAAGATTTAAATTGAGGTTAAACTTTGTGCTTTAACTGAAATTTCTACCTGATTGGAATGCCATAAAGAAGATACCAAAGAACTTGTTGATGACTGACTCAGCCTTTTCCTCATTCATCTTGGCATAGACAACTGCAGATTCAGTCAGATACGTACATTTGGCCGTCCACAAGGGGGCAGCACACAGGCCAACAACAATAGAGGCTGGAATAATTGTTGCCCAAGTAGCGTAGAAATTGGCTCCTATGTATATCGTGTAGCAAAATAAAGCTGCAGAAATGGTCCATTTGCATCCTATTCTTTTAATGATCGCCTTTGGAAGGAAGACGCTAGAAACGAGGAGAGAGGCATAGAGAACAGCCAATCCGGCTGTCCCTAATCCCTCCACTCGATTGAGACTGCTCTGAAGGCTCTGCAAAGACTGATAAGCAGTGAAATTAAGCAAAAATGCAAAACTTACAACAGTGATGTTTTTAAGTATTCTTGTTTTTTGATCCATTGTGTATGTCGTTGATGAAGTTTTCACTACATAAGATTTGAGTTTCGTTATCTACATATCAAACCACGAATGTGCTACTATGATCGATTGTTCACGTTGTTTACCTATAAACTCACTGGTACATATGTACATGTACAAGATACATGTCCATGCATGTATCTCATCAATTCTATGACAGTGCTACACTCCCCTTCAAAAGATTGGCAAGGAGAAGTCCCCTTATTGAACAACGTGTTATTTAAACGCTGCATATGTGTGGCGACATAAACAAAAACAATTTTCAAAATAATAATCGGATTCTAGGCAGGTATTGATTGGAAGACTGTTTCTAGCAAAACGAATTATAAGTGACAAATATCCCTTAATTTTTCCCAACGGTGTACATGGAGTACTAGAATTTTATCTTTTGTCGAGGGTCTTGTAGAAAGGAATGTTGATATTATGTACATTCTAAGTGAAGTGGACACTTTGAATAAATATTAACAAATGATTAACAAATGAAGTATTAACGAAAGAGATGGATTGGAATTAAAGATAAATCATACGTCCAATACTCAAGAAACAGTCAATGCACAATTTTCCTCGATACCACGTGCAAAGCTGAACCTTCACACCAAAGTTCGTCGTAAAATAGAAACAGAACAGAATTTATTTTATTTTATTATAAAATGTATTAGAATCAAAGTGCCATTTTATAAAATATTACAATACATTTAAAACAATTCTTTCCACTAAGTAAACCAGTTACAGCTGATATTTACCATATCAAAGGAGTGGGATATTATGAGGTTATATAATGGTTCTTTCTGTATATCGTGTTTATACTCGAGTGAGTATATGATATATTCACAAGTGAGCGTAGCGAACGAGTGAATATATAATATTCTCACGAGAGTATAAAATGCACGATATACAGAATGAACCATTATATAATCTTATTATGCCACTCTAAGTTCAATTACAGTTGATTCGAACACAATCATAACAATTAATAAAAACCCTAGAAATATCCCATAGCCAACTCAATAATGCTGATGTTGATCTCGAACCATTTATGACGTGGCTTGATTCTAGCAAATCATGCCGGAACCATTTATGACATCACTTGATTCTAGGAAATCATGAAAATTTTCATGATTTTTTTTATTCATTAGTTCCCAGAATGCACTTCTACAGTGGTATACGCTGGAGTGTATACGGAGGAGTTGTATACGATGACGATATACCACTCTCCACTGTATATCGTTGTTATAGACCCATGTTATACAACTGTAAACGGACTTAGAGTGGTATAAATTGGTTTTATATCGATGGTGTCTTTGAAATAACAAGATTTGTGCATGGGTGTAACATGGGTTCTTGCTACTAGTTAGAAACCCATGCCTCTCTATCGTTCCAAAAAATTTACCCAACGTGTCGGTCTCTGTTAATTTATGGCATCCATACTTTTTTGAAAGGTAACACTTTGAGGCTCAATTTTTTGCCAGATGCCCTTGCAAACTCTCATTGGTTGCTCTGTATTGTAGCATTCCGTTACCATGGTTACGCATCTATAGCCATCTTACCTTGGAATCTTAAATCATTTGTAACTTTGTCATTATTTGGTCTATAGAGATGATATTGGTATCAAATTAAACCTAATTAAATTCCTCATAAAGTAATGATATTCAATTATGCAAATTAGATAATTTGCATAAATTGTGACGTCATCAATCAATTTTTGATTCAGAATTTTCGAGAATGGCAGCATATCTATTAGAACTGAGGCCGTATATCAGAATTTCGGCAAAGTTTGGTCCTTTAGACTATACGAAGAATGTATAAGCAACAGAAAAGTGAAAACAGATTCAAAATTGGATCAGTATTGCCAAAGTTATTAAACTTTCGAGGCAGCTACTGTGAATGTCATTATTTGACAATTATATTCAGACATCTTACCATTGACGTTTAAAGTGTTTGTAGCTTTGTCATTATTTGGCCTATAGAAATTATATCGGTATCAAATTAAACCTTATAAAATTTCCTGTACGATTACAATATTCAATTATGCAAATTAGATAATTTGCATAAATTGTGACGTCATCAATCTATTTTTGTTCAGAATATCCCAGTTTAGCAACATATATATTAAAACTTAGGCCGAATGACAGATGTGTGCATAGTTTTGACCTTTATTTGATGAGTGGAAGATAGAGGCAACATTCGAGAGACAACAGATTCGAAATTGGGTCAAAATTAGCAAAGTTATTCAGCTTTTGGGGCAGCTACTGTGAACGTCATTGTTTGACAATTATAAAAATATTACAATAACAAAAAAAAGAAACAAACATAGTTGTTTCAATCTTATTGAGTTTAAATATATATGACTTGTTCATATTTTTCCATTGAAATGTACATGAAAGTATGTGGAAATGTTACATGTATTTTGACTATCATTCACAGGGGTCAAAATCATGTGATCTTGATTTTAAAATCTAATTTTATGATTTACCATACACTGTCTATGATCCATATGAATACATAGTAATGCTTTAATTATGCTATTTTGACATATGTTGACTAATATACATATCAATATTTACAAAATTTATATGGAAGAGTATTCCTGCTTTCATTTGATTTCTAACATGTGAAAAAGCTGAAAACAAAATTTTGTTGATATTATGACATAAACTAAATAAATCTTAATTATTACCATTTTATATTTAAAATACAGATAGAGTGTCAACTTTAGAACTTAGATTTAAACAGTTCCAAAAATCAATGCCCAAAATAATTCAATCGGTAGCAAATGGCGAGCCCACACAGCTAATGTGACAACTACTTTAGGGGAATTTTTTAACCTTCAAAATCCTTTATGATTCAACCTTTGAATGATTTATGTTATAGCTTTTCTGAAAATGGACTATAAGCAGAAAGTGGGTACTTAGAGAAGCAAAATGAAAAGTAGTTTTTATATACTTTTACATAATATAACCTCTTCGATATGCAATGAAAAATGATGACAAAATCCATACAAGAGCTCAGTAGTAGTACTAGCTAGTAATCCTGAAATTAAAGTCTATTGATCAAAATAGCCACGAAGAAAAAATGCCCTTTAAAATATTTTTGAAAGAACTGATTTTTGTAGGACTTTAACTAACCCTTCCTACATCTACATATAGGTTTCCTACATCTATCTCTTATGTCCAAAAGTATGTATGGTATAGGACTTATAATCTGAACTTGTTTTAAAAGGTTTCCAAAATATGAAATACCAAAAATCTATGAAAATATGAGTCTCAAATGGATGGATTTCAGGTATATCCCCATAGACAATGGATACCATTCAAAACTGAGAACCGTAACAACAGGAGATTTAAGTGCAAAATAAAGGAGTTAATCACGTAGTATGATTGACAGAGGTTGAATCTAAACTATTTTATTTTACACTTTTTAAAGTTTAGAAGCTTTAATATGGAATGATCTAATCTAATGAAGATCTAATCAATACAGTGCGTATCAAATAAAAACGCAATGGATTGTTATCTCAGAAAAGCACAAAACCAGTGATAACAGCATTGATTCCATTCAATGCACCATGAAGCCATGTGTCTCCTCTTTACAATGATATATCATTCATTGATATTTGGTCATGGTTGAGCGAGTAATCATTCCATTTGCAAAGTGGGCCAAAATTAGCTTGGGGACAAGTTATAAACATCGCAAAAGTCAGTGTATGGAGCCAATTCTGACTGTATCCTTTTCATTCAATGTACCGAAAAGCCGAATTACCCCTCCTTGCAATGGAATATCATTCATTCACAGGGTGTCATAGCTGGCGGAATAATCATTAATTTTGCAAAGTAGGGCAAAATTCAGTTCAGACTCAAGTTTCAAACATTGCAAAAGTCAGTACAAGGGGCATATGGGCTATTGGAAGAAGGTGTGACAGGTGTGGCATAGACAGTAAAGTGTTCATACTCATACTCTTGCAAGAGTACATCCTATACCTCTCCAAATTGCCACCACTTCCTTGCACATAAAGATGCGCTCATTAGTCCACGTCATGCATGGTTCAGCCCTGAGTCATCTGTGGGTTAAAGCAGAGGAAAGCAGCCCATGGGCAATTCTTTCTTGAGGTTTCGCAATATCTGGTGAAGGAATTGTGAGCACAGATGCTCCTGGGATAGCTCCAAAAGAAAAAGTCACAGCATTTCAAGTCAGGGGAACTTCCATTGGCACTTATTAGCCCTTGCACTGATTTTTGCAATATCTAAAACTTGGTCCAGAGCCGATTTTGACCCACTGTGCAAATGAAAGGATTTCTCACCGAACCATTACCAAATGTAAATGAAGACATCATCACAAAGAGGAGAGACGTGGCTTTATGGTACATTGATGAAGTCATCACTAGTACTGTGATTTTACGAGATAACTACCTGTTGCGTTTTTTTGAAACGCCCTGTATAAGAGATTTTATCAAAAAGTCTCAGATGTACATGTAGGCCTGGACGCTGGGACAAAAGTCATCACAATAAGATGTGCTGAGAGGAGCTGAATCAATGTCACAGCTATAGATGATGTTAACAAGGAGATTAATGTCACACAGATGATATTTGGGAGTCAAATCTCACTGGTGAGATGAACATGGAGATGTAACAAAGATGATGGAAACATTAAGAATATAAAAAGCATCCCTGTCATGAAAGTCACCACTGAAATAGATTAACAAAAGAAAAATTCAACCACTGCCATATAGGTCCTTGACATGGGTAATGCTACATGAATATCGATGTTACATATACGTTCATGTAGATGGCTATAACATGAATGAATGCCATAGAGGTGATGTTAATGCGGATATCAATGTCACATGGATGACATGGTGATAAAACGTTAATTTGTTCAAAGTTACACTATTAAGGTGATGTTAGTCACATGGAAATAAATGTCACATGGATGTAGGAACTCTTGGGTTAAAGTCTTCGCTTCATCAACACTTAATATAAAAATGCAATGCTATTTATGAACTATAATAGCTTGGTATGATAAATAATACAAGGTGTCTCAAAAATGTACCCAAAAGTATATTAACTTTGCTAAGGGACCACGGTTAAACCTATCAATATTTTCAGATATTTTTGCATGGTCATGTTGCTAAAGCATGTAAGTTTCCTCCCCAATACTCAGTTCAGTCTTGCATTTTGATGATTTAACCCTTTACTTTTTACTTCATATTTCGATGACAGCCTGTATCCTTGTGCTACATTGTTCATCACATTTGATAATGTTTCTGGTGGAACGTTTTGAATTTCTCTTTGGGTGTTGGCTTTATGTTGTTCTAGGTCTTTCGGCTTGGGATTAGCTTAACATGCTCCTTCAAATAGCCCCAGAGGAAGAAGTTCCAAGGTTGAAGATGGCAGAACAATCACAGAGAACCAGCTCAATTATCGTCAAATGATTTAGCGGTTAATTGATAATGGAGTTCCATCTGCCAGAGTTACAGAGACTGAATGATATCCAAATGAGAACACTGTCGTTCCTGACAGTTTGAGCCCCTCCATGTACAGCGAGGGCCACACAAAAATTCCCATGAAAGCAGTTTCTTTTCTCTATATAAAGACAGTTTGAAGGCCTCTCCATTCAACAGATTTGACACCCCAAACATTTTCTATGGAATGACTTCAAGAACCATGTTTATGTTTATCCCAAGCCAAGAGACATAGAACAATTTGAGGTCAACATGTGAAAGGAAATTCAAAACATTCCACCAGAAACATTGTCATATATGATTAACAATGTAGCAGTAAGGATGCAGGCTTTTATCGAAATGAAAGGAGGTTAAATTAAACACATGGTATAAAAAGGGTTAAAGCATTAAAAAGGCAAGACTGAACTAAAAAATTAGTATTGGAGAGAAAACTTACATGCTTTTCCAAAATGACCATGCAAAAATATCTGAAAATATTGATTGATTTATCTTTGCTGTTGATATACCTTTGGTTTATTTTTTGAGGCACTCTAGATAATAAAAATTGACTATTTAATGTCACTGCCAGTAATCGGACAAAATGAGTGAAGGGAGTCGATTGTCAAATGACATCTTAAAAATGGAGACAAATGGAGACCAATACTGTATGTCACCGCTTTTGGTGGTGACATAAAAAAAGCAATGACATACATTTTGTGATATAACCTCATCAATTTGTATTAACAGGTCATGTAGATGATTACTGCTTGAATCGCAGCACAAATATTAATGTTTGACCAGTCATGATGTTTCGTCCTTGCAAATCAGTTTAAAAATTCATGTAGATGTTCACTGCTTGAATTGAAGCATAAATATTGATGTTTGACCAGTCACGATGTTTCGCATTTTTAAATAGATTGACGCCTATGAAGCAAATTATTTCAAAGATTTATAGATTACATAACAGATGTCACCATACCATTCGCCCATTCACTAACTGATTAATCCATAACTTTCTCACAAACAATAAATCATGTTACAAAATCAAAAAAACTGTTTTGACCCCTGTCAATGATAGTCAAAATTATGAATACCCATATCATTTCTATACACCAACTAATTCAGTGACATGTAAAATATATATTTTTCACTCAATAAGCTTGAATCAGCTTTGTTTCATTTTTGTTATTTCAGTGTTTTATTTATGATTGTCAAATAGTAACGTTCATAGCAGCTGCCTCAAAAGCTGAATTACTTTACTAATACTCATTCAATTTTGAATATTTTTTATGTTGCTCATACCTCTACCACTCATAGAATAAATGACAAACTATGCAGAAACGTCAACATCCAACCTCGGATCTAATAAATTAATTGCTATACTTGGAAGTTCTGAACTCAAAATAGATTGATGACATCATAATTTATGCAAATTAGCTAATTTGCATAATTGAATATCGTTACCATACCGTTTATTCAAATAGGATCAATTCGATACCAAGATCTCTTCTATAGACCAAATAGTGACAAAGCTACCAAACATTTCAATTCTAAGGTAAGATGTTGAAGTTAATTGTTCAATGATGACGTTCATGGTAGCTGCCCAGAAAGCTTAATAACTTTGTTAGTTCTGATCCAATTTTGAATTTGTTTTCACTTTTATGTTGCTTAAACCTTCTGCTCATAGAATAAAAGTCATAACATTGAAGAAATTCTACCGTACAGCTTCAGTTCTTGAAGATACATTGCTATACTTGAAAATTCTGAACCAAAAATAGATTTATGACGTCACAATTTATGCAAATGAGCTAATTTGCATAATTGAATATTGTAAGTATATGAGAAATTTATCTAGGTTTAATTTGATACCAATATCATATCTATAGACCAAATAATGACAAAGCTACAAATGCTTTAAGATTCCAAGGTAAGATGTCTATAGATGCGTAACCATGGTAACGGAATGCTACAATACAGAGCAACCAATGAGAGTTTGCAAGGGCATCCGGCAGAAAATTGAACCTCAAAGTGTTACCTTTCAGAAAAGTATGGATGCCATAAATTAACAGAGACCGACACGTTGGGTAAATTTTTTGAAACGATAGAGAGGCATGGGTTTCCAACTATACATTTGTGTAGCATGTGTTACGATTTTTGGTATGAATATTCAGAAAATGTAATTTTGGCAAGCGTTGTGGTACCTTTGTACAAGACAAATCATGTCTAGCTATAATAGAAAATGTGACCTCCCCTTGGTTCCCTTTTTACTGTGTTGACCTTGATGTTAACAACACGGCCGGGTTTAAAATTATTTTCATCGTTATGGATATAACAAACGTTTCATTGGTGCAAAATTAATGTGACTTTACACTGGTAAGGTAACATTTAATATGAAGACTAGATTTACTCATCCATGCATCTGATGATCATTTTCAAATTATAGATGTCAATAAATTTCTCTGTGTAATAACACTTGTATTTTCAACGTCTGATGACAGACAATCATTATATGACAGTTTACAATATATTTGCCACATCGCGTAAATGAATCTAAATGCGAATATTTAGTGCACAATGTAGGCAATATTTCTAAACGTCCAGATATGATATTTTTACTTATTATAAAAATACGTTAAGCAGTATAAAAACTTTATATACACATGACACACTGAAATACCAATAAGTGATTGCCTAATGCCTTTTACTATGTCCCATATATGGCAATCTCATACGGAAGTTTTTGTATTTCTTCCTGTGTGCTATTTACAATGGAATGAATCTACTCTCCTGCCGATTCTACTTCATGGCTTAGTATAAGCATTCTTACGTTAACTTGTATCCTCTTTGTCATTCCTCTGTATCGTTATTTTGCACTATTGCATGTACAACCAACAAACATTGAGAATGAAGTAATATCCACATGAAAATTCAAAACTTCAAGTAGATTCATTTCCGACACTGTGTAACTAAAGAAAAGGCGGAGCTGATATGATCCATGTGACAATTACCGACTGTACATTAGTTTATTAGACATGTTCTTTATGTTATCGGCCAAAGAACGCCATGATTGAAGCAATTACAGATATGAGCAACACTGATCCACTTGAAACTCTTGGCGCCCCTGCCTCTCGGCATTTGAGAGTGTTGAACCTGAAAAATATATATGAAATTAAATTGAAATGCAGAGATACTTATATTTTGAGCTTCAACCAGTTTTATTTATACATTCAGAATACAATGATATAGTTGAACATCTAAAATAAAATTATTTTTGTCAGACCGAACCCAACAATGAATATTGAAAAGGTAAATCCCAAAACACTTATGGAACCAATGCGACAATAGACTATATCTTTCTCAAAACATAAACACTGGCCAAGAATTACAAACCCATAAACTGTATCACAAATAAAAATAATTGTTCACGCTAATTAAACGGCTTCATGTTATACCTATGTCTTTCTCCACGCATCATCTTATCGTACTCTTCCTCCATTGTCTGACCATCATAGTACCAGGCTCGGTCGTTGAATGGATACTCGAAACCTTGGAGACATTCGCATTTGTAGCCACCACGAGTAAACCTCTTACCCGGTAGAGGTACACACTGTAACAAAATGAATATGATTTTGTGATTTGAACAAAATACCTCATTCTTGGCGAGGTGGTACATATTACCTATAGAGCAAGATAATGTTGGCTTACTTTGGAAGTGGTAAATGTGAGAGGACCGGTGTAAAAGGGTAGGAGGTCCTATCAAATTATGGTCCTACTCTCCATTGGTTATATGGTGACCTAAATACAACTCTTTCCCTAATTACCTTATACGCAATCGGGGCCAGAAAGGGCCGTTGATAAAGGGGACCATAATCCCTGGGGGACCATCATTTCTTTCACACCGGGATCGATACCCGGCAGCTCCACCACATTCGGACGTGTTAGTGGTAATGTGAGAGGTACAAATAGGAAAGAAGTAATTTTTTGTTTAAGGATTTGAGTTCTATATTTTTATGTTATGTACTTACATAGGTGCTTTCGTAATCACATCGTGCAGTAGACTTAAAGGCATTGGGAACATGGAACTCCCCAGGGCACTGATTTACGTCAAGTTCTTCAAGCTTCACATCAACTATAACAACACCCCTGTTAGAAACAAGATGGAAAATGTAAGAAATTACAAATTAGCGTCTCTGTATGACTTCTCAAACAATAATGATATTCGTATGTCATTAACAGTGGAGCAAACGATGATTCATACAAAACCGCTGAGGTCGACTGACTTTTTCACATAGACCAGCCCTTAAAGGATTTATTTCTGTGTTTTCATAACTTTGCCACTCTGATTTTTACGATCGAATAGCCTTTTTTCAGAAATATTGATAACTATTCCACAATCAACTTTGGTACAAAACTTACTTAAACTCTATGTTAGTTCCCAGTGTGTTCATCCCGAAGAACGGAACACTGTATGTGATTACCCAATCATCAATGTAACCATCACAATCAAAATATGGTGCGGACCAAAGGCCATCCTCCATTGATGGGGCTCGATAGTACATGGGATAGTGCTCGAACCTCCTCAGACTGGTGCCAAATAAGTTGGACCTCAACATGGCTTTAGTCGTCCATTTCTTAAGACCGTACACATTCGACTGCCAACGTTCTTTAACATCCACAAACCAAGCGTCTTCGATGTAGGTCTCGTCATGTCCTGCATAATCAATCGCCATAGTTCTCGTCCCACTGCCTCTCCAAGAATATGGTCCGAAATATTGCCTTGTTGTGCCATCCATGTTTTTAAACTTGTCTGTGTCAAAGAACACACCACTTCCAAATATTTTATAATCACCCATAACATTAGCAATGGCTTCACCGAACAAAAGTTCGAAATTCAAAGGTCGATCGCCTCGCAAGTTACCATACTCTTCATAGAAGTCGACATTTTCGAGGAAGTTACTAAGGAAGTGAGCCATCCTTAAGGCTGTCCTGGCTTGATTCTGCAATTGTTCTTTGGCACCAAAGGCAAGGTCTCCAGGGAGATTAAGTTCAGTGTTTGTCTTTATTTTACAGTTATCTTTGTTTATTGTGTTCATGTGGTCAATGATGCGCTCTATTCTACTTCTGGCTTCTTGGTCGAATGAACGCTTCACTCTAAAGGATGACGTGTCACGTTGATGACGTGGCGCCCATACACGTTTAGGAGGTTCTTCCACCTTGCAAAGTAAAGCAATACGTAAGAAATAATGGACCCTATAATTCTTCGTACATAGTACACAGTCACGTGAATAAACCACTGTTATGAGGATGTACAAGTACAACTGATGATGATTTCTTTATTGATATTGTTTAGTTATGTCTTTCAACAGAGACATATGAAATATACAGTGTGTCCCATAAAAAACGCAACAAACAAAAACATTGTAAAATCACAAAACCAGTGATGATAACATCAATTTGATTTAGTTTACCAGGAAGCCACATGTCTCCTCTTTCCAATGGTATGTCAGTTATTCATATAAAACCATGGACCACTGAATCATCATTCCTTTTGCACAACGTGCCAAAATCTGCTCTGGGCCAAGTTTTAGACATTGCAACAAAGAGTCACCAATGAGGTTGCTGCCCTCCGCCAGAACCCCAGATGATTCAAAGAGGTGTGCGACATGGACACAAAGGCCAGTCTCAGTGTTAAATAGTGGTCATGCGAAAGGGCATGGAATGTAATCTTTCATAAGTAATCTTTCATAAGATGACAGACAACGACTGTCTATGCCACTTTTTTCCATATGTCTTGCATTTTGTTACCTGAACCAACAAGAATACTGATGAATACTTAAAGTTAAATTTTCTTTTAATTTTTTCTTACTAAATCTAAATCAGAAACTTGTGTTATGTAAATTTTGTGACAAAAATTTAATCCCCAGTACCAATTACATGATTTACCTGATTGCACAATTAAGGATCAGTTGATTGATATTTCATTACTTGGCACAAAGGCCTTTTCACCCATGTACGAAAAAACAATGATTTTCCAGTGGTCCATGATCAGATATGAACAAATAACATACCATTGTAAAGGGGAGACATGTGGCTTCATGATAAACTAAATGAAATTGATGTAATCATCACTGGTTTTGTGATTTTACAATGTTTTTGTTTGTTGCGTTTTTTATGGGACACACTGTATATGTCTCTGCTTTCAATTAATGCTGTACCTCAATAGTACGGAATCTCTGTGGTAAAACTTGGTTAACATTTTCTAATCATTCTTACCTTTGTGGAAACCTTTGGAGCCATACGTTTCCTTGGTGATAATTTGGCTTTCTTTAAGTTCGATTCTTTAAGTCCCAATGCACTTAGTAAAGCTGCCTTGTCTGAACCATGCCACCTCGAAACAGATCGTTTTCGTCTGCTTACCACAGGTGCATTATGGGGCTCATCCACAGAGCCACCTGCTGACAGTTGGGAAATATCGCGCTTGTTAACGGCATACTTAGTTGCAACTGTTGTTGGCATGTTGTCACTTCCGTCGATTATAGGAATAACCACACGCCCTGGAATTTACAATTATAGAAATATGATGGGGTATACAAGAACAAAAAGCAAACAATCGTATTTCGATAATTATAAATTGGTTAACTAAGATTTTCTTTGCATAATATAAACAATTTCACAATACTGACATGTATGTATTGCAGTCTCAGGCTCAACTTACAGTCCACTTTTTCACATTCGAATCCATACTGGTATTCCTCCTCCGTAGCTCTCTCTATGTCCACTCCCAGATAGGGCCCATTCTGCCAACGTGGGTATCGGTAGCCTGGTCTGCACATGCAAATGTAGCCTCCCCGTTGAAATCCATACCCCATCAATGGCTCACACTAGAAGGGAGAATACAAATAGCATGTCATAGAAGTATCTTGTCATAATCATTAATGATAGGTCACTCTAGCTAATTTGAGATACTTTTCGTGATATCTAGGTCCTGGTGACTTTGTGTTTTCCTTTGTACCAAGGCATTATGAAGATTCATTTACTACACAAAGACTGGCATAATGTATTATAGAAATATATAGACAGATTCACAATTCCCTATAGGCGATCTGTGCAAAATTTTTACATCATTATATTTACTCACAATCGTCGAAGGCTTGCACCTGGCGGTGTTTGCGAAGTAATTAGGGGCTGGGTTACCCTGAGCTGTCGGGCAGGGGTTGAAATCCAGGGTCAGGAAATCTATGTCCAGCACAGTGGCGGCAACGAACCTAAATGGAAACGATTGTTACATGTAACTCAACTATCTATGACCAAACATACCCCATTTTTTAACATTGGAAAGTTTCTCCGTTTGGAAGTTTTTGTGGAGGGGTGGTTTCCTTGACAATGATGTCTTTTTCTGGATAAAACTGTGACAAAAGCACGCGAAATGGAAATTCTAATGTGCATGGTTAATAGAAAGTTACAGGAGGGGGACCAGTAGACTAGCTATAAAGCACACTTGAGGTTCTAACAGATACAACATTGTATGATGGAATACCTGGTGGATGTTGTTTCACACATTAGCCATCCTGTTTGTATGAAAACAATGATGAGAAAATTGTGACTGAACTAAATAATATTAAGACTCGCGATTGCCTAATTGCCGAGAATGAATGGGCTATATTGGCAACATCTCTGTCTTACCTTTGCCGTCGTAGATGCATCCATTCTAGGTATCTAGGAAGATAGTCTAGGACGGGGGCAGTGGCAGACATAATCCACTTGTTAGAGCGACCACAATCGTAATAGGGGGCTGTAAATCTGACCGGTAGATCCTCTTCTGGAGAGTTCTGACTTGGCTGTGGTGGACCAAAGAACGATCTCCCCTCGAACTCATCATTTACGAACCTCCCGGTCTCATTGGAGAACTTTATCCCTACGGTATAGGTATGTTTCATGACTGAGTCCCTGGAGGGGTCATAATCAGGCATCCAGTAGTCATACCACTGGTTTATTTTATAGGATGGGTTACTATAATTGTGTTCTGGTCCTGCACCATAGTCATCGATGTTCAGCGTTTCATTTGTTGGTTCACGTAGCCAGTTTGTTGGATCGTTGTAGTCGTCGAAACGCCAGGCTCGGGGTCCGAATAATGGCAGCGTGTTGTTGAATTCCAGATTGGTGTACCAGTTGGCGTAACTGCAGTTGTTGTCGAACATAACGGCCGATCCGTTAATGCCCCAGGGGTTGGCGGCAATATCAGCCTCCGTCGAGAAATAGAAGTACATGAGACCGGGCTGCATTTTATGGTCAACCTGGGAGTTATTGAGAATCTGGTTAACGTAGCTATGAAAGAACGCCCGATTGAGCGCCATATTGTGTAGATGAAGTAAAGATGTCCTGTTAGGATAAATAATAGTACTTAGAAGTCTGTTAGTGAGGGGAAGCTGTGATACTGTATCTGGGTGGAGTCTCAGTTCAGCTGATGGTTTAGAGTTACAGTTCTCCGGAGTGACGCTGTCCATCCTATCAATAATCTGATCAAAATTGTCATAGCTCATCCAATCGAATTTACCATTACTTCTCTGAGCTTCCAGCCCAGCTAAGGCCACCAGGGCCACCGCGAATACCACGGCAGCTACGCTCCTCATGATGTTCTTAGTTATTGCCCAAAGAGAGCATTCTACTTTGTACAATAATCTAAATATCCTCCAAAATTACTGTTGGTTTCAAAATTATAAAATCAAAATGGCGTCGAATGTTTCAATGATTAATCAAGGTAAATACGCTAAACACTAACTTATCATTGCTTTGGAGCAAAGGTTGATCGTCAGCAATGAGATAATGGTTTGCCATTTTAATACCTGAGACGAAATTATAGTTATAGAAATGTCTCACTTCCCAACGTACAATCATTGACAATCAAAATTTCAACAAAATATATATAATCAGGTTTTTGATATTGTGTACCATTTACATTGGCATTTGTTTTTATTATTTATTCTATAATTTATACATCTGACCGAATATACTTCTTGTTTGCACATTCGTCTTGATTAATGATTAACTATAACATGCTATAAAGAAGATTAGTTTGGGAATTCGACAAACAAGAACGCTATGATACAGTAGTATGAATCATATGTGGACTTTGAACTACATTCACTACAAGATGGTTTCCTCTTCTTGTTAATCATTAACGACGAGATCACATTATTTGCTAAAACAAACAACTCGATAAATCAACAAGTAAATTTTGAGTTTCGTTTGTTATGCTATATAAGCTATTTTATTGTCCAATGTTTTGGCAGTTTTAATGAAAATAATGGCATTGCAATAGGCTATATGGGCACATATAATCACGAAATAATAATCATAAGTCACCACATTTGTCACACATATTGATGCAATGTTTTAGATAGCCATCTATACAGATTTAAAAATCCAAAAATATTCTAGGGAATATTCTCAGTTCACCTTACTACCTGTCACATCCGATGGCTGCAGAAATACAGGGTGGACAATGGGTGTTTCATTTTTCAAGAATGTTCTCAGATCAAAGCGGCCCTTTGACACAGGGTTACAGATGGTGCTTGTAGTTCACAAATTTCTTTTCAACAAAATCGGATAACATATAAATTGGTCCGGCGGCCATTCTTTCCGTCCCATTCGATTACATTGCGGGTGACGCCCACTTTTCAATGGAAAATATTGTTTCACACTCATTTGCTGTTCTTTTACCGGAAATGGTTGTCACCAATTTTCCTCTTATAAGCATTTGGGAATACATCAAAACACTCTCAATTGATGCAAACTAGATTCTAGCGAGATATTGCCTGTCTACTAACCCAGGGAAGGGGGTCAAAAATAAAAATTGATTTTAATTCTTAAAACATGTTTTATTAGATTTACAAAGGATATATTTTGTTATTTTGAGATAAAAATTTCTAAAATATTCAAATTGTTGACAGAAAAACGTTCGGTACGAAGCTTTAAAAGGGACATTTTTTCATTTCTATTTTTGAAAATCATAATTAACTTTTAAAAACTCACAAAATACTTATTGAAAATTTAAAAACTTTAATAAAAATAAAAATAGTTTTTTAAAATCATAATTAACTTATAAAAACTCACATAATACTTATTGAAAATTTAAAAACTTAAATAAAAATGTAAATAGTTTTTTAAAATCATAAATAACTTTTGAAAACTCGCAAAACACTTATTTAAAATTCAAAAACTTTAATAAAAATTGAAGTAACTTTTGTAATTTGAAAATTTAATTTTTTAATTTCAAAATATATATAAAAAAACACTTTTAGAAAATCCTTAAAACTTTAGACTCTATTTTAGGATTTCAAAAATCAAATATGTAAATGTAAAATGATTTATAGAAATTATAATAATTTTTTAGAAATATTTTTGCAATTTTTTTTTGCAAAACTGATTTTGGAAATTCATAAGTCAGTTCAGATTTTTAGATAAGTCTGAAATTTTTTAAAAGTCTTCTGTAAAGGAAAACTTTATGTGGCGTGTCACGGTTGAAATTAACGGAAGTGAAGGAAGCGGGAATTGTCAAGCAGAAAAGTGAGTATATGTAGGCCTAGTTGTCTATACTAGTGGACTATCTTTTATATATTTTACCTTTGTAAGGCAATCTGTTTGTTCAAAATAACGTAGATGTTGCACTTTACAGATAAACCATTCAAAAGCCAGACATGACGTGAACCACGTGTGCATCACCCCCCCTCAGACCGGCCTGGACAAAAATTCATTCAAAATCATGCAGTTTTTCAACAATTTAGAACTCAGTTCAAGTGATTTTTGGCCAAAGTTGATCACCCTGATTTTTTTTAATGGGATGGTTAGCTAGAGCAGGGGTTTCACTGACTGAATACTAGACACAGGGCCAGGGCTCCTAGCCTGGGGTGTTCACTGTATATAAACCTTGACGGGGGGGATCCTCGGCTCATGTGGGGTCCCTTTTTTGACATTTGGTATGGCAATGGACCCAATTTTTAGGATCTGGAATGAGAATGCCCCCTAAATTATGATTTGAGGTATGGCAATGGTCAGATTTTTCCACTCCTGGTATGAGAATGGTCATGGAAAATACATTGCCTCTCACTTGTGTATGGCATTGGTCTAGTAGTTACACATATCCTTAATTATCCCAACGAACGAAGTTCTGTAGGGATATAGTGAAGCCCTCCGTCTGTCAGTCCGTCCGTCCGTCCGTCCGGAAGATAACTCAAATACCAGTTGACGGATTTTCTTCATATTTGGTGGAACGATGTATATTGGTGAATAGTTTTACCCAAAAAAAAATTTTCCATGATGGCCGCCGCTTTAAAAATGACTAGACTTTTTCGTAAAAATCATGAATTTTTCATTCGAAACCAAAGTAATAAATATTTTTGTTTGAAATTTTGGTAGTATATTCACAACATCTATTTATTTCACATATATTCCTTGTTTTTCATGCTGACCCCCTGGGGCCGTGTATGGGGGGTCAGGAAAACAGAAATATTCGTTAATTTTGAGGTATTTCTGAAGTATAGCTTTATTATACTCAAATGAAAGGCAATTTAGAGTTGATTGTATCTTTTTTCAGATTCAGACCTCGTGAAATTCAAAATGGCCGCCTAATGTTGGATTTCGCAATAATTTTGCGATCCCTTCAAAGTATGCCTATATTATACTCAAATTGAAGGAATTTTAGAGTAGATCACAATTATGGTATTATTTTTCAGATTTGTACCTCAGAAAATTCAAAATGGCTGCCTTTCAGGAATTCGCAATCATAAAATCTAAATTTTTCAATTCTATGACTGATTGGAATTAATTTGGTAATTGATATATTGTTCGTTGGGATTTGCTACTTCGCGGAGTTGCAGTTTTCTAGTTTGAGGTTGTTTTGGATCGTTTTCCTCAAAGATCTGCCTTCTTCTCGGGGCTTTAGACATTTTAAATGGCCTTAGTCTTACATCTGGACATGTGGTATGGCAATGGTCTTATATTTGGACATTTGGTGTGCTTTGGGGCATTATTTTTGTCAGTATGGGAACACATTGAAATTTAACAGATTGGTATGGGAACATATTGATCATATTTGAGGGTTCAGCCTAGGAACCCGCTGAATTTTGTATACAGTGAACCTCCCGGGCCTAGGGCACTCCCCCCAGTTTTCCGTGAGTTAAAATACTGAATTCTGCAAGTGAAATTAGTGAATTCTGCAAAGAAAAAAGCCAATTCTGCTGGAATTCTGCGGGGTTCCTCTGAGTTTTTTTTGTGAAAAATAAGACATGGATAATAGGCTAAGAGTTAATGACCCGCTATCAAACATGTGAGAAATGAAAGTACCAGATCTTCGAAAAAAAAAAAAAAAAAAAAAAAAAAAAAAAAAAAAGATCTTCGATCGTTTTCATTGCAAATTCAGTTTAAAATCAACACGTAATCGCGTGGCGTTATATGTGGCACGATCACAGGAATTGTAAATCTTATCCAAATATGACATTGGGTCTGAAAAAAGAATGTCTGATTGAATATTTTCCAAAATATTTTGTCTTGCGTTGCCTTTGCCTATAGACACATTTCACCATGCAGCATATCAGTGCACCAGTAGGTGTTACCCCAGGACCGGGTGAATATCATACTGGTGACCTATACACAACAAATGCGTTATTGTTGATTATTTCATGCACTGCTGTCATGTAAAAATACTCTGTTCGGATTGGCTGGAATCTGACACACTTTGCCTAGCTATGTGTGAATTGATGATTAAGTGAGTTGAATGAATTGATATAATTTACCGGTGATTAGGCAAAATTTACATTTGCCATGTAAAGTATAATTGACTGGCTATGATGACAATGTACCATATATTTTGAAATGACCAATGACATTTATACTTTAATTTATGGTACTAATACATGCTTGGAAGGATGTACCATTCTCGGTAGTTTAGAAAATACATCACTAATAAAATGCATTTTGGGGTTCCTGAAGGGTAAATACAACATATACAATTTTAAATTACCAATTTTTATTCACATTTTCTAAAATACTAGTAAACATGCAGTATAAGCAGCATAGGCCTGGAAGCATGCATAAAAATAGAGTAGAATACACCATGACCATGCAGTAAAGCTTTGTTACGTAACCAATTATCACACTCAAGTAAGATTGAGTCTGATCGACCCTTTGTTCAACTTTTGTGCATACTGTATACACATTAATTAAATTTTACACAGACCATCATTAGCTTTAATTCACAAACAAATACCGTGAATTAATACAAACTCCCTCCATTTTGAATTCTATCTGGACCTGCAGCCATCTTGTTTTGGCAATACCATGGATGCCAATTACGACCAATTACATTTGAATTTCGAATGATTTAGGGTTTTACTGATACCAGAAGTTAAATCAATCATTTAGATGATTGCCGGTAAAATTGTAAATGTGGCTAGAATCTAATAAAGCCGTTTATTTAATTTGGTAAATCCCAATCTGGAAGTTCAGGATTTTCCATGACACAAATAAGAAACTTTATCTCCAATGACATTTAAACTTTAAATTAGCTCGATTTGTGACAACCACATCTGCTGACATTATTTTATTTTAAGATATTAAACCGTTTGAATTAAAACGTCCAGAATAAGTGATTAAATTTGCAAAGTTTTTCACGATTTCAATCGGGGGCCCCCTCAGATTTCGAAACAGGGTTTTCTCGTCTATGGTCCTAAATAATGCAAAGAAATAGTG